ACTAGTAAGGACACTTGCGCTTGCGCTTGCACTTGCCCTTGAAGCCCGGCCTTTTGAATCCATCCATCCCATGCACATCTTAGTAGGCGCAAAACGCTCGCTCCCTTTCGACATTTCCTCTCGCTTACCAAACATGAAACATAGTCAAGACAAATGCTGTACCGTACCATCCCCCTCAACATCAACCCTCTTGTTTCTGGGTAATAGGTACAAGTATGATCGTCGTATAAACCTGCCGCTGCCTGCCCGCCTGGGTATCTATTCTCTGAGATGTTAATCATTATCTCCGAAGGCATGCACGATGCCATCTCAGCAAGGTAGAGTCAGGGTAGTTTTTCCCTTTTCTGCACCAGAAAATGAGAAAGAATCATATGCACAGGTCACGCCGGCTGTTCCGAAGTAGGCGTGAGCCTTTTTCTTTTCTTTTCTTGTTTTCCCTTTTCTCTCCCTTTAAATCTGATGCGGAGACCCATTCATTGATGGGGCAGAAAGACACCACACGATCTTCTACATCACTCACCACAACTACACGATGATTCGTCTTTCTTTTTTTGTGGTGTTACCTATTTCTTTCTTTTTTCCTTTCTGCTTCTTTAGTTAATATGTCTGTATTAGCTTCTCATCAAAAAAAAAAAAAAAAAAAAAAAAAGGCGGAAGCGATTTGTAACCGAAGAGCAAAGAAGTGGATATTTACACCATTACTATTACTTCAAGCGAACGTGGCTGGTGGACAAAAAAGAAGCGAAGACATAGTATGCGCAAGTTTAATGAAAGGCCGAAATGGGTGGGCATCTTTGTATGGAAAGAATGCCGTACTGCTCACCTTGGCAGGTGATTGCAGGCCGCGTGGTTGATATTGTAGCCGCGTGAGATGAATCTGATTGGTTTAGTCATTCTTGGATATCGAAGGAGGAATTCGCTTCGTACCATCGTTTATACTGTTGACAGGAATGCATGGACGAAGCCTCTTCAATCAATATATAAGTACTCCGAAAGATTTGCAAGTACTTTTCAACTACGTTATCAGTGACTAGGTAGTAATTCTAAGCTTCCCAATCCCAGATAGGATTTCTGTTGGGTTCCTACCTGCGGAAAAGTATAGGTTCGTTCCAATATTAGACCCAAACCAGACCAACCCATGGCGAGGCCTAGCAATGTTTCCAGTACCACCTCTCTCTCAATAAACACGACAAGCATGACTCTTCTTATACTTCGGGACATGGGACTCAGAGGGAACAGAACTTCCATTCCAAATTTCATCACCCACGATAGAATTCTTCATGGCTGCCTCGACGTTCTCCACCGAGTAGGACCACAAGTTCAGCCCGTTGAAAAGCTCCGAGCGGTCATTGTACATGCCAGGGATCTGATATGTCTGGCTCGGCACCCCGGTACCATTGCCCGTGACCTTGACCTGGGCGCAGCTGTTCAGGGTCCTCGGGGGTTATCTTCACATCCATATAATTGGCAGCTAACTAGCTTGCTCACCTGTAGTAGAACTCGGCTTGATTACTCTGTGCGCGGTGAAGACCGATGTGCTCCGCTCGGACCAGGTATTCGCCCGTCGGGGTCGCCTCGGGGATTTGAAACTCGATCTCGGTCTGGCCGTATGTACACCACGCATCTCCAGTCAGATCGCCACTTTTGTCGCAGAGTGTACGCTCCCAGATCTTGAACCAGGAGCCGTCACCCTCGTAGCTCTGTACGTTGCCGGACGGGGCCTTAGACATGACTACCAAAAATGAATTAATCTGCGTTAGCTTCCGCCGAAGGGTCTTAGCAGAGAAGGTTCTTCTGTTTCCCCCCTGTTTCAAGGTATGAACCTACAGACTTGCGCAGGTCCCGGGTGACGCATGTGGCTACCAGCGAAAAGCTGCATGCCAATCGTGGAGCCCGCTTCCACCTCGGCCACTTCGGTCTTGGCGGCGTTGCTGAACGAGCCGAGATTGCACCGGAAATCCTGGTCGTTCGGAGTCAAGTTGTCGAAGGTGTCGGTGAACTTGGTCGGCAAATAGCATGTCTCCCGGGTGGTTTTACGAATATACTGCCAGTCCTCAGAGACTTCGCCGTCCAGAATCAGCTTGCTGAAGATGTAGTGCGCTGCTGTCGGGCGGGCCAGTCCAGCTGCTGCTGCCGCGAAGATCGCAAGATACTTCATCGTGATGAACAAAACTAAAACAAAATAAGAAAAATAGAAAATAATGAGTATGAAAGGAGCGACGAGAATCGGGGAGTGAGTGATTTGAGAGTTGAATGAGAGTGATAATCACTGATTAGTACAGGGGTGACAGTGAAGAAAGGGTTGAAGAGAATTATTTATATGCGAATTCGGCATCAATCTCGTCTTGCTGGACAAAACGTCATCCACCAGATATTTAGTGCTCAAATCAGCCTGTTTATGTCCGACTTAAGCGAAATGAGGACATATTGCAAGGAACAGCGTTGAGACTAACTCTGTCGACCCGGAGCTGTGATTGGGATGACCTGGACAGTTTATTTGTCGCAGCAGGATTAACATCAGTTTCATCTGCGGTAGCCGATCTAGGATATTGGTCACTCGGCAAATGGGGACATGTGTGTTAGGCAAGGACCAACGGGTCGAATTTACAGCAAGTGGGGTTTCTTTGCTTCCCTTAAGACTGTCGTCTATGTCTCTATGATGGTGGTTCTACTGGATCAGGCGTGATCGGAAAGACCGACTGCCCCCTTCAAAGTGCTTGAGTTCATCAGCTGGAGACCATCCTGTCATACATTACTTAGCGGAACGACGAATAGGCCTTGGGAGAGCTCGACCCCGGTTCTCATGATCTTATGGCGGTGAAGGGGTCAGATGTTGACCGTCGTGGTAAGGGACATCGCTACGAATCATCTTGGTTCCAGCAGATGACGATCCATGATCCACTGCAGTCGGCAGGCCTTTGGACATTCCAGCTGCTGTCCATGCAACCCGAAATATGGAGTACTTCCAACAAAATACCTCGGCCTGTCGCACCGATGGAATAACAGAAGTGTCTCTTAGTGCTAGATGCGGCGACTTTTACGGAACACAAAGAAATTCACGGCCAGTCACGATCCAGCCATACAGCAGATTGCTAGAGCCACGCCGTCGCTGTTCCCAGACATAATTGTGAAAGGCCACAACGCCATCTACGCAGGCTGGGCGAGCACACAACCAAGTTGAAAACTCCCACCTACCCTCTTCGCGGTACGGGACCTCCAGTAGAGCCAGAAATGTGGACAAGACAGAATGCTGCAGCCTCTCCGAGGGCCCGGCAAAGGCAAAGACCGGGCTCTAGCGGCTAGAATATTATTCGCGAGCGCAGTTGTAACGGCGTCCCCGGAGGTGAGGGGCTGCCGAGGCCAGTGAATAAGAAGTAGGCCCGCCGCTCAGTAAATGGTCGCCTGCGTGCGTAATGAGAGCCTTTCTAGCACGGTATACTGCGACAGACCGGGGTCATCGCGAATCCAGCCACTACTGCCTGCTCAATCCGACCCAAGGTTTTGCCACGGTCCGGACCCTGCTTCTGTTCCGAGCTGAAGATACAGAGTTCATACAAGGTGGGCAGCAAAGATATGCAGAGACCTGCTACCCGGTCAATCATCCCCGGGCAAATCAGAAGGGGTCGGACAACCGGCACCTCTTGATGCAGCAAACACCAGACGATGTCCCAGAAGATGGGAGCTATTGTCAAAAGATCTGAGAACCTGACCCCGGCAAGGTCCGGATACCACGGGCGGATCAGGGCCAATGTGTAGCGGAGGATGGATATGGTGCCGGTGGAGAGGACCAGGGAATTGAAAGCACCCTAATGCTTGTCCAAAAATCAATGCTCCCAAAGCATCACAAGCGGTCAGGATAATGGTGTTGCGTAATTTACCGATAGCAATTGCACCGCTGCTGAGATCGATCTGATTCGCAGCGAGCAACCCCTGGCGAGCCCAAGCGAGACAGCATCCAAGAGTACGATACATCTCCGTAACGAATTCCGGAGAATGGTAGTAGCATTGTCCTAGGGCGCGCTGAAAGCTCCTTGGCAAAGGTCAGTCCGAGCATATAGACATCGCTTAGCAGGTCAGGGAGAGTTCCCGACATCGACGGCAGACTGAAGAGCAATTAGTATTTATAAAACAATTGAAGCCAATAGCTTCTGCTAACCAAATTTAGATTGAAATTATTCATTTAAATATAATTAAAATTATTTTGGTTTTTATCAACCATGGATTTTAGATCATATAAATTTTGAATAGTTTTTTTGATAAACAGCTCTATTATCTAAATATTATTAAATTTGTAAAAGTTAAAAGATCTATTAATCCGATACATGGAAACCTGGCTGTAGGCGGTGCGCTGCGGCAGTTCACGGAGCGGTCGACGGTGGCAAAATACCCGCTCAGGGTTGCGGCCAACACACTGGCTGTTAGCCACTCTAATCTATAATTATACTATAACTAATTGAATTCTGAATTTATATAGTAACTTAACTTAACTATTATAATCTTACCACATAATGTATATTTAATAGTATCATTGAAAGTTAAACAATACATTACTAATAATAAGTATAATTCATTATGAGTAACTAATATAACATGTATTGATACTATATTAATATGTTGGCCGCAACCCTAGCAGCGGGTATTCTGCCACCGCCGACCGCTTCGTGGACTGCCGCAGCCCACCGCCTCCAGCCAGGTTTCCATGTATCCATAGTGCAGATAGGGAGAATCAACCAAGCATTCATGATCATACCCATTCTTCGTCATTGACGACTACCGTCACAGATAACATAAAGATTCATTGAATTTGATGCAATCTTAACATAATCCCAGGAAACTTCCATAAAACTAATAGTGTATAACAAATCTTCATAAACTATTTGATACCCTTTTGAACTAATTATGAAACATAGATATCTTCCAGTATTAAAACTATCCAAATATTCCCCCTTAAGCCACTATGTATGCTCGGGTCTGGAGCCAGGTTGAAAAGGGTTAAGCTTGTTGCTGGTGTGCTATCACGAGTGATCCAAATGCATGGCTCCTGGGCAAGAGTATAGCAAAGGTCCAGCGAGAGAAGGAAAAACTTGAAGCATGGCATCTCCTGCAAACCAGACATCCGGATCAAAACGGAAATCTCGACGATCTGGACCGTGCTAGCTTGACTTTCTCAAGCTGGAGGGAATCTGCCCAACGCCACGGCGGAGCGACTAGATGGTATCGCGGAGAGTTTCTTGGCAACGCCACTGGGCTCAAAGGACCTCTTCCGTCTCCCTTTGTCCGGGAGCAAGATCATAAAGCGTTCCAGCCATTGTCAGTGGCGAGACTGTCATTGTCAGTGGCGAGTCTGTCGGATATTCCGACTAGCGTTGATTTGGTATCGTGGTCGTTGGCCTCAATATCCTCCGCTGGTTGAGATGTGTCACGCTGCCAAGATCCAACCACCGACTCTCCGGGTGTATCTGTCATCGACTCCTCTTTGGCTCGTTCAAGACGACGTTTCAGGTCCGAATAGACGTTCACCGGCAATTCCACACCTTGATCGCCTCCGTGAGAATACCGTCTGCCTCGGCTAATTCACCCAAGAAGACTGCAGAGACTTTCCGATCATGTATCAAACCATTTGCCAAGGGAGACTTCCCACGGACAAGGGACTCCTGTCAGGTCTTGGCCAGTCCGGGGTTGCGGGGTTGGGCAAAACGCGGGGAAAGCTGCCACCTGCTTCCTTACCCTCGTCTCTCGTAGTCTTCCGTCTTTCTCTTCGGCTAACTGTCTGTGCTGGATGGATGCGAACTTTGATCTTCTCCCCGGATCATTGATTGGTTTTCAAGGGATGGCTCTAATCTCTCTAGCCGTGATGATCGGGGGGGAAGTCACACGGTTGGGAGTCCCTGGACACGTGGAACGGCCATTCACTGGAGGGAACAGGAAGAGACTTCTTGGAGGCCCTCGTAAAGAGATGCTTGGCAAAAAAGCCATGATAAGAACCGCGCATACTAGCCGATGCCCGTCATAACCATGACGCGGACATCCCGACTATAATTCTATCGTGTCAAGGTGCGAATTGCAAAGTCTGGACCGCTTGTTATTATTGCCGCTGGAATTGCCGTTAACTAGCAGTGAGAAGGCGAAGGAAAGCTATAAAGTGGTCGAGTTGGGACAGTTGGTTGTTGCTAAGGTGGTGCAGGATCTCCGCACTTTCTTTTCCTCCCGCCTCCCTTTCCATCCTCCCTATCCTTCCTCGATCACATGCTCCAGAACCCCCGTGACCTGAACGATGCAAAAAGATTCAATGGCTTCTGAGAAAGGCATCACTCACCACCAGGAAAACGTCTTCACTCAAGATGCCTCCAAAGCCGCTGGTCATGGCCTCGCAGCCACTGATCAGTATGGACGGGCGTTGATCGAGTTCGATCCAGCAGCAGAACGCCGCCTGCGCCGCAAGATTGACCTGTTCATCCTCCCCACTGTTTCGCTCATCTACCTCTTCTGTTTCATCGATCGAGCCAATATTGGTAAGCATTGCCCCATAGAGGATACAATGCGCGTGCCTCTAACCACCCTCTACCATAGGAAATGCCAAACTGGCCGGTCTCGAGAAAGACCTAGGCTTCACAGGCTACGACTACAACATCGTCCTCTCAGTCTTCTACATCTCCTACATCCTCTTCGAAATCCCCTCCAACATCGCTTGCAAGTTGATCGGCCCGGGCTGGTTCCTCCCCGCGGTGACCACCGCCTTTGGCATCTGTTCGCTGGGCACGGCGTTCGTCCAGAACAAGCAAGGCGCCGCCGGGGTGCGCTTCCTTCTTGGAATCTTCGAAGCAGGCATGCTGCCTGGCATCGCCTACTACCTCTCGCGCTGGTACCGTCGCAAGGAGCTTGCCTTCTACTTATCGCTGTACATCGTGATGGCGCCGCTGGCAGGGGCGTTCGGCGGGCTGCTGGCCTCGGCGATCCTCAAGATCGACCACTTCGGCAGTCTGCACACGTGGCGCATGATCTTCGCCATCGAAGGGATCATCACGATCGGGCTGGGGCTCCTCGCATTCGTGACGTTGACGGACCGGCCCGAGACGGCGCGGTGGCTCACGCAGGAACAAAAAGACCTCGCCATTGCGCGGATCAAGTCCGAGCGCGTCGCAACGACCGAGGTCCTCGACAAGATGGACAAGGCCAAGATGATGCGGGGAATCTTCAGCCCGGCGACCCTCACCACGGCGTTCATCTTCCTGCTCAACAACGTCACGGTCCAAGGCTTAGCCTTCTTCGCGCCGACGATCGTGCGCACCATCTACCCAACCAGCAGCGTCGTCTCGCAGCAGCTGCACACGGTGCCGCCCTACATCGTGGGCGCCTTCTTCACGGTGCTCTTCCCCTTCCTGAGCTGGCGCTTCGACCGGCGCCTGCCCTTCTTCGTCCTCGCCCCGCCGCTCACCATCACGGGCTACATCATGTTCCTGGCCAGCACCAACCCGCAGGTCCGCTACGGCGCGACCTTCCTCATCGCCGCGGGGGCCTTCAGCTTCGGCGCCCTCTGCAACGCCCACGTCTCGAACAATGTTGTCTCCGACACCGCCCGCTCCGCCGCCATCGGCACCAACGTCATGTTCGGCAACGTCGGCGGCCTCGTCTCCACCTGGTCCTTCCTCCCCTCCGACGCCCCGAACTACCACATCGGCAACGGCCTCAACCTGGCCACCGCCTCCATGACCCTGATCCTGGGCGCGTTGATGTGGATGTGGATGCGCTGGGACAACCGCCGCCGCGAGAAGGTCGATATCGATCGCGCGCTGGCCGACCTCTCGCAGGAGCAGATCCAGGATCTGGACTGGCGCAACCCCGCCTTCAAGTGGAAGATGTAAATATTTCCCCTGGGAGTGTTGTTTGGAGCTGGAGAGACTGGCTGGGCGGGTCACGGGTGTTTCGGTTGAGTGTCACGGGTGTTCTGGAGCGCAAGCGTTTGTGAAGTTTTTGTATGTATGTTAAGTAACTGTTTGATCACGTGTCCTCCGGACTGAGTACTATTCTACATGTTATACATCCAATATAAATATGCTAATTCGATGTATACATTTCAAAGCTGTTGCCTGGTTCCAGACTATCGGAGCGGCATCCCGGCAGGCATTGCACTACATATAGTAACCTCACGAGCCAACGAATTGACTGGAACAGCGCCTCGATTCATTATAGCAAGTCATCCATTCTATCAATTCAGTGCACAATCCCTCTCTCGCGACGTCCCTGATTCTATCACTTCTATCGACGGAGTAAACGTTCTGTAGTCCTGAAAGGTTTTGCTTTCTTATTGAAGTGATTATTATGTCCAATCATGACAAGTTGGGTACTCAAAAATGCACGTCAGAACAAACGTCACTTTACAGAACTACCAGCGAAGAAGGTATAGCATAAACTTAAGGATATTGTAAAATGCGTCAGATGACCACGATCCGGCAAACCGAGACGGACATTCGTTATGGTGTGAGGTTGCTGTAGTGTAGGTTGATCAACATACGTGGTGCAGATTAATCAATAATCTCGCTTCTATTATTTGAGCGGCGTGCAGTTAGCTTGCTAGTACGATGTTTTGTCATCCATAATGTATTGTACATTGGTCTATATAGAAAAAAGAACCCTAGACCCTATTTTTGAAGCATGCATATCTTACAAGCTGTTTATAATCCCCCAAAAAATTGCACAGCATATCATGCTCTACCACTACCCCTCTATGCATCTACGTCTTCTCTTATTTTTTCCATCCACCTTCCTGTGCAAGACGCTAAATCGAAATTATATATCCTTCCTCGCGTACCGACTGTGCTTCTTCCGCAACGTCTCTCCGTACTAAATACAAACGCGTCAGTATCATGATTAAGAAGCTGTCAATCACCAGGGCGGAGGGGGTGGGGAAAGCTTACCTTCATCAGGACATACGGAATCGGGATAAAGACAATAGACAAGAACGCCAGCGTGGAGCTGGCCCACCCCACGCCCAGATTTTTGTACATGGCCGACGCAAACAGGGGGAACCCTGCGCCGAACGCTGACCGGAACAGATCGTTCCCCGCCAGGACCGACGCCGCGTACGCCGGATACGCATCAGGCAGATAGTTCAACACGGGGTTGAAGAGCAGAAAGGCGCCGAGGCCGAAGAACCCCGAGCCGACGATGGGCATGATCCAGTGGATGTCGGGGCGGGCGCTCCAGCCAAACCAGAACAGGCAGATGGGAATGCAGCAGCCGCCGACGATGGCGGGCGGGAGGCGGGCCTCCGGGGCGATGTTGCCGTTCTCGTCGAAGCGGGGCTCCAGGTATTTGTGCATCCACCAGTAGTAGGGGGGCAGCACGAGGAGGACGCCCACGAGGATGCCGATGAAGGCGAGGCCTTCTTGGCCCAGGTTGAAGCCGTAGATCTCTTCGAAGACGATGGAGAAGGACTCGAACCAGACGTACAGCAGACCGTAGATGAGGGCAATGTAGAGGTTGAGGAGGAAGACCATGGGCTCGAGGAAGTTGAGGGTGAGCGGGCGAACGAGCGTGATCATGACCAATTCGCGGCCCATCAGTCCCTCGCTCTCAATCTCAGGCTCGCATTTCAGGTTCTCGCGGCCTGTGAGTTTGCGGAGGCGACGGGCTCGGCGGTACAGGATGTTGGCGGACGAGGTCTCAGGCAGAAGAAAGACGAGCATCACCAGCGAGAAGCCCGACAGCCACATGAGTTCCCAGATGGTCCAGGTCCAGCCTTTGGCTTGCGCGGCGAATCCTCCGACTAAGGGTCCGATGACGGGGCCGCACACAGCGCTGATGCCCCAGATACCGATCGCGTAAGCGCGTTTCGCGGGGCGGAACATGTCGGAGATGGTTGCGCCGCCCTGTTTAGAGTTAGTACCAATTCTTTCTTTGAGTCGGGAAGAGACGCACGGTGGCTAGGGCGGGAGAGCCGAAAAACCCCGTCAAGAATCGAAATGCCAGCAACGTCCCCAAGTTTTTGGCGAGCGCGGTGGGCACCTGGAGGCACACGAAGATGATGAGGGTGGCGATATAGACAGGATTGCGTCCGATCTGGGGCACCTCGCTCATCGGCGAGAAGATCAACGGACCGAGCCCGTATCCCGCGACGAAGAGCGTCAACCCCAGCGTGGCAGCGACTTGGCTGATCTGGAATTCTTTGGTGACTGTCACAATCCCCGGAGTAAAGATGGAGCTCCCGATGTAGACGCTGAAGGTTAGGAGGCAGATTTCGAAGGTAACGAACACCTTCTTCCACAGGGGCCAGTTCTGAGGATTCTGGGCCGATATTAGGTTGGTATGTGTGCAACATGCGTGTGCATGTGTGTGCATGTGAACGGACGCGCACATACCTCTTGATCATTCTCGTCCCACCAGTCGATGACATTGACGTCTTTGCCTTTCTCGGGGTTGATCCGTACGCCCGTCAAGCCTTGGAAATTGTGGCCTCTGTGTTCCCATGCCGTCGAGGGGATTCGAGACAGGTGTTCACGGGGAGAGTGGTAATAGTGGTAATCTTCGTCGGGGACATTGATGGCCGAGTCGACTCGACCTTCATGAGCCATCTGGCCTGATTTCTCTAGGCTGATGTATCGCTTCCATAGTTCCGGGTCTCTTTCTTCAGCGTATCGAAAGCAGCGATTGCTGGTGAGAAGGCGAATGGCATGGCCAAAGACCGAGTCTTGGATGAGAGTAGCGGCCATTGCGTAGGTCGGTCGGTTAGTCGATCAGGAAAAATCCAGAGACCCTGAAGATCGCTCCACCCAGACCCTTTTGGCCGGAACCTTTTATAATATCCATGATATTCAAGTTTCATGGCGATGATGATGATGCAGAGAGTTGGTGGTGGAGACTTGAAATGCGAGTCATGGGTGGTGAAGAGAGGCCGGATTGATAATGCGGATGATGTAATGGAAGGATGATGCACCGGTGATGGAACATGTTTGTCTGGTTTGTTCCACTGGCTGTTTGTTTGGTTTGAATCGTCTCTCAAATGCCAGTCGAGTCGTCGAAGGTACTGACAGATTTGGTCCATCTGCACAATTCACGGCATCTTGTCTTACACTCACAGTTTTCAAACTTAGTTGATGAGCACAATCCCCCCCCTCCCCCCACTGGACTGCGGCGGTGGGACCATGTTTGTTCTATCGGTCAGAATTCACCCTTTGTCTAGGGACCACTCAACTAACCCTAAACAGAGCAATGCGTTGCTGATCACTACTCCGTACCACGAGGTGACATTAAGACTACTTGCGTAGGTGGAATTTTAGTGAGCTGTCCGCATTAACGCGGTCCATCCGGTCCATCTCGCGTGACCCGCCCCCAGTCCCACGCTTTCCCCATAATTTCCCCGGTCATGGCGGGTCTTCCCCGGGTTTGTGCCGTCCCATACACCCTCATTTGCTCGGAATTCGTGCGCGGAAGTTGACCGAACCTCCCTTAGCCAAGCCAACGCATGCCATTTCCCCGCCTGTCGAGGGATGCAACCCTCTCCATCCGGGGAAAAGACCTCGTAGTGACCCCACGGTCCCTTTGCCAGAACGTGGGGAAGTCGGTGTCCGCCAGTCAAACAGGGCGTTCCGGTGCATTCCCATTGATAAGCTCCTCGTGAAAACCCGGACGGTCGACAGGGGACATGCCGGATTACACGCTCGGCAACCTGCGTTTCCTCCTCGAGCCCATGCGTTCACAGAGGCAAGTTGGTCAGACGATCACGATGATTGGTGTCTCTCATTCACAAACTTCTCGCTCATTCCGATGCACCCCACACTACCGTAGTTGGTGTGGTACACGCTCATCGCTCTCTCGGGGTGCATCCGCGCTTTGACCCTATATAAACGCAATGAGACGCACTCCAATGTTTCCACTTCCATCATACCTTTCTGTCCAAACAGTACTCTAGCTGATTGCGCCTGTGTGCCCTACGATGGCTGGTTCCAAGAAACCGGTCAATATCTTCCGTCTGAGGAACCTCGGCGACCCAAAGGAGATCTTCAATTGGAAGCTATGGTTCGCCGTTCTCTCCTTTGGCCTGATGGGCGCTGCTCGCGGGGTGGACGAGGGGTTGATCTCGGGCGCTTTCAACTCCGCCGACTTCAAACGCACCATCCATTACAGCTCATATAGCGCGGTCGAACAGACCAACATCAAGGCGAATGTGTCCGCTATGGTGCAGATTGGGTCGGTCGGTGGTGCTCTTTTGTAAGTCTTCTGGCCCAACCAACGCAGTGGTTCATCTCTCATATGCTGTTCAGCGCTTTCCTCGTTTGTGACCGCATTGGACGCATTTGGGCTACTCGCCAACTGTGTGTCTTGTGGATCATCGGTATTGCCATCTTTATGGGAGCCAATGGCAACCTGGGTGCGATCTATGCCGGTCGCTTTGTGGCCGGGTTGGGCGTAGGACAAACGGTCGTGGTGGGACCCGTTTACCTGGCTGAGATTGTGAGTGATGGCCAGGCCATGGATTGCGAACCCGACTAACCCGTTGGAGGCGCCTGCATCTATCCGAGGCTTGTGTACCTGTGTCTTTACCGGATTCGTCTATCTCGGCATTGTGCTCGCCTACTTCACCAACTACGGCTGCCAAGTGAACCTTGGGGACAACACCCACAAACGATGGGTATGCCACCACCCACTTTCTATGACTGCGATGAAACTGACTGGTCGTAGGAAATCCCCACCAGTTTACACATCATCTTCGCCGGTCTGATCATCATCCTCTCGTTCCTCCAATACGAATCCCCCCGATTCCTGATCAAGAAAGGCAAACCCGAACAAGCCCTGCGTAACCTCTCGCGCATCCGCAACCTCCCACAAGACCACGAGTATGTCGTGCGAGAGATAACCGCCATCCAACAAGCCCACCAGGCCGAGCTAGAAGCCACCATGGGCGCCGGCTGGCTTGGCATCCTCAAAGAGGCCTTCCTCATCCCGAGCAACCTATACCGCCTCTACCTAGCCGCCATGGCCCAGCTTCTGTCGCAGTGGTCCGGCGCGGGCTCAATCACACTGTACGCGCCGGATCTCTTCAAACTCCTAGGGATCACCGGCTCCAACGAGTCCCTCCTCGTGACCGCCGTCTTCGGCATCGTCAAGCTCGTGGCCGCCATCATCTGCGCACTCTTCCTCGTCGACGTGATCGGTCGCAAACGCGCCCTGCTGCTAGGCATCACCCTCCAGGGGATCGCAATGGTCTACATCGCGGCGTTCCTGACTGACGTGCCCCAAATGGGCATCGACGACGCCTTCGTCCTCCCGGACTCGAAAAAGGGGATCAGCCGCGGCGCGATCGCCATGATCTACATCTCGGGCGTCGGCTGGGCCCTGGGCTGGAACTCGATGCAGTACCTGCTGACGGCGGAGCTGTTCCCGCTGCGCATCCGCGCCCTCGCCACCTCGGCCGCCATGACCCTCCACTTTGTGAATCAGTACGGCAACTCGCGCGCCGTGCCCAACATGCTGCTCGCCACCACCGCCGGCGGCATCACCCCCAAAGGCACCTTCTGGTTCTTCGCTGCTGTCACCGTGCTAGGCGGGGTGTGGGTGTGGTTCAGTGTCCCCGAGACGGCGGGACGCAGTCTGGAGAGTATGGATCGCTTGTTCGAGTTGCCGTGGTACAAAATCGGGCGGTATGGGAACCGCGACGCTGAGCAGCGCGATCTGGTCATCAGCGAGAAGCAGGAGCACGCGGACGAGCATTTCGGGACCGCAACGCACGAGGAGCGGGCGGATGTGGCGGCCAAGGTCTGATTTTGTTGGAATGAGAGGTGAGGTGGTGGTCTTTGGGCTGATACAGAATCCTTTTGGGTCTGTCTATCTTCTCACTTGCGGACTTATCGAATCAGAGTCTCGAGTGGCTGGCCGTTAGCCTCTGGTGCTTACCACCAGGTCCCACCAGAAATAGGTCGGTAGGTCCTCTACGTAGGCATGTCTCAATCTAAGATACCATAACTACTGCCTATACAAGACGAAATGCAACACATATACCTGTGCATGAGAACCAATCCTTAAGCAGAGCACCACGGCTACATTCCAATCCCCCAACCCCCAACCCCCCTTCCACAATTCGTCTACAACCCCATCACTGACTGCAAGCGAACTACATCCACCACATTTCCACGTGAAGCTAGCATTAGTCCCACATTTCGTCTCTTTCCAACAAGAGTGTACATGAAGCGAAGCTGGTTCGTCGTTGCGCTCAACGCCCATGTACGTCAACCCCAGCCGCGATACTTATTTAAAATCAAGTCTTGCTGTCAGACCATGTCATTGCATCTTGTACAGTACACAGCTATAGTATCTACTCCACCCTCTCGACGCGCTGCACCACCATCGCCGTCGCCGCACCGCCCCCATTACAAATAGCGGCGACGCCATACTCGCCCGGCTGCAGCTGGTGCAGCAGGGTGACCAGGATGCGCGACCCGGAGCTGCCGAGCGCATGGCCGAGCGAGATCGCGCCGCCGAGGGGGTTGACCCTCGCGTTCTCTAGGCCGAGGATCTAGTTCCGTTAGCACGATAGCCTCTTCCGCGCCAGATAGCGAACCTAAAACGTAAACGTAGACGTACCTTCTCATTCGCCTTAATCACGGCTGCAAACGCCTCATTGAACTCCCACACCGCCACCTGCTCCTTGGAAATCCCCGCGCGCCGCAACGCAATGGGCACGGCCTTGGCCGGCGCGACCGGGAAATCCACCGGATCGACCGCCGCATCCGCCGCGGCGACCACCCGCGCCAACACGGGGTTGCTCCCATCGCCCGCATACTCCCTGGCCAGATCCCTCGAGCCGAGCACCAGCGCCGACGCGCCGTCGTTCATGGTACTCGCGTTGCCCGCGGTGACAGTCCCCGACCCATCGCGCAGGAACGCCGGCTTCAGCGCGCGCAGCTTATCAGCCCTCAGATTCTCGAACCCCTCGTCCGTGTCCACGACCGTCTCCTTGCCTTTCTTATCCTTGATGGTAACGGGGACCACCTCCGCCGCAAACCTGCCGGACTGCCACGCGGCCTGCGCGCGCTCGTAGCTGCGGATCGCATAGTCGTCCTGCGCCTCCCGGCTGACCCCGTGCTTCTTGGCCGTCGTCTCGGCGCAGATGCCCATGTGGATCTGGTTGTACACGTCCCACAGCCCGTCTTTGATCAGCCCGTCCTCCAGCTTGATCTCCCCGAATGGTGGCAGCTGCGCGCTCCGCGGCAGGTAGTACGGGACCCGCGACATGTTCTCCATTCCGCCGGCGATCTGGGCGCGGGAGAGCCCCAGCTGGATGTTTTGGGCGGCTAGTGCCACGGCTTTCAGGCCCGAGGCACAGACCTTGTTGATCGTCGTGCAGTCGAGGGAGGGTGGGAGGTCGGCGAAGATGGCGGCTTGTCGCGCGGGTGACTGGCCGATGTTGGCGGAGAGGACGTTGCCCATGTATAGGTCTGTGAATTCGGGGATGGGGACCCCGGATTTGTGGACTGCGGCGCGGATGGCGGTTGCGCCGAGGTGGGGGGCGGAGATGTTGGCGAAGGGGCCGTTGAACTGGTTGGGGTTGGGGTGGTGTTAGCGGTGGAAGAAAAGGGTGTGTTTTGGTGGTTTTCCCCCATGTGCTTGAGGTTGAGGTTTGGGGATGTGGGTGGGGGGCATGGTGATGGTAAAGAGGGGGGAGTATGGGGGTCTCCCCCATGATCGTTAAGGGTGGCAGGTGAGTGAGAATTGTTCAAGTAGGCAGATGGAATGCAGGACTATAGGATTCTCAGCCCACCTTTGCAGTTGGCGTGCGGGCTGCACTCAGAATATAGGCTTCTTCGATCTGAGAGGGCCGGGTGGTGTGGAAGGCGCGCTGGAACTGAGGGCGTGCGGGGAGGGCCCGCATCACACGAGTGGTGCGCTGCATGATGAGAGGGCGGATGAATGACAAGCGAGAGAAAAAGAATAGATTTGTGAGAATGGTATTATGAATGAAGTAGGAGAGTTATTAGAGTGAGGGTAAGTGTAAGTCAAGAAGAAGCAGGGTGAGGGTAACTCTTGAGGTAGGTATATCCAGACATTAAATGAATGAAGTCCGCCTCCGCCCGCCTGTAGCCGCTGAGCCGCTGCCGAGGTAACCCCATCACGTGCGGGGTCACATGCGGGGTCGGCCTTTCCTCCGAAATTCCAACAATTAAACATAGGAAAACCACAACACAGATGACTGAACGAAAGACCGAAAGACATATACGTCCCACAAAACACCTGCAAAGCCAACAACCAAAGCCAACTACTGCCATCGTCCCAACCTCGACCCTCCACTCCGATCGTCTTCGTCCGCAATCCGCTCATCGCTCGGAAACATCGGCCAACAATCCGTCATCGAAGCGCGCGTGCGCGGTCGGGTCCGTCGATGCACCATGCGCGGACTCCTCACAGCCTCGTCGCTCCGACGCGCAAACGCAGTCCTCAATAACCGAGATCCTCGCTCCCTCAGATCCCGCCTTCCCTCCTGAATAATGCGCGGTCGTGCCTGCTGCAGCGTGTGCGATCGGGACGTCGATGGCGTGGGTCGAGCCCGTGAGTCCAGACGCGTGGGATAAGGCGAGGCCGTGCGAGGACGGGCCGGATCTCGGGATGCCATGCGGCCACGGCTGGCGTTGGTGTCCAAGGAGCGACTGCGGCGGTTCATCGGGCGGATGGGGATTCTGCTTGGTGGGGGGCGCATCGTGCTCGGGCGCGTGGGGCTGTCCTCCCCGGAACTGCCCGTCGTCGTGTCCTCCACCGGGCTGTTCTCGCTCGAGCTAGGCGGGACCTGCTCCAGATTCTCGGCGAAGTGGACATGGCGCGTCGGGGTCATGCTTCGACTGCTCTGGTGCGGAGAAGCAGTCCGGAGTCGCGGCATCCCTGGCGTGGAGCGCGTCTTGCGGATGGGCTCCCGCTCCGCCACAGGAGAGCGCGGCCGCGGGGGTCGGGTCCGTCGCGGGGGAATGGGTGGAACGGGTGAAATGACCCGGGCGGCTTGAGACCGGGGTTGGCGGATCTCCAACTCCACTGCCGGTCGGGCGGGTTGAGAGCGAGAACGAGGCCGGAATACCTGTTTGATTGCACGCGTCAGACGATTCTTATGCGAAGGGCTCGGGCGATGTACCACTTCTGGATCCATCGTGATTGGAGATGTGGGTCGTCTGGGTTGAGTGACGAAGATCTGCTTGAAAGCTCGTGTCAGCCGTCTCCGCTTGGGAGGGATCGAGGGAAGTCCCACAGGTGACGGTGTGACGGGTCGAGGACGCCCTCGGGGCAGGCGTTCCTCACGCAGAGCTCGCGCTCCTGGACGTGGGGCGGCAAAGTGAATCGCCGGTGGTGATCGCGAGGGCGTCGATCTGTACGAAGTCTTGGGTCTCATGGGCGACACCAGCTGGGGCTCAGGGCGACGGGGAGGGTCGACCACGACGGGCGTGCGTTGCCAGGGCCGGCCGCGCGGCCGCCGGAGTGGCAGCGGCCGCCTCAGTTCATCGTCCGACGAGTCCGGCTGCCGTCGGAGAAAGGGAAACCGAAATTTGAAGCTTCCACTACGTCTGCGGGTGAGTGGCCTCGGCATACCGTGCGGGTCGTCTAGGCCCCTCATAGTCGTGTTTACTGGCACCTCGCGGCAATCTCGTTCGATACTGGTCCGCGTTTCTTTGCGGCAGAGTCTGATCCAGCCTCGGGGACAGCGCTTCACCTTGCGCTCGATGCGCCTAATCCCCCCCGGAAGGACTTCGATAGTTTCTCTGATATGGCACATGATTAGCAGAGACTCTCTCTCCGACCTGCCGTGTACTGGGTGGGAAATTACTCTATGACAGGTAGGTAATCCAAATATGATGCTGATTTTTTCTAGCCGAAGGGCCGTAGGGCGGCCAGATATACTTGCCGGGGGCAGACTCGCAACTGAAACCTGCCCTCACAGACAAAGAACACGCACCGGCATCGTAGAGCAGTGGGGACAATAGGCGTGGCATCCGATCTCTTTGTGTAGACAGCGGCGTTGTCGCAACAAGGACAACGGGGGTGAGCGTGAAAGCAACCAACTCTTGTTGTTCAGTCCCGGGCGACATGTGGTAGAAGTCATGGGTTCACCGCGCCTGATAGAGAAAGGAGCAGAACATACGAGGCATAGGTTGGTTCAGGTGGTTAGGGAATCAAAAGACAAAAGAGATAAAGAGTGGGTTCCAGTCCATAAACAAGGGGAAGAGTCAAAGACATTATATCTCCTGCCCCATCACCCAGAGCACATGGAACGGGAGATCACCGGATTCGAGCCCTGGGCTCTTTTTGTTTTCCTCTCCAGCCTTCGTGTGGCTGAGCAGGTGTAGGTAGGAGAAGGTAGGCGTAGGTATAGTACCCAGGCACCAGACCATACCTATTCCAAGCTAGACGGGAGTCATTCATGTCTACTTCGTATTGTGGGATTTCCGGTGAGTGCTCGGCATATTGCTGGAAGTACCAGCCTTACGAAAGAGGTAGTTAGTACTTACTACAGTAGGTAAGTTAGCGAATGATGGAAAAAGTGCGGTGCAGTGCAGTGCAGTGCAAGTGGAGGTCACCCGGGCTCTCTCTTTCTGACCCTCCTATCATCCAGCCCGAGTCACCCGGGCAATTGCAGTAACCAGATGACATGACATCACCAGCCTTTTTTTGTTTCTTTTTTGTTTCTTTCTTTCTTTCTTTTTTTTTTTTTACAGTTCGTCTTATTTGTTTATTTGAGCGGTGAAGGAATTACCAGGATACACACTGAGATAATCACATGCATTACGTAGTACACCAGAAGAGCCTCCTCATTATCTCTCTCTTAGTCTTATTGCTGGAGCGAAGATGGAAGAAGAACCTGCCTCCGTCCCTGCACAGGCTGCACCCGCGGCAGCCTGCAGCCACCAACAGAACCAATCCCTAGACGCTTGATGGTTGGTTGGTTGGCTGGGATCGCTTGGTCCCTGACTCTTGCCTGCCCATACACTGTCATAACCCAAGCTACCTCAGCTACTATTCGACTCCGTATAGATTAACGGGAAAGAATCTGGAAGAAAGGATTATCAGGCAGCGATTATGATCTTCCGTATACTGTATATAGTCCTTGCGGTAAGGTATAGGGGTCCGTTGTGCCTGACCTGACCTGCCCTGCCCGAGCCACAGTTCGTATCGCAGCCACAGCCTCGTGGTGTGGCGTTTAAGGGGATGGGATCCTGGCCAATCACCGATGGGGTTGGGGGGGAGAGGGGGTTGTTGGGTTGACTGGTCGTATGTGTGGGCAAATTGTAAGCTGGGTGTTGGTTGCATGGCGGATCGGTCCGGTGCATACTTTTCTTGCAGTGTTGGTTTGTGGGCTATGGATGGTGGTGAAGGTGGACGGGAATATTGTGAATTGGGGGAGGGTTGGCGCAGTTGCTGAGCCACGATCCTTGCTACTCACTAGTCCAAGAGTGATGGCGGATGATTGTGTTTTCTGCGAAGAGGAGTCGACACGGGCTCTTAGCTGGTTAAGCAGATAATGGCATTATACGAACTGACTATACTACAGTCACAACTATTCTGACCGATACTAATTCTCCACATCCACCACCTGCCCCGTCCGCAACGCCCGTCCGATCGCGTCCACCACATCCAACGCCCGCAACGCCTCTGCCCCCGAACACACTGGCTCAACCTTCCCCTCCAGCACCTCTACAAAATGCGCCAGCTGCAGCGCGAACGGCGTCTGCGTCGTGTCCACCGCCGCCTGCTCCACCGCCAACTCCTCGTTCCAACTGCGCTGCGCGCGGCCCTCGTAGCTCCACAGCCGCATGTCCGGGACGCTCAACGACCCCTTCTGCCCAAAGATCCGGTAGAACCCTTCGCCGCCTTGGCCCTGAACCTGCGGGATGAGTGGGTTCTCGCCGGTGCCGGCCTCGAAGCTCCACGGCGCCGGCGTGGCATCGCACACCAGGAAAGTGCCTACCACGCCGGAGGCGAACCGCAAAGTGATCGCGGCGCCTTCTTCGGCATCGTGCGGGGGGGACGGCCGCGTGGAGGGTGTTTGCTCGGCGAAGACCCGCGTGATCGGGCCGAAGAGGTAGTGTAGTAGGTCGACGTCGTGGATCAGGTTAATGGACAGCACCCCGCCGCCCGTGGTGGTGCTGCGGCGCCAGTCGCCCGGTGGGGCGAAGTAGCTCTCGGGTTTGTACAGGGTCCAGAGGCCGTTGAGCGCGATGAGCGGCCCCAGCGCGTCGCTGGAGAGGAGCTGCTTTGTGGCGGTGATGTAGGGGTTGAAGCGGCGGTGGTGGCCGATGAGCAGTTTCGGAGATGACAGGGTGAGGGTGGAGAGCAGGGCGCGGGCGGTTGCTGGGTCGTCGCTGATGGGCTTCTCTAGCAGGACGTGGATGCCCTGCGCCAGGAGGTCTGTGGCAATGGGGATGTGCGTGTGGTTGGGAGTGCAGACGATGGCTGCGTCGGGGCGCGGGGTGGAGGGGCTGGCCAGGAGGGCGGCCACGGAGGGGAAGTAGGCTGTCTGCAGGGTCTCGGCCGTTTGGACAGCGTTGGGGGAGGGATCCACCAGGGCAAGGAGGTTGGTGTTGGGGTTGGCCTGGACGGTTTGGGCGTGACGGGGGCCAATGAGGCCGGCCCCGACGATGATGATATTGAATGGCATACTGAAGGGTTTGGGGATGTGGTTGTTCGAAGGAAGAGTCGCAGGGGCAGAGCAGCCGGGGAGCAGCTAGTTATACCTCGTCCACGCAGTTGGGTCCGGGGTAACCGATGGACCCTGGAGTGGGCCGTTCCATGACGTGTCTGACTCACCGACCTTTGTGTCTCCGGATAATCGGATAGAGATTGGGATAGACAGAGGCAGGGACGAGTTGTGTCTAGACCTAGTGGCTAAACGAGATCTGGGGATGAGCTCTTAGCCGGGGTGTACAAAGCATATATGCCATAGTATATGTACTCAACCTTGGATCTTGAGGCAGCTGCAGTAAATGGATATGTCTTCGTTGTGATGATGAGGAATGGTATCATAGGATCAAAAGGAACGATTAACAGAGACACCGAGATTGTAGGTATCTCATGTATAAGTTACCAACCACTTTTGAAGTGATGGTACCAAGCAGAAAGTGAAAAAGAAAAGCAAGTGCCGAGAGCAGTCACCGTCCCCCGCAAAAGCCGGGCCCGCCAAACCGGCGCCGAGTCGGGGGCGATGCCTCAGGCGCCGGGCCCGGTCGGGTGTTTGCACTGTTGCATTGTTTATTGCTTTTGGTACCACGGAAAAGTCTTGGCTTCCCTCTTCAGAGTCTCCTCTTGGCATCGACACTGCCACTCTCCCGTCTGTCTTTACTGCAACCTTTCTCCTCTCTGACTTCACACAAGGGATGACAGTCCGGTCAGAATGCCCCTGATCGTTGTGTGCAGCGAAAAACTGTTGATGCCCCTCACCACTTCATCTTTCACACCCGACTAAAAGGCTGACGAGGCCGATCATGGCCGCGTCGACCCCGGATTTCCGCCCGGCGGACGACTCGGCCGCCCCGGCCGCGAAAGAATCCTCTTCCCTGAACTTCTTCACCACCAAGCTGGACTTCTTTGTTCATGCGCCCAGCCTGGATGATCTCTGTGGCATATACAACCCAGTGGTAGCTCTGCTCGAGACGGGCGTCCATAATGGCCTCTGGTGGCTGGACGTGACCGCCGCCTCCGATGAGGACATCGAGACCCTCGCGCGGAGCTTCGGTCTCCACCCGCTGACCGTCGAGGACATCACGCAGCGTGAGACGCGCGAAAAGATCGAGCTCTTCGAGTCCTACTACTTCCTCTCATTGCGACCGCCCAGTTCCCGCAAGACCGACGACGGCGTGTGTATCGTCTCCCACAACCTCTACGCTGTTGTCTTCCCGGAGGGGGTGCTCAGTTTCAACTTCGGCACCAGCTTGCACGCTGACCACGTCCGGAATCGTATCAAGGAACACCGGAGCCATTTGGCGCTGACCAGTGATTGGATTTGCTATGCTATCATGTACGACCCCCTCCCCGTATTTCCTTCTTCAACGCTAACTCTACTCTCCTAGTGACGCGATTGTCGACGGCTTTGCCCCGTTCATTGCTCGCGTGGAGACCGGTGTCGACCTGATGGAAGACCACATTGCCGTGACCCGCCCGGACGAGATTGGACTGGCTTTGCAGCAGATCTACAAGTGGCGCAAGGAGGTGATTCAGATCCGACAGCTGCTGCATGACAAGACGGATGTGATCCGGTGTTTTGCGCGCCACTGTGATGCGCTGGCGGCTACGTCGACCCAGGTGGCTCTGTATCTCAGTGACATCCGCGACCACGTGCTGACCATGATGGCCAATCTGGAGCAGGCGGAGCAGATGCTCTCGCGGTCGCAGTCGAAATATCTGTCGCAGCTGCACTTCGACTCCGGGCGCATGCGCAATGAAATCGCTACGGCGCTGAGTCGGTTGACCGTCGTGGCGTCGACGATCGTGCCGATGCAGTTTATCACAGGGCTTTTTGGGATGAACGTCATGGTGCCTGGCAAGTCGCCTGGAGGCCTGGCGTGGTGGTATGGGATTATTGGGGTTATCCTGGTTTTGATTGTGCTGTTTCTGCTTGTGGCTAAGAGAATGAGGTTATTTGATCGATAATCTACCAGAGAATAGCAAGCTACGACAGCCATCCACACCCTATGCATTGACCAGCCTGCAACCGCCTAGTCATTCCTCAGAACCGCCTCTACCAACTCCGCCTGTCGTGCCAGCACCTCTTCCCTCAGCCGCCGTCCGACCAACTGCACATGACAAGGCGCACCTTCCACTTCCTCCGGTCGATCTGCATCCCATCAATTGGAGTGTCATAGCGGTGGATGGAACACTTACAAGGGGGTCGATATACTGCATCCTGTCTGAACCATTCCCGATCCGCAGCAGCATCTGACCTGCCGAACGGCAGCACGCAGCTCGGTCTCTGTACGCGATCAGCACCCAATCTCCCTCGTGCCAGGACAAGGATGTTAGAGTAGAACATACATCCACCAAATTCCAAAACACTGTATACCACGCATGACTGTACGTATCATGCGGCAGGGCGCAGCTCTGGTACGCCGGCGCCAGGATCACATCCAGCTTCTTCTCTACGAACACCCGGCGCGTCTGCGCAGTGATCTCCGCCTTTCGGGCGGTCAGCCTGAATAGATCGCGCAAGGTTGGCGCAGGGTTTGTCGTGTTGGATCCATTGACAATCCCCACGGACGGAACGTGCGGCTCCCCCGCTGCATCCAGATGCGATAACGCTGTCCGGTCAGCGTCGAGGCCGAACAGCCCGAAGGCGATCTCATTCCCATCCTCCATGTCCGGGAACTGCGTAGTGATATCCACAACCCCGTGGCCCGCAGCAGCGAGCTTATCGGCCGCCCGATGAAGGTTCCGCGCGATGTTTGGGTGCAGCGGCAGACCCGGGTGCGCCGTGAACAGCCCGATCCGCAGCTTCTCGCCTTCGTTTTGGTCGGACACAGCCCACGGTATGCCTAACGCGGCATCATCGAAGTCATAAGGAGGCACATCACAGACGGTCTTCATGAACAGATTCGCATCACGGACGGAGTGACAGATGGGCCCGATCACCGGGGAAATCCCGGAAAGATACCCCGCGACGCTGGGACTCATCACCCCGGCGTGGGGCACACGGCCCATCGAGGGCTTGAACCCGACCAAGCCGCAGCAGTGCGCGGGGATGCGGATCGAGCCCGCGATATCGGTGGCGACGCCCAGCAGCGACCCGCGGAGGGCGACGAGGGCGCCCTCGCCGCCCGAGCTGCCGCCGGCGGTCAGCGTGCGGCGGTGCGGGTTGAGCACGCGGCCGAAGACGTTGTTGTGCGAGTCGGCGGTCATCAGCGTTTGTGGAACGTTGGTCTTGACGTAGATGATGGCGCCGGCGGCGAGCAGCACGTCGACCAGCGGCGTGTTGGCCTTTTGGACGGGTCGGTCCAGGAATGCGACGTAGCCCAGCGTTGAGGCCACCCCGGCCACGTGGAACATATCCTTTACGCTGACGGGTAGCCCGTGCAACGGGCCGACGGGCTGTCCGGTTGTTGCGAGGTGCCTGTCTAGCTCCTTTGCGCGGGCGTGCGCTTGGTCGAACATCGTCTCCGTGAGGCAGTTGGTCAGTTGCTGCGCGATGGCGGCGCGCTTGCTGAAGGCTGTTGTCACTTCGACGGCGGTGTAGGTGCCGTCCGCCAGTTGGGCGAGGAGCGTCGTGGCATCTGCGGTCTCGGTGATGGCCAGCTCGCGCGAGCTCAGGAGCCCGCTCTTACGCGGGATGGAGAGGACATTCTCGGGGGAGATGGGGGAGGCGGTGGCTAGGAGGGCGGCGGGCAGGCGCCATTCGGCGGGGATCTTGGCCAGTGCTTCGGCTTGCTTGGCTTGGACTTTTTGTTGCCAGGCTGGGGTGGTCATGGTGTGTTGTTGTTGGTGGTTGTGAATGTGTAAGTATGAGGTTTAGGATGGGGACGGGGGTAGGTGTAGGTGCAGTACAGTGGTTGTAAAGGATGAACGGGGTGAATGGCGTGCGGGGTGAAGAGGGGTTGAGCTGGCGTCGGCGAGACGGCCAATGCGAGGGTGATGTCACCTAGCGTCGAGGGGTACTGACATGAGTTGACTCTGGATTTACTTTGTGCAGACCAGTCTTATCCTCTTATATCTCCTTTGCAGAGTAGCGATCAACTTGGAATGAGGGTGTATGCCTCGCATGTTAACAAAGTATAGCAGGCAGATGTGCATTCACATGCCCGGATGAGTAATTATGCACAGCTTGTGAATGTATACTGAAAATCTCATGCAACCTTGTTGATGGACCAAATGGACATTCTAGACCTCCCTACTTTATTTCTATCATTGGCTCGTTTCTATGCAGTAGATCAGTCCAGAATAGTCTACAAGCCATGAAAAACTGCTGGTCTGAAAACTCTGTATATGATTCTGCCGTGTCGTGCATCGTCCACGCCCTTACCATGACATGCTCCACTTTTCCAATTTTGCACCCCAGACCCAGGTTTCGGGGTGGGCCACCGAGGGTAACCGACGAGATGTGAATCATCGCGAGTCTTTCTGTGCATTCTTCAACCTCCAGGTTTCTCTTCATCACCGAAGTGCAGTCACATTCAAATTCAACTTCATCTGGTGGCCGGACAGTACCTCAGGCTGCTCATCACCAGACAGCCCCGACAACCCTCACCTACACTGACACAACCCTCAGTACCTACACCCCATCCTCCACAGCCCAGCAAAATGGCCTCAACCTCAACCTCAACAGCCGTAGAATGGCAAACTGCCCCCGCAATCGAGCTGGAGTCGCGCGCGCCCAAACTCCCCTCCGCGGCCCCAACCTCCGCCACCGACGCGATCATGCAAGCGTCCGCGCAGGCGGACGCCGAGGTCCCCGACGGCGGACGCGGGTGGCTCGTGATCGGGGCGTGCGCGGTGCTGACGTGGTGGGTGATCGGGACCTCGTACTGCTGGGGGGTGCTGCAGGCGGCGCTGGTGGGGGAGGGCCTGGCGGCGGCGTCGACGCTGGCGTTCGTGGGGTCACTGGCGACAGCCTGCATCTCGTTTTTGGGGATCGCCAACGCGCAGCTGATCCGGAAGCTAGGCACGCAGACCAGCGCGATGCTGGGAGTATTTTGCTTGGGGCTGGGGTCGATTCTCAGCGGGTTCTCGTACCGCAGTGTTGCGGGGTTGTTTGTCACGCAGGGGGTCGTGTTTGGGGTGGGGATTAGGTTGGTTTGCCACCGGCTCTTCTCGGAGGAGAAAAGGTATAGCGATGGCGATGGCTAATAGGTTTTAGTATGTGTTTCATGGTCGTCTCGACGATCCCTGCGCAGTACTTCAAGGCCAAGCGCGGCACTGCCAACGGGATCGTCTACGCGGCCGGCGGCCTCGGCGGCACCGCGCTCAGCTTCCTCATCAACGCCCTGCTCAATAGCGTCGGCACCGCCTGGACCTTCCGGGTGATCGGCTTCATGACCTTGGCCACGGGGCTGCCCGCCGCGTGGATGGTGCAGCAGCGCGTTCCCATCCCGCGGGCTGCGTTTGTCGAGTGGTGAGAACCCCCTCTCTCCCTAACCCTAGCCAACTCCCACCCCCCCCGATCTAATGCTTGAATGTATTGTAGGCGCCTCTTCCGCGACCTCCGCTTCTGCCTCCTCTTCGCCGTCGGCGCCATCGCCACCTTCCCCTTGCTGGTGCCCCCCTTCTTCCTGCCCCTCTACGTCAACGCCCTGGGCATGGGCTCCACGGCCGGCGCCGGCGTCGTCGCCGCCTTCAACTTCTCCTCCGCCCTGGGCCGCCTCACGTGCGGCTTCGCCAGCGACACCATCGGTCCGTTGAACACGCTGTTCGGCTCGCTGCTGCTCTCTGCCTTGAGTATGTTGATCATCTGGCCCGTGTCGACGTCTATCGGCCCGCTCATCGTCTTTGTGGTCATTAACGGCATGTCGAATGGGGGGTTCTTCTCGACGATCCCTACGGTGGTTGGGAATGTGTTTGGGTCCGCGCGCGTGGGCGTCGCGATGGGGATGATTGTTACCGGGTGGGCGGGGGGTTATCTTCTTGTGAGTCTTGCCTTCAATTCCTCTTTGCTTTTCTTCTTCTGAAAGCAGAATGGGGTGAGTCTGGGGAGTGAGGGGACGGCTACTGACAAGGTGGCAGGGCTCGCCGATTGCAGGATACATTCTCGATGCGTCGGGGGGTGAGGGGGCAGGCACGAAGGCGTATCGGCCGGCCATTCTGTACGCGGGTTTCATGGCGCTAGCGGCGACGGTGCTGTCATTGGGGATTCGGGTGAAGACCAGCGCGAAATTGGGGAAGAGGGTTTGAATCCGGGGTAGGATGAAACCCAGAGCTAAATCCATAGACTGCTAGAGATTTTCCTTAAAACAGCATGCAATAGACATATTTCACTACTTTCACAACCATGCAATAAATCTCATCCACAGACATTGTAATGTCGATCTAGACGAATCACTCCGGAATCTGATGCTCCTCCGCCGCCACCCCAGCACGCCACCGATACTTGGCGGCGGGATGGCCTTCCGGCGGCCCCGTCTGGCCCCTCCGGCCGTACAGGTTCTCGCGATACGTGCCCCGCGGCACCGCGTAGTCCTCCCAGAAGAGACCCCGTTTCCGCAGCTCCGGCAGCAGCAGGTCGATGATATCCTTGAACGAGCCGGGTTTGATGGCGTATGCCTGGTGCTGTTAGCCTTGTTTACCCTACCCCTACCCTCACCCCCTGATCCACAGCCCACGGGGAAATAAGTGAAGTGCAAGCAAGCAAGACATACCAAATTAAATCCATCGACATCCGCCTCGGCGACCCACCGCTCCATCTCATCGGCCACCTGCGCCGGCGTGCCCACAGGCGTCGCCCCCAGCCCGCCGACGGTGATATGGCGGCCGACGGTGGCCTTGGTCCACTTGGCCACTTCCGGGGTGGCTTTCGACCAGCCTTCCACGGCAGACCTGTACACACACACCACCATCAGCATCCCCTCCCAATCAACCAACATAGAAAGGAAGGAAGGATTGGAAATTACCGAATAGCATTACTCTGCACCCCGCGCAACTCCTCCTCCTCGCCATACTGACTCAAATCAATCCCCGTCCACCCGCCAAACAACGCCAACGCCCCTTCCACATCCCCGTAGCTCTGATACTCTTTGAACGTGTTGCGGGCCTCCTCCTCCGTCGCCCCGAGAACGGGACACAGCAACGCCAGGAACTTGATGCTCGTGCCGTCCCGCCCAAATTGCGAGGCGGCCAGCTCCCTGATCTCAGCGATGTTATTCTTGACGACGGAGGGCGAGTGGCCCGCCACGAAGATCGCCTCCGCGTGCTGCGCCGCGAACAGCTTACCGGATTTGGACGTCCCCGCTTGCAGGATGACGGGCGTGCGCTGCGGAGACGGCTGGCAGAGGTGCGGTCCGGGGACGGTGAAGTTGGGGCCGGTGTGGTTGATGGGCCGGACCAGCTCCGGGGAGGTGTAGATCCCCGTGGTCCGGGAGAGCTGCACCGCGTCGTCGCGCCAGGAGGATTCCCAGAGTTTGTAGGTCACGCGCAGGTATTCTTCGGCTGTGGCGTAGCGGGTGTCGTGCTGGACTTTGTTAGTGTCTGGGGCTGGGGCTGGGGTTGATTCGGAAGGGCTTGGGCTACCTGGGGCTGTTCGGTGAGACCTAAATTGCGGGCGGCCGAGTCGAGGTACCCTGTTACTACCTATTTCTCATTAGATGCCTTTTCCTTGGGCAGAAGAAGATGAGGAGATGGAGGATGCGTACATTCCACCCGACACTACTCAACCCAGTTAGCTAGGAACGTAAACACCCCTAAATGACTGCAGAGAGCAAAGGGGATCCTACCGCCCCTTGGTCAGATGATCCACCGTCGACAGCCGCCGCGCCAGGTGGTACGGCTGCTCGTACGTCGTCGCCACCGTCACCCCGAACCCGATGCTCTTCGTCACCGCCGCCATCGCAGGCACGACCGCCAGCGGCTCGTTGACCGGCCACTGCGCGCCCGAGGCGATCGCCGGCCCCAAGTTGCGGGGGCCCTTGTACACGTCATAGCCGCCTGGCACTTTCTTAGCTTTGAACATTCTAGTCTGTTGAATGGAAACGTGAAGGAGAGACTACCTAGAACATCCGCGATAAAGATCCCGTGGAACTTAGCCGCCTCCAGCAGCTGTGCCAGCTCCGTCCAATGCTCGATGTCGTTGAAGCGGTGCGATTCGTCCTCGGGGTGGCGCCACAGACCCGGCGATTGGTGTCCACTGCCTTTGAGGAGTCAGCTTCTGTTCATGAGGTGGAGGATAGAGGAGAAGAAGAGGGACCTACACATCTCAACGAAGGCGTTGAGGATGAGGGATTTGCGCGGGCGCGCGGGCTCGATGGATGTCATTGTGGTGGTTGGGTTATGGTGAGAATGTTAATGTCAATTCCCAAAGTCAGGCCGTAACGATGCAGCCAGAAGCGATCCTATCGAGACTTTTATATTGTTTGGTCGTTGTCGCGGTTGATCTGCGTGCGTAGCATCAATGTGGGCCGGGATGGCGTGATAACGAGGGGAGTAAGGGTCATTCCCGGCTCTGGGGTACAGTATGGTGAGTAGGTGTCGGGCGATAGATGCACTTGTACCTACGACTAAGATATCTACCCGAGAGCAATGCTCAAGAAGATCAGGGATGTATTGGATAGCTTAGTGGATGCAGTGATTAGGGCTGAGCTTCCGCTGAGCTGCGACCAATGCATTGCCCTACTTTTGGGTCGATGCCGCCAGCGCGCGGCCCGGTCACGCAATGCCCCTCCAACACTTTTGCTGCATTGCGGGCAGGTACAGCTCCATGTCGGCCGAGAAATCACTGTAGCTCAATTTTGGCTTGCCAAAGCACCTAATGTGAATATGTGATTGTATAATAAGTTTGCTGATCACGCTAAGTGGGTGCACAACGTGCATCTGGCCGCCCTTAAGGGTCGTGACGCTATTTCACCAACGTGAAGCCTTTTTGCCATGATGCCGAGTTCTATGCATCGGAACCATGCTTAGGAGTTGTATAAGGCTGAAAGAATCTGCTATTGTTTATATAGAGAGTCTTTCTGGAGAAGGTGGTGCATGGCGCTGTGTGAATCTCGATCGCGATGCGTACTGCCACATATGATTTGACTGGTAGTCAACATCTACTGTAAACGGACATAGCTTAAACAGATCCACGAAAGAGTCTCAACAAATTATTCCAAATGGACATCATGCATTAATATCTTCAGTCCCCTGCTGTATGACCGATTCTAAACACTGCTGTAAAGGACTGACCCTGGCAGATCTAGGTCCCTCCTTGAATTCGCTCATGGCTGCTGTTATCTACTGCTGATTAACGGGTCCCTGTTGTTTACTCATACCTATTGTTGCCAATGCAGGCTGATACTTATTCCAAGACCTCCGATCCAACACTGGGTATAAACAACGAGATATACTCTTCTGACAGTTCTAAACCACCAGAGATACATTCAAAGCGAACACTCGTGATAAATAGCTTTCCGGGGCTGACTATAGCCACAGGTGAACCATGCTTCCATCCTCAAGACGCCACCAAGTCACCTTCACCGCAAACTCTAGGGCGATCTCTTAATACACAGCATTCTACAATGCAGTAATACGGCTAATGTATAAGAGAAAAAAAATCCTATATGGGAGAGAATGCGAAAGTTTCAGTATATCAAGTTGCAGGTCAAAGACTTCATCCGGACAATGATGGAAGCGCTTGGGGTTGAGTCCCAAAGCAATTTATATGATCGGAAAAATCACTCGGTCTCATCACAAGCAGTCCTTACTATAAGCAATCAGGTTGTCTGAGAAGTTAGTGAAGGGAGGTTGAATCTCTAAACTCTGCATTGATTCACATCTGCTATTGTAAAAGGTTGCAATGTTTGTAGCCTAACACTAGCTTCCATTGAAATCTGCCAAGCCTTGAAAGAAAAGAGCAAAGATAGAAACAAAATCCACCAAAGTTGGCGCTATAGCCAGAAAGCACTTTTATAATCCTAAAATTGTAAGCACGGTAAGTATCCAGGCTCACATCACAGCTTCTAGTTAGTAATCCACATCTGGACTCGTGTATATACTCAGGCCCATTTACATTCACAAATGGCACGTGAACATACTCAGGGCGCGCGGCGGAAGGGCACACAGAACAGCCCCCACAGGTAAAAGCAGATTCTCAAACATCATTGGGCACTCCGTATCCTCCAAGATTGATGCAGGGGGCTATTCAACACCGGCCCTGACTAGCGCAACGCTATCACATATTAGGGACCCTGACCATTCCGCTTCATCTGCCCTTGGCCTGATCGGGGGTATCACTCAGCCCCGATCCCCGACCCCACTTTAGCCGAGTCGGCCCTGGTTCTTTCCATCCTCCAATCAGTTATTTCAAGGGAACCGACATCGTCCTTTGAGGCTTCAAGTGCCCAGTAGCATGTAAGACTTCTCCACCGTTCATCTACTACGCCCAGGGCTTGTTCCTGCTAGTCTGTATGATGGTTGGTTAACACAGCTTGTTACCCCTTTCTACCTACCTAGCTAGTAGCTAGTAGTAGCTAGTTAACGGTCCTATTTAAATGTTAAATACTAACCATTCCTCCTACTTTGAACACATCCACTTCCCAATCCTACTTACGGACTTCGCCTGCAACGAGCAAAAAATGAAAGCTGTTTACTGCTAGGTCGCTACCGCCCTGATGGTACCACGGGCCCTAGCGGCCACTGCTTCCTCCACTACCTCTACGTCCACCACCTCCACTGCCGCCGCAGCAACCTGTACAGCTTCCCTCATCACGACTCTCTGCAGCTACCCGGAACCCGGCGACGACTTCGCTGTCGCCAGCGAGAGCACGGCCAACTGCTGGGATTACTGCAACGCCCACCCTCCGTGCAGCTTTGTGATCTTCGCCGCTGGCAACCCTACCACCGGATCCGGCACATGCTGGCTGTACCCGGGGCAATCCTACAACGCGAGCGAAGGCAGTTCCGACTGCAGCAGTCCCTACCTGTCTGTCTACGACGAACCCGTGTGTTCGGGCGGGAGCGCAACCACGACCACGGCTGGCGCCTGCGCCGCCACCGCGACTCCCACCGCTGTCGCCTCGGTCTGCGGGTACCCGGCGCCCAGCGACTGCTTTGACGACTGTGTGACCAGCACCGGTGCACCGGACTGCTTGAGTCTATGTGCGGGGGCCGATTCCTGCAGCTACGTTGTCTTCAACCCGGAGAATGCAGACAACTCGACGTATGCCTCGGGCAACTGCTGGATCTACCCGAACGGGACCTACGACGCGGGGTCTGCGACTACTTGCAGCGGTGATCCGGAGCAGTACGTCTACAACAACGTGTGTCCCAAGGCGTCGTATTCATCGTCCGCGCTTTCGTCATCTGCTACGGGCACTGGAACTGTAGCTACTACTACGGGCTCTACGGGTACTGAAATTGCCGATAAAACCGCGGCCTCGTCTACCAGCAGCGAGAATTCTGCGCCTGCTGGCCTCTCGCTTACTAATCCACTGGCGATAGGCATGGCAATGGTAGTATTGCAGGCCTTTTGGTGAGATTCCTGTAGTAATGTGTGGTTGTTCGGCGAAGCAATGTATTATATAAGGAGCTGCTAGGGTCCTCGAGTAAACTGCCTAGGACAATGAGAGAATTGTTGTATGCTAATCTGCATCCTTCTACTGCACCCAGGTCAACTGGCCAGGTCAAGGCTGCCACCTGAATCTGGCCGCATCAAACAAGCTGGATCTGCCGTTAAGGCATCTGAAGCCTCGTCTTGTGCATCCAGTACTACTTGTAGCATTTTGTGGCTAGATGGAGTGGCGATTCTTGCACATTAGACGAGCACTAATCTAGAAAGTATGAGGCGGGATTTGCCCATGCCCAATGGCTTCATCTCAATCATTATCAACATGTATCTGAGTTCATTCAAGCGAGTGGCAACCGATCCTTGAGGTAACTTTGTCGTCGTTAAACAACAGGTTATTGCGCCACCCGGAGGATAACATCTCCGCCCATGCCAAGTCTGCGTTCAGACCCGGAACTCTGTGGTGCCATCAGGGTTTGGTTCAACATATGACACGCTAGCTGAAATTCTCGAGAAGGCTAAAGCCTACAAACCTCACTACATCGTTTTAATCACTCTATCCCGTATCGCCGTTATTGGAAAGACTCAAGATACCATCGACCTTCCAACCTCTGACTTTGTCTCATACAAAATACCCGGACGCAGAGCTGTATCTCACAAATTAAGGCTTTAAGCATAAACCATTGCCAATACCATGCCGATATATCAATCGAAATTGACAGCTCGTTATCCGATTGAGGCAGATGTAATCCACGAGTACCACTGGCCCAGCATCCAAAAGAAGAGGGTTTTCGCCCCCCGTGCCAGCCAAGCATCCAAGCCATGCCAAGGCTCTCCGTCTCGTATTGCCTTGCATGCCAGAGGATGTCCCGGCACGTGGCGTATACCCGGACTAAGTCTCCCCCGGAATTCTGGGCCTCCCCGCGTTTCTGTGGGGATTGCGGGGGAAATCTGGGGTGACAGCTGCGACAATTCCACGGTGGATACACCCATGTTCACGGGTACTTTGTCGACCCTGAGATTGTCTACGGTGTTTCCTTCACCGGTAGAGATGCGCAAGACATGGGTATAAATCGATAGTCAGGCCTTGCAGGTCTACTACTGCCATGCACTCCTCTCCTTGACCTCAATTAGAACCAACGCACTCCTGAAAAATAGCGATGGCCACGCAGACCTCAGAGAAGACCGATCTCGCCCTCGAGGCGCAGAAGACCAGCAATGTGCACGTGGAAGACATCAAGTCTTCTGAGCTGCTTGATGCAAAGGGGGGCGATTACTCGGGAGCCACGGCCAAGACCGATGAGGTGGAAATCCGTCTCGTCCGCAAGCTGGACCTGCGAATCATGCCCATTCTGTGGATGATGTATTTTCTGAATTATGTTAGTGATCGATCCCAGTACCAGGATGGTCCTCACTAATCAATCATCTAGCTGGACCGCAATGCCATCGCCAACGCGCGTCTCAATAACCTCGAGGAAGACCTCCACCTGGTCGGGACGCAATACAACACCTGCATCTCGATCCTGTTCATCGGGTACGTGAAGCATGTCCCGCACCCACAGCACCCTCCCACTGACCACTGCCAGCTACCTGCTCATGCAGATCCCCTCGAACATGTTCATGTCCTCCCCCAAGATCCGCCCCTCGCTCTTCATGAGCATCTGCATGGGCAGCTGGGCGATCGTCTCCGCCCTCACAGCCCTCACCAAGAACTACGTCTCGCTCGTGCTGGTCCGGTTCTTCCTCGGCGTGGCGGAAGCCCCCTTCTACCCCGGCGCGCTCTTCCTGTTGTCGTTGTTCTACACGCGCAAGGAGATTGCCCTGCGCATCTCCATCCTGTACACCGGGAACATCGTGGCCACCGCGGTAGCGGGACTCATCGCCGCCGCGACCTTTGCCACTCTCGACCAGAAACACAATCTGAAGGGCTGGCAATGGCTTTTCATCATTGAGGGGGTGGTCACCTTTTTCATCGCGGCCCTGGGCCTCATCATGCTCCCGGACCACCCCCTCACCACGCGTTGGCTCACCCCGGCCGAGCGCCAACTCGCCCACGACCGCATCACGCGCGACACCGTCGCCCACGAAGCCCCCGGGTCCGAAAACAGCAGCACCTGGACGGCTCTCCGTGACGCCCTCCGCGACCCACGCCTCTACCTCCTGGCCTTCATGCAGAACATGCACCTCAGCGCATGCAGCTTCAACAACTTCTTTCCCACGGTCGTCGGCAGCCTGGGCTTCGACCGCACAATGACCCTCGTCCTGACCTGCCCGCCCTACCTCGTATCCGGAGTATGCAGTATTATCGTCGGGATGACATCGGGCCGCTACAACGAGCGCACCTGGCACATCACGGCGAGCATGGGGCTTGCGGTGATTGGATTCGTGATCGCGTGTATTACACTCAACACCGCCGCGCGGTATCTGGCCTGCTTCCTGTTCGCGAGCGGCGCGTACGCGGTCAACTCGGTGATTCTGGGGTGGGTGTCGGCGACGCTGGGCCAGACCCCCCAGAAGAAGGCGGCCTCGCTGTCCGTGGTCAATGTTGTGGCCAATGCGTCGTATATCTACACGGCGTATCTGTACCCGAAGAGCGATGGGCCGCGGTATCTGGTGGCCATGTCGGCGAATGCAGCGTTCGGGGTGTTGACGATTGCGAGTGCGTGGGGGTTAAGGGTTTGGCTGCGGCGGACGAATCGCGCGATTCGCGAGGGAAGGGTGCCCGGTGGGGATGAGCGGGTGTTGTATGCTTATTAGGTCTTTCTGGCGGTCTGCACTTAGGGTAGTTCTGGGGGTGGATGGAGGGTTGTGTTGTGGTTTTGTGCAGGGGTAGTCTGAGCTTATGTTTGATAATTATCTCTTTCCTTGAAATATCACCTTATCCTTTATGAAAAAACGACATTAGATCCAGTAGGAAATAGGTACGAAACACTTTTGCAGAGAAACTTCCAATTCGCAAATACTTAGGTCCTCCCTTTTCCTCCCAAGAGTTTCTCCCCGTAGCACGATATGATTAAGCACTATACCGTTCCCACCAGCTAAACAAAAAACACAACAGGATAGTCGCCAGCCTCGCCCCCAATGGTATAAAGAGTGGTTGCTTCGGCTCGTATATTTTCGAGACCATCCAGAAGCCCTCCTAGACCTTCATAGCGTGACCACAGAACCTCGACTCAATATCGAAGCCCTAGATCACGCACTCAACAGTCGATCCATCTAAGCAAGGAACCATTAGCTCAGCCCAGTCCAGTCCAGTCCAGTTCAGTCCCATCTACTTCTCCTTTCGCTGTCCACCCAAAACAAGGAAGATGAAGAACATACCGCACCGCTTGGGCTTATCCTCATCCCTGACCCACCCACGGGGTGTCTTGAACCACTTGCCGGACTCCTCGCCGTTCCTACACCGAATCCAATCATCAGCAATCGCAATCCCAACCACCTCAAGCTCAACTCCAACAGACGTAAAAGGAGGGGCGCATACTCATAGTAACAGAACGAAGTGAACGTCGCCCCGAGAATGGACGTCCCGTTCTCCGGGCTCGACGCGCAGGGGAACTTGTAGTAGGGGTAGGACACGCGGACCTGGCAGGAGTTGGAAGTCTTGTCTCCGCCACTGCCGCGGGCCTGGAGGCTGCTGCTGTCTTCCGCCGGGGCGGCGGCTGCGGCGTTCAGGGCGAGCGGAAGGAGGACGATGGCGGAGATTGGGGATTTCATGACGCAAGAAAGAAAGTGACTTGTTTGTGAGGGTTTTGGGGTGTGCTGAGGCAGGAGTAAATTGTATGTGTGTTGTGGAATTGTGTGTTGATATCTATTCGGATGTCGTTGTTCTGGCGTGGATTTGGGGGGTTTTTTATAGATCTGGCAGCATACTATGAAGAACAGCTTCAGGTGAGACAGAGGGTCTAGATTCGATTCTAGTATGCGGGCATCATCATCGTCATCATCATCATCATCATCATCTGCAGTCTACACAGCCTCCTGCCAGCCAGGGCTGCACCTCTCTTAAGCCATGGGAACTGTCGTTCAGTGAGGTGATTTGGGCAGATCTACTGTTTAGAGTGATGCGTGCTCGGGTCTTGGCGATGGGCGGATGGCAAGATGATAAGGTTATGACATGTTGCAGATCCGCGACCGAGTACGCCCGCCGAGCGGTAGTCTGGGCCATCGGGTGGGATGCTTGGCATAGTATGTCCAACAAATAGAGGTAACCTAGAAATCTAGATCGGTTTAGATTGGGTCTCTTGGCGATGCGAAAGACTGGGCAGACTCCCCATCTTTCACCTTGCACTGATGCGAAATGTCGATCTTGGCGTGGTCATGTAGCCATTACGAGATATGACAAATACAGTTTGCGTATTTCACTGATTATACTCCGCATTTTATATTTAGTGATTCGGTGTGTTTGAGAATCACCTAGCTGCTGCGTAGTTCCTCAAATCAGTATACATCCACCGCTATCTCCCAACTAGACTACTGGACTAGCCATGATCCCAGTACCAGAAGGGTATTTCATACACACACACAACCTCACACATCCCCACCCCTCCCCATCCACCCCTCCTTAACCCTCTGCGTAAACGCCACAAACTTCGCCACGCCCACAGCAGCCTCCACATGGCCCTCCGGATCCTCGACCTCCTCCGGAAACGCGATCCCCGTGCCATACAGCCCTTTCACCTCCTCACTCTCCCACCCCCGGACCCTAAACCCCGACGACCGCATATCAAACTCCAGACTCCCATCCACCCTCCTTCCCTCCACATACACCCTTGGAATCGGGCCGCGCTCATAGCCAACCGCCCACACCACATGCGTACACCGCGGCAACCACTCCCGAAACGCTGCCTCCTCATCCTCGCCATCGTCGACGAACTCCACAATCTCCGGGTCGGGGGATCGCTCCAACACTTCGCGGGCCCATTCAGCCGTCGCGCCCTTGAGGCCCGTGTTGTCGAAGATGATCCCTTCGTCGGTGTAGATGGCGTATCTGATGGGGCGGCGGTGGAAGTTGAGGATTTTGATGGCGTGTTGGTTGGGGCTCGACTGCGCGAGCTCGTAGAGGTTACGCACGACGAGGATGCCGGAGTGGGAGTTGCCAATTACGGCGATGGTGGAGGGTTGGTTGCGGGGGAGGAGGTTGGGGAGGAGGGAGCGGCGCATGCAGGTGTCTAGGTCCAGTTGGTGGAGGTTGGGGTTATATTTTTGATGGGTGGTGGGGGTGCGCGGGTGGGCGCCGGTGCTGAGGATCGTGCGGGCGGTTGTAATCGGGTTGGGTGAGGGGGGTGTGGTCGTTAGGGTCCAGATGTTCTTCTGGGGTTGCGGTTAGCTTGGCTATAGGTTCTTGCTTAGGGAATCGATGAGGATGAAAGGGGTAGAAAGTGAAGGGGGGCCCTACTTCAAGATGCGCTTCCTCGACTGTAGCAGTCAGTTTCTCGACCTCTGGGCGAGCGAGCAACCCCTCGATCAGCATGCAGATCATTTCACCGGCGATGCTGAGATGGCAGGTGGAATTGGGGTCCATGGCTTCGAGGGCTGTGACTGCATTGGGGGACGGGGTGGAGTCGATGATTGAGCGCAGGGTTCGGGAGGAGTTGAGGGCTTTCAGGTAGATTGCGACGGTCGTGTTTCTGGATGTTCGTTAGCATGAGATGGACACATATCTGGCCGGAATGTGGGATGGTGGGAAGATCTTACGACGAAATCTCCCGGTACAGGCTGTTCAATCGTCCTCCTTGCCAGGCTGGGTCGACCCAGAGGATCTTTTGAGCTCCCGCGTCGAGCAAGGCCGCTACGGTAGACATGCCCCCGGGACCGGCGCCTACGACGACGGCGTCGTGTGTTGGCTTCATTCTGGTGCTGTCAAAAGTTTGTAGGATGTCGTCGAGAATTGATGTTTGACATTCCAAGGAGCAATGATATCCTGCTTTTCTCTAGGTAGTGATACTGAGTATTCTGCCGTGAATGAGACTATGACATCATCGGGGAGCAACCGGAGTTTGCGGAGACCCTTTTGCCTCTTGAATAGGACACACGCAGATACAGTGGTTGTAAATCAAAGCTGGGTCTAAGCTCAGACACACATCACCTGTATGCCGCCGCCCTCACATCTGAGCATGCGAGACATTCATCCCATTGGTGTAGGATAAGGACTGGAAGAGCAAACACGGGGTCGGTGATTGAGGCCAGGTCTGGTGGCGGCCGTCACCGAGAATGTGGGGCGATGACCCTCAGTCACCGACCTTGGCGCCTCTCGGCGTTTGCAGTCCAGATCTATACACACGGTCACTAATAATTAGTACACATCATCATATATGTTTTGGGCGCTGCATGATTGGTGCACATAGTCACTCATCTTGGTAATAAGTATCGACATCTTCTCGCACTATCTAGCGCAACACGAGCATCCGATCTCATCTCATGCCCTTCAATCATCCTGCAACAGCTTACCTGCATAATCGTCCAATTGACACCTCCTGCACACCATAAAGATGTCCGAATATATCCAAGCAAGCCCCATCGACCACTCTCTCGAGTACTTCAACCTGGGCACTTTCACCCGTCGGGTCACTACCCAGAGCGAAGCAGCACAGACCTGGTTCACGCGGGGCTTCATCTGGAGCTACTCCTTCAACCACGAAGAGGCGGAGCGTTGCTTCGAACAGGCGGCAGTCCACGACCCCAACTGTGCCATGGCGTACTGGGGCTACGCCTTCGCTGCGGGGCCCAACTACAACAAAACCTGGGCGGCATTCGACGCCAACGACCTGCAACGATCCGTGCCCAAATGCCACCGGCTGGCCCAGCTCGCCTTACAACACCTCACCACCAACCCGGATCTGACTCCCGCAGAGCGAGCCCTAATCACCGCCCTCCCCCACCGCTACCCCTCCCCCAACGTTCCCAAAGAGTTCGACTCCGCCAATAAAGCCTACGCAGACGCCATGCGGACCGTCTACAACCAGTTCCCCGAGGACCTGGACGTTCGCACCCTCTTCGCTGACTCCCTTATGAATTGGAAGCCGCGCAAGCTCTACCACGAACAGACCGGCCTACCGATCGAGACCTCGCCCGTTCACGAAGTCAGACGCGTCCTCGAAGAAGGACTCGCCACCCCAGAGGGGAAACACCACCCCGGCCTCCTGCACATGTACATCCATCTTATGGAGCGATCGGCCACCCCACAGGCCGCCCTACTCGCCGCCGATCACCTGCAGGCCCTCGTCCCCGACGCCGGCCACATCTGGCACATGCCCAGCCACATCTACGTGCTGGTAGGCGACTACCGCCACGCCTTGCACAACAACCTGCAGGCAACCCGCGCCGACGACCGCTTTTTCAGCCTCCGCGGAGGGGAGAACTTCTACAGCTTCTACCGCCTGCACGACTACCACTCGCTCATCTACGCCGCGATGCTCCTCGGGCAATCGCGGGCCGCTCTGGAGGCCTGCGACTGCATGGAGCGCACAATCACCGAGCCGATGCTGCGCACCGAGTCACCGCGCATGGCGGACTGGCTGGAATTCTTCTGCGCCGTGCGCGTGCACGTCTACATCCGGTTCGGGATGTGGGAGGCCCTGAAGCAGCTCGCCGTCCCGGAGGATCAGGACCTCTACTGCGTGACGACCACAATGGTCTACTACGGCAAGGGGATCGCGTGCGCTGCGACCGGGGAGATTCCCGCTGCGGAGCGGTACCGGGAGCTGTATGCGCAGGCAGCGGAGAAGGTGCCGCCGACGCGGCTGGACTTTCCGAACCGCATTGTCGACGTGCTGAAGGTGGCGACGGCCATGTTGGATGGGGAGCTGGAGTACCGTAAGGGGGATTACGAGCTTGCGTTCCGGCATCTGCGGCGCGCGGTGGAGATGGATGATGCTTTGTTGTATACGGAGCCCTGGGGGTGGATGGTGCCCACGCGGCACGCGTTTGCGGCGCTGTCGCTCGAGCAGGGACGGGTGGAGGATGCGGCGCGCGTCTATGCGGAGGATCTGGGGCTGGAGGGATCCTTGACGCGCGCGCATCAGCACCCGAATAATGTGTGGGCTTTGCAAGGATATCATGAGTGCTTGGTGAAGATGGGCCGCCAGGCTGAGGCGGGGATTGTCGCGCAGCAGTTGAAGGTGGCGGTCGCGGCGGCGGATGTGCCGATTGTTTCGTCGTGTTTTTGCAGGAGGGGGGATGTGGGAGATGGTGCTGCAGGGCATGGTGAGGGGAGGTGTCGGAGTGCGTCTTCTTGTTAGTAGATTGCGCTGTATGATGAGGAGGTGACTACTATGTAGTCAATGTCTTTTGACTGGATGTGTTTGATTCACTATGTTGTATGTTATGTTTGCCTGCTCTTTGTCCGATCTCTAACCCCTGCGCCAACAGCGCAGTACTGATACATAGAGGCGACATTGCACTTGTCGTATAAGTTCCCTTGAAGATTTGCCCTTGTACTTGGTAACTGCAGACAAAATACCTTACCCTTCATCCTATTTAAACCGAGATACGTGCTTGCGTAGCACAAGCATTCGCATAAGAGGTCGAGCCCGTGTAGTACAGCCGGGAGGCACTGCACCGGCCCTGATTTCCCAATGTGGATCGATCAGATAAGCCTCGGGGATAAGAGGTGGGGTCAGCCTCAGCCCACAGCCCACTCATCCCACCAAACTTCTTCATCTCCCCTGCCAAACATCATCCGAAATAAAACAATCCCCTTGGCGCCAAGCACACGTACACCATGGCTGAATCCAACGTGCAGAGAGACAAACCCGCCGAGCAGTACAGCTGGTACCAGCCCGACCTCGCGCAGGTCAAGGAGCCCGCCCGGACTCTGCTGGCCGAGTACAGCAAGATCCCCGAGGAGAAGATCATCGACCATGTCAAGGAGGTGGTGAGTGAGCGCCCTACACCCTCAAGCTTTCCATGATCTAAAATAGAGATCTACAGCGCGATCGTGCCTTCGCCGTGGTAAGCCACCCTTCCCTCCTCTTCACAACACCCAGATGTGCTAGCACTCAACTAACCACCCAACCAGTTCCCCTACCCCTGCATCGGATCTTTCCGCTTCCTCGACATCACCATCTGCGCCTCCCCGGCCTACCCGGAGATCCTCTCGCGACTGAAGTCCTCGAACGAGACATACCTGGATCTAGGCTGCGCAATGGGCCAAGACATCCGCTACCTAGTACATACATCCCCAACCAACCATCCCGAACCACCCAAACTGACTTCCCGAAGATCCACCAAGGCGCTCCCGCCACCTTGCTCTACGGAAGCGACCTGCACCCCGAATTCATCTCCCTGGGCTACGCCCTCTTCGCCGACCGCGCCACGCTAGCGACCGAATTCATTCCCAGCGACATCTTCGACCCCTCCTGCGCCCTCCTAACCCGGCTCGCCGGACAGGTCGACATCATCAACGCCGCCTCGTTCTTCCACCTCTTCGACTGGGCCACGCAGGTGGCGCTGGCCAAGCAGGTCATCGCGCTGCTGCGGCCGCAGAGAGGGTCGCTGCTCGTCGGCCGGCACGTCGGGGACTTTGAGGCCGGGGCGCGCGCGGACAGCGAGCTGGGCAATACCTACTACCGGCATGATCTGGCGTCGTGGCGGCGGATGTGGGCGCAGGTGATGGCGGAGACGGGGACGGAGTGGGAGGTCGACGTGCGGGCGGAGGAGTGGGCAGATGTCAAGCAGAATCGGCATAATCGGGACAGTTCGTTCAAGATGGTTTTTGTGGTGAGGAGGATTTAGGTTGGGTGGTTTGGGGTGGGAGTTGTAGGGGGAAAGGGAACTGAGTGGATGGCAAATGACTCGCAGGGACATTAGTAACAGAAGCGACTTCAGTCTTCAAGATTTTTGTTTAGTCGTCCTGACAGTGCGCGCGCTGTGCATAAGGTCCTCAATTGCCGATAGCTTTATCTTATCACCCCAAAGGTTGTCCCCAAGGTCCCTGTACAGCACACGTTGATAAGAAATGAGCCAAAATACTCCACACCAAATTCACCATCGCCAGGTTTTTTTTTTTCTTCAGACGAAAACGATGATGATGCATAGCGATCTGGAGAGCGTCAGCTATGTTCGCCATGATATGCAGACCCGAACGAAGTACGCAGGCCAAGCACCCCAGCAAGCACAGCTAACCACCAGCAGAGCGGACTACCTCGTGCTCCCCCTCCTAGCCACCGGCTTCGCAACCTACCAAATCGACCGGACCAACATCGCTAGCGCATTGACTGGAGGTTTCGCCTCGGCCATCTCCGTCGACGAGAATACCATCAACCTGGGCAACCAGCTTCTGTTTCTGGGCGTCATCCTGTTGGAGATTCCTTCCAACATGGCTCTACAACGGGTGAGCCGTGCTCCCTCTCCCGATCCCACAAGTATCTCGTTGACAATACTAGGTCGGGCCCCGTCGCTGGATCGGTGTCCAGGTCTTCATCTTCGGAGCCCTCGCCGCCCTTCAAATCTTCATCCGTAATCGAACAGGATTCCTCATCACGCGGGCTGTGCTCGGCCTCGCGGAGGCCGGGTACATCCCGGCCGCGATGTACACACTCTCGACTTGGTACACGAAGGAATAACTGACGAAGCGCATTGCGATCTTCTTCTTCGGGATGTTCGGGGGTGCAGCGATTGCGCCGCTCCTGGGGGCCGCGCTGCTGAAGCTAGATGGCCGGGGCGGGTTAGCGGGGTGGAAGTGGATATTTCTGGGTGAGTAGCATACCCCGAGCTCAACCCCAACAGCCGAGGACTTGAAGTGCAGCAATGCTAAGAAAACGCAGTTGAAGGTCTCTGGTCCATCATCATGGCCCTCCTCCTCTTCATAGGCCTTCCGGACCGCCCTCCCAATCCCCCGAAATCCAACTCACCCACAACCCGCGACAGCAACAGCGACAGCGACAGCAGCAACAGTAGTAGTCTCGACAAGCCCACCCCGAACCCACCTCCCACCTCCCCCGAGAACGAACGCATCCCCTGGTCCCTCGTCTACAAGACCCTAACCAACACCGCCAAATGGCCGCACTTCCTCGCCACCGGCTGCGTCTTCGCCACCTGGAGCCCGCTGACCACCTACACCCCCAGCATCATCATGTCCCTGGGTTTTAATCGGATCACCGCCAACGCCCTCGCCGCCATCGGCAACCTCATCACCCTCCCGGTCATCTTCCTCTTCGCCTGGCTGAGCGATGCCACCCGGAAGAGGGGGTGTGCCGTCCTCCTCGCGATCGGCAGCTACCTCGTCGCGTTGGTGGTGCTGCGCACCGTGCAGCCGCACGTGGGCCGGTGGGGGCATGTTGGACTGTGGACGATGGTCAACGGGTTGGCGGTCGGGTATCACCCTGTGCATAATGCGTGGATTCAGGTGAATTGTGATTCGGCGGGGGAGAGAAGTATTAGTGTTGCGTGAGTTTCCTTTTCTTTCTGGGGCTGAGATAGAGAGGGGTCTGAGGATGGGTTGCTGACTATGTTGATAGGTTATGTAAGTTTGGAACCTGTGCGTGTGTTTCTTGAGTGGTGGAGACTGATTGTGTTTCCTAGTTGTCATGTCTGCGACCGCCGGGCTGATGGCTGGTAGCCAGATCTTCCGGGGAGGTGAGGCGGATGATTTGTAAGTTATCATGAATTACAGGGAGTGGGAGTGTGCTAATGTGAGATCTAGCTATCCGAAGGGGTTGGTCATTATGATTGCGTTGGTAGCGGCGGGGTTTGTGTTGGTGGTCGTGCAGATGGGGATATATCGGTTTGGTGATAGAAAGAAAAGTGGGCCAGTGGAGCAAGAGTGCTGGGAATAGTGCAAATAGCTCAACGACCTAGTCTCATTCGCTGCGGCTTTCAGCTGTCATGATGACTTCAGACAATGCGAGAGGAGATTCCTCGGAAATTGGCCTCGTACAATCCTGGACGACACGGTCTAAATGCAACCTCTGTTGGGAGTGGCCCACATTCTCGGGCGAACAAGACGCGAGGCTCTGGCCATCCAGGTCCCAGATGATGATTTGGTCAGATCCCCCGCATTCTTCTGTCTAAATGCTGGTACTTGAGTGGTCCCAGGTGCCGATGTGGAGGACGAACGGCCGACCCCGGAATTCCCACCTCGGCACTGGATTGCGGGGCCCCGCACGAACCTCGCCAATCTCTGGTGACCCTGCTTTTTCCCTGCGAGGGTCGTCAGTTGCACTTCAACTCATTCTTTTTTTGGTTATCTTCACCCGCAAACATGAGGAGGAGTCCAAGGGCTATAGCGGGAGAGTCATATTGGAGTTAAAGGTTAGATCGTACTACATGAAGGCGGCCGACATGAACCGACGACCAGACTGGCTCTTTTTTGGTTCTTGCAGTGCCTGTAGCTTCTGTCAGCTGCTTGATGAGTGATATGCACTTCTCTCTTGGCTGCAGCTCACTCGGTCGATCTCTATCCCGAAGGTACAATACTGTCGGGTTATCCGAGCTTGCACCTTTCCCCAGGCCAGGCAAGTATAAAGTCGAAGCTTCGCGGTGAGATCGAAGTTTCACGCAAGAGGTTGAGCGGTTAACCTTGACCTAGTCATGCTGCCCCTGCTTGTATCCATCGTAGCAGGCCTAATTGTGCCTGGGACTGTCGCCCACGGCACTAACGACCAGGTTCTGGCTGACCTCGACTACGGGAGCTTCCAAAACCCGTCGAACCTCGTACGGCCGCGCTTCCGGTACTGGGTCAACGATGCATCTGTCAGCCCCAGCACGGTCGAACAAGATCTGAAAGATATCGCGAAGTCCGGTGCCGGAGGCCTTGAACTTCTGGAATACTACAACTATGGTGATTCCGACAACTTCGGGGGCGGCTTGCAGGCGCCGCTACAGGCGGACTGGACGCAGTACGGATTTGGAAGTCCGGCCTGGAGTGAGTTCTCGGTCACCTAGTTGCTTTGCTTGTGACAGTTAGTGATATGTCCAGAGAACCTCTCCCTCACGGTGCTGCGGACAGCGAAAGAGCTCGGGCTCGTGGTCGACCTCGCTGTTGGCCCCAACCAAGGGGCCGGAGTCCCGGCGCCATATCACGATGAAGGCCTTCTCTGGGATCTGGCCGCTCACAATGCCACTTTCTCCACTACCGATGGCTTTGAAGGAACGCTGCCGGGCTGGGGTACCGGTGAGCTCGTCGCCGCGGTGACGGGGTCGGTCAAGTCATCCAGTGGCAGCGTCAAAGTCCTCTCCGTGGACTCTCTGCACGACATCACAGGCTCCGTCAGCAGCAGCGGGCACGTTCAAATCTCATCTTCGCAGTCGTCGGCCACGACGGAGAGTCATCTATTTGCATACTACCTAGTCCACGCGGATTACCGGGAGGTCCAGAGTCCCGCTGACGTGCCCGCTGCCGTGCCGCAATCCCCCGTCAAAACGTGGTCGGAGAATGGTTCCTGGGTGGTGGACCATTTCTCGGTGGAGGGCGCTCACCTGATGGCCTCGTTCTGGCAGCAGTCACTGCTGAATGCGGAGATGTGCGATCTTCTACGCGAGGTAGGGAACTACATGTGGGAGGATAGCCAGGAATACAAGGCCGCCACCTGGTGGACTCCCCGCCTCCCGCAGGTCTTCCAGGCGAATCGCGGCTACAGTATCGCCAAATATCTTCCTATCCTGGTTGGATCGGGCGTGCAATCTTCAAATGTCACGTACGTCACGGATGAAGCGGACGAGGGAGGAAGTCATGCGCAGGACTATGAGCAGACCGTGCGTGTATCCCTACCCATGAAGCGTCTAGTAGTGCTAACGTGCAGCAGTTGACAGAACTAAACGCCGAGTACCTGGGGGCACTCACCGAGTGGTCCAATAATCTGGGAGTTCAGTGGTCCTCCCAAGTTGTCTACAACATGCCCATGGACATGCTGGCCAACATACCAGCCGTCAATGGCCCGGAGACCGAAACCCTGGGGTTTAGTAACTTGCTAGACGGGTACCGACAATTCGCAGGCCCGGCTCACCTCGCCGGCAAGCGGATTGTTTCCAGTGAAGCGGGCGCGATCATGGGCTCGGTGTATCAGGAGACCATCGACGAGCTTCTTTGGGGTCTGAAGCGCTCCTTGGCTGGGTCGGTCAACAACTTCATCCTGCACGGATGGCCCATGGGCGGCAACTACGGCAACACGACGTGGCCGGGCTTAACAACCTTTGCGTACCTCTTCTCTGAGATGCACGGGCCGCGGCAGCCTGCCTTCGAGTTCTACTCGGACTGGATTGACTACGTGGCGCGGAACCAGTGGGTGGCGCAGATCGGCATCCCCAAGGTGGATCTTGCGTTCTGGGCGAAGAACACCACTGGATATGAGTCGATCTCGACGTTGTACGCGGCGACTGATCTCGAGGAAGCAGGTAGGTGATTTGCTGCAGTGTAGACTGGGCACCTGCTAACAGGGGTAGGCTTTACGTACGAATACCTCAGTCCTGACAACTTCGATCTCCCGGAGGCATATGTCGCCCACGCCATCTTAGCGCCGAATCGTCAGGCTTTCAAGGCTCTGATCGTCCGGGCGAACGAGACTCTGACTGTAGCCGGCGTAGGCAAGCTGGTCAGATATGCGCAACAAGGTCTTCCGATCATCTTCCCTGGCGGCTTGCCCTCTACCTTCAGTGGATATGATCCCAGGGGCCAGGCGCAGGCGCTGCATCTCCTCCAGAATGTCACCTCCCTCCCCAACGTCCACCTCGTATCCGATCAAAACCTTGCCCAAACGCTTGAGTCTCTGCACATCCAGCCGCGGACATCCACGGCAACCAACAGCACGGTGCACACGACCTGGCGCTACGACCCCACCACCAAGACCTCCTACATCTACATCTTCAACGACGCCGCCGGCCAGCCCGTCAACAGCACCGCAACCGGAACCATCACCTTCGCGACAACCGGCACACCGCACCTCTACGACGCCTGGACGGGTTCTGTGTCTGCAATAGCCATCTACAATCAAACCTCCACGCACACGACCATCCCCATCGACCTAGCAGGCAACCAAACCCTCATCATCGGCTTCCACCATCCCCGCAAACCCAGCCCACCACCGCCTCACATCTCCATCCCAAACCCAAACGCCCAAATCGATGCCCTCGCAACAACCACACTAGAAACCAAGCACAACAAAACCACCCTCACCCTCAAGCGCACCTACGACCCCTCCCCCCTAACCCTCCCCCTCTCCACAACCACCAACAAAACCCTCCCCCTCAACCCCATGCTCGCGCCCCCCATCCAGCTCACAAACTGGTCACTAACCCTCGAATCCTGGACTCCACCCCCAGACATCTTCAACATCACCCCGGGACCCACCCGCACAAACACGACCTACCCCAACCTCACCACCCTCCTCCCCTGGTCTCAGCTCAGCCCTGCCTTGCAAAATGTCTCAGGAATAGGCTACTACACCACGACCTTCACCCTTTCCCGGAACCACACGCAGCAAGGTGGGGGCGGCGCGATCCTCGACCTCGGAAAAGTCTCGCACGCCTTCAGGGTTAAGGTGAACGGCCACGCGATTGGACCGGTGGATCTGAGTTCGGCTAAAAAGGATATCGGGCGGTGGGTCCAGGCAGGCGAGAACACGGTGGAGGTTGTGGTGACGAGTCCGTTGGGGAATGTGTTAAGGAACTATTGGGGGGTGGTTGGGAGTGGGGGGAAGGGGGCAAGGGTGACGGGTGCGCTGCCGGGGGTGGGGGAGTATGGATTGGTCGGGGTGGGGTGGGTTGTGCCGTATGAGGTTGTGGAGGTTGGGGTTGGTGGTGGTCGTGGTGGGCTTAGATAAGGTTCGGTCTTTGGGTGGGGGTTATATGTATTCTGATAGCTATACTTTCACCTTTGGGGTAGAGCCTTGCCGGTTGAGGGTGTGTCAATGTGGGGATATGCTCTATTGCAGCTAATAGTTATGGAAGTAAATGGAAATACATTCCAGTATCGCCTTACTACGAACCTGAATTCAGCCAGGGGTCGTTCAGCAGCTCCTGTGCTGCCTTCCTCTTCTCAGGGATCCACTGCAGCATCAACCGTATAAACTCGAGAAACATCTGTTGATTCTCCCCTAAGATTCTCCTCTACCCCCTGCAGGAAAGTTGCGGGGACAGAAACACCGCCCGCACCCAGCCAGTTACCTATAGTAGAATCGTCAGTGCAATCCTCTTATACGTAAGGAGACTCACCCTCATCCGTAAAATCATTGCGAGTCTGCAGACTCCGTCGAACAAGGGACACAGGCGGCAGCCCAAGACACCCCACCATCTCAGCCACATGATGCGAGGGCGAGTAGTCCTCATCTTCGTTGAGTGCGTTGAACAGATCTCTGTCTTCAAAGATATCCCATACCTGGCACCAAGTCAGACCCCACATGTGCTTGCTTCTCGCGATTGCGCTCCGCTTACCATGACACCAAGACCCCGGATATCAGCACTCGAGCCCCCAATCCATATCGAACAGTACCTCGGGAGCCCTGGAGATCTCCGGCTGGATGATTCCTCAGTGAGACTGACCGATCCAGATCGCAAATAACCAGCTGTCCCCATAGCATGTCCTTTGGAAGGCGATGCGAGCGGAAGGTATAGATTGTCCGATGGCTTTCCAGCACCTTTCGGGGACTGGGGCTTTGGTACCTGGCTTCTTCGAAGTTGCGCGCTACCGAAAATGATTCCTCCAAAACAAATTGGCGGCAAGAGCCAAATGGGCCTAGGAACTAGCAACAGAGCCGGACAAGCGTGGCAGATTGCATCATAAGATTAAAGTAATTTACCCGAAATAAATTCAAGAAGGGGGAAGAAGCCTCCGATAAGCATCGAACACCAACCACGGCACTGCCGCTTGGGGTGGATGGGGGAGCAAGGACTACGATAAGCCCGTGAGTGAGATTGGAGTGAGATTTTCGCGGCGAGTATTGCGAATTATCGTAGTATAGACTGCATTTGTCTTATGCAGGTACCTCCTAGCCCTCTTTTCCGGCTCTCGATCAAATGCTCTGCATCAACTAATGTACTTTTAGTTCAAACCGACACTAGGGATTCTTGTTGATTTTTTGGCCTCGTTTCTTCGTTCCGCAATAGTGGTAGTATAACCTCTCCAACCCGCTATGTTAGATCACCACATTTCCCCTTACTGAACTTCGCAATGTGATTGCATTTCGCCAACTGGTTGCAGAGGCTGTCTGAATTCGCTTTCAATTCGTAAAGGAATGATGCTCATTTCTCCTAGAGCAGCTGTTTTGTGGCAGATTTCCTTTCTAATGTCAGGAATCATATGGAGGAGGAGAAAGTTGTAGGTCTATGAATGTATCTTTTTCACCAAATGCACGCTAGCTCTCGACCTGGGACGTCTAAGGAGATGTCATGACAGTACGGTAGGATTAAGCTACCAAGTTTAGCATTTACTCCCGTCTGATGCACATATTGATTGCTGAAAAGGGTCAGGCGGCTGCGGTCAGCCAGTCTACATGATCGAAGTTAGGGTCCGTCTGATGCCACATGCTTGCTCAAGAGAATAGAGGCTGGCTATAACAGATCCAGGTTTTAGAAAGAAAACTGGTTGTGTGTCCGACGGCGAAGTGAAACTCGCTTAATCAAGAATGAGGAAAGTACAGACCACTTTGCATGGCAATGTACCTGAATGCAGGTGTATATATACAGAACACCTCCAAGCAGTCAGCATCGCAAGGTTGGGTCAAAAACGCCAATAGAGACAACCCGATCATACCTATTCCGCTCCTCACAGGGAAGACACGCGGCGGGTGAAATATCCCATCAGCTGTATGTAGAATTACCTGACATAGGTGACTGAAGTTTCGGATTTCTACAATATACCCCATAGATTCTTCCAATCTCATCCCATAATTCTATTCTGGTGTTTTCCACTATGTCTCTTTACCAGAAGGAGAGGGTGGAATAGACTGGACGACAAACCCTTTGACTCCGCTCCTGGTGTATGGTCGTGGTCATTGCAATAAATTCAATAACATTGGTGGCGCGACAATCATGTATTTTGATTAAGGATTCGCTTACCATCGCTCATTCTGTTCATGCGTAGGTTGTATACTGCGGGCTTTACCCTGCCTACTGTCACCGAAAAAGGAGATTAAGAAACTGTGCCTGCTTAACCACCTGAAGAGGGATAGTGCGGCGCAGCCCCTTGCATTTTTGGGCAGCCCGCAGCGGCCGCGAAATACGGAGTGATTCGCCCAAATATCAGGCTTTGAGAGCCGAATCCCTTTTGAAAAAATGTGAGCGGCCAATTTCAATGCCTTCTAAGTCCAAGGGAATTAGGCTCATTCTTGTCTCTCGAGCGGCGCGAGGCTGACCAGCAACGTGGTTTGCGACGAATGGGCACCGGTACTATCAGAGATCCGCGATCTTTTTAGGCGGCATGTGTTAGTCGACAATAGTGGAAGCAGGTCGGTGCCCTTTGGGTTGATCTTGTATCTTGGTAACATGTATAATCTGAATACCTTTGTCGTGTTGAGGTTAAGCCAGTTCTGACAGAGACAGGCATACGTGTTATGTACCAGATAGTCAGGTAAAACGATTCTAGATACATCTACTGCCGGCGCTCTGACCTCAGTAGTATGGTGTCTAGTAGATAAGATTCTTATAGCAGAACAAACGTTAGTTCGTCTAGGTAGAAAGCTAAAGAGTATAAATCTATGCTTGCTCATCCACGTATCATCTACCATCAAGTATAAAGATACGAAGCAGCAGCCTGAGGTCAGCTTTACTTTATCACAATCAAAATTCTTACATGTCTTTTCTGTCGTGCAACTTGACAAAATTCACGTCTCATCATCTGATCCACTGATCAAGTTAATAAGAATGGAGACAGTTTCGTTTCTATTGTCAGAAGAGGATCTATCTTGCAGGAAGACCAAGGTGGAAGGGATGCTCGGCTATAAATTTCAGATTGATGAGACTCGTTTAGTAGAGGCTCTCACCGCACCCGGTGCTGAGGGAGAGGAGCGCCAAGGGAATCGATACTTGGCAGATTTTGGACTTGATACTATCCGTTCCTGCGTTGCTTTCGACGGGTATAAAAAGAAAGTTAAACCAAGTAAGTTCTGACGCTTGACATCTAGTTGATCGTATATTCATTTAATGCACTGTAGGTACTACTGCCAGCTTGAAACAACGGATCTGTAGCTACTCTCATCTTCAAAAAGTGGCTGAGCATACAGGCTTCGACAAATGCATCATCTATAATCCCCGATCAGGGAAAGGTCGACCTGTTGTTGTTGGGAAAGCTCTTGCAGCAGCCATCGGTGCTGCACATTTGGATAATGGTTGGAACTATGAACGAACGCTAAATATCATTTATAAGCTGGGGTGAGCCCTTAAGAAAAACCTGCCCCTGCAGGAACACGCTTGTACTGACACTCTCACTAAGATTACTGACTGATAACGATAATGGTGTTGATCCTCAACTTTTGAGAGTGCAGTCCGAAATTCCATCCGAGCTGAATGTTAGTGACATGTCAGTTGCAATGAATCAGACCACAATACAGGTCGTTGACTATTCGGTCACTTTTATCAATGGAAATGGAGAAGGCACCGGTGTTTCTGTTGTCACTGGAGTTCGAGACGATGTGCATTTGGCTGCTCTCCCAGCTAATGGAGCTCAAGAAGCTCCCCTGTCAGAAAGCCCAGGGCATCCGAGCAAGAGGGAGAATGGCAATGTGCCTCAGGATTCCGACACTACTATGCCGACAAAGAAACGTCCACAAAAAGAGGACAGTCGTCTCACGGCCTATTTGGAATGCGAAGAAAGCAGGTGCGCGAACCACGGCCTGCCTTTACCAACTGAGACGTATTATACCGAAAATATCCAAGCAGATCTCAGACGTCAAGCTAAATCTCGCACTCTAATAACCTGTCAGAGGTTAATTCTGTGTGTTGGAAGCGCAGAATCTCTCATCACTCTACGAGAGGCAATTAGGTTTTGGCGCGAAGAGACTATTCACAGCTTAGGGCTCCCTCTGCAGGCGTTGACAGCGAGAGACCTTCTGAGACTGATTGAGAGCAATGCAGAAACCATCTCTTATCACCTGGTATTGCAGAGATACTACATCTTGGAACTTTTTAAGAAGAGTGGTGGAGCCGCTACGCCATCTTGTACGGGATTCCTAGTTGTGGACTATCATGGGAACAACCCTAGCAGAAGGCCAGGCAATCCCGTGCATAGCATGGACACAGATGTGTCCAAGAGAATACTCCAGGAATTGGAGCCGCTGCTAGATGGAAACTCTCCCGAATACAAGCACAGACTCGAGAACATTAAAACACTTCGGGCTCTAGGCATGAAGTATCACACCTTGACATCCAACTTCGGTCCAGGAATACTAGCCTTAATACCATCCAGCGAGCAAGTTGGACAGATTGGGATGACGATTTCGGCTTCTGAGTAGGTACAGCAGAAGAAAATTGCGGAATATCATATTAACATCTTACTAGTATCTCGCGACTTCCAATTTCTCTTTTCAAGAGCGTCATCAACATCTTGAATAATACCCAAGGAACGGAGCTGAGGAAGCTTAGTCAAGCTGTATGGGACAAATTGGAAGACATGCTGGTCCATTCGGGAAACCCAGGAGGAAGAAGACTTTGGTTAGAGACTATCGAGAGCAGTGATTTACTCAGATTTCCAAGAAACTCGCCAATCCTAGAACGACTCTTTGACGAGACTTGAGATATACAAGCTGTCGCAAACAGCACCATTATCACTTGCTGGTTAGTCATGAAAATCCCAGGGCGGCAGTACTACCCGGAAATGGATAAGTTACATGTGAGAGCGATATTCTTTTCGATAAAACTGGATATATGACAAAGATCAAGAGGTGAATATTCATCATTGAGTAAAATATCTCTCTTGGAGAGTACAATATCTGTAATTCGAAGCCATGTGGTTGCCAGAACCAAGCAAGCTCGGTCAAATCGGAGAGGCCGTAATGTCGAGGCTTCAAACAAGTCGCCGGAGTAGGATTACAATTGATACACCCACGTTGGCTTGAGATAAGGAACCTTGGATTATTGAGACACAACAATTATCCACGTCCGTCATAGTCATCAATTGGGGAAAGAAGGAAAGGTCATCACACCGCAGGGAATCACTTCAAGTATTACCGAACCGTAATTAAACATTAATCCAAATAAAAGATCGTGCAAAGGACGTTGCGCGTAAATAAGCAGAACAAAAAGACCAAAGAGTCACTTTCCAAGTAAAGGTTCAAACATACAGATTTTCTTTGAGATAGAAATATGCGAGGATTGAGGTAGGTGGCGGTCAACAGGTGCTTCCATAGCATCAAGCATTCCCGAAGTAGAAACAGATGACTGTCTCTAGGACTTGTATCCTATTGTCGGGCAAATTTAGATCTTGGAATTTCTCTATACCCCGCTATGTATTGTTAGGATGTAGTCTGCTGTACAGACTTGGCCTTGACCGCTCCACATCATTCAGTGTTGCTCTTCCTTGCGACATGCATTTCTCCCTGGTTCTTGGTAGCAAAGACGATTATTCTAACTATTCAGACGTATATTTAAGGTACGATCGGCCTTCCTTGTGCAACCTCAATTCATGATTTCTGACACTCACGCACTACAATTCCAACCTACTCTCAGAGGACAACTATAACATGGCTTCAATGGCCAGACATTCACAATCCGCGGAGCCGGAACCGTCCGATCGTGCGTTCCACTCTATCTTCAGTGACGACATGCAAAAATGTCACAACAGACTCTTGGGATATAACGACTTTCACCAAGAGCTCAAAGAGCAAAACATCTCTTCCATCATTATGACTGGCATATTTAGGGGATTCACGAAGGATATCGCATCGCTTGTTCCTCAATTCGGTCTACTGGCAGGCGTTCAAGACGCTAGATATCCTGCTCTGGCAGATGACCCCCGCCTGTTATTTAATGTCACTCCTCCATCGAGCACGTTTATTTGCGGTTCCCAGGGTTCCGGCAAAAGTCATACGCTCTCATGCATGCTAGAGACCTGTCTAATCTCATCCAAAGCTGGATATTTGTCAAATCCTTTGACGGGATTGGTCTTCCACTACGACACCTTCATTAGTGACCTCATGGGATCACCGTGTGAAGCTGCCTTTTTATCGTCAAATCCCGATGTGGAAGTGCGTGTCTTATGTGCGCCAACAAATCTCCATGCTATCAGAGTATGTAGTGTGCTAAAAGTTTTCAGGAGAGTTTCAATGCTGACTCGAGTGTTCTGACAAGGGTGCCTACTCCAGACTCAATGTCACAGTGTCTGCTCTAGAGATAGATCAAAGAGATCTCAATACCAAGCGAATGCTAGATCTGATGGCTGTCGGACAAGACGTTGGCCAAATGCCCTTGTATATGCACACGGTAAAGCGTATACTTCGGGAGATGCGGACTTTGCAGCAAGAAACCAAAACAGCGTTTTGCTATAGTGCTTTCAAGAAGAAGCTTCTGGATTCGCCATTGACCCCTGCTCAGCTCGAGCCGCTGAAACAAAGGCTGGACATGCTCGAGAGCTTCATGCCACGGACGCAAACCAGAACTGGTGTTGATAAGACACATTCTGTCTCATCAGGAACTGATTGGAAGCCAAAGGTCAGTATGTGTGGATCGAAGACAAATTCACCTCAACCTCGACCAGCTTGCCGCATTGACTGACCTACAAGCCAGCCACGCCGCTTGACAATTTTGGATCTGTCCTGCCCATGTATCTCGCCAGACACAGCATGCTCCCTGTTCAACATTTGCCTGGGCATATTTCTCGAACAAGATTCTCACATCGGGAAGGTTGTTGCTCTAGATGAAGCCCACAAGGTATGCGGTCAATCTGGAAGACGTCTCCTTTGAGCATTGTGCTGATAGTATATAGTATATGAACAGCTCTATTGAAGCTCGTGGCTTTACCGAAACGCTGTTATCGGCAGTCCGGCTCCAGCGACATCTCGGCATCCGTATGATTATATCCACACAGGAACCGACAATCTCGACAGCACTCTTAAATCTCTGTTCAACAACCATTGTGCACCATTTTACCTCCCCGGAATGGCTACGGATTCTTCATAAGCACCTAGCCGGAGCTAAAGAAGATGTTGTCGAGAGGTCTCAAGCAGCAGAATCGAACAACTCGTCTACGGCTTCCAACACGCAGCAGAGTTTGTTTGACAAGATAGTGAGCCTGCGAGTTGGTGAGGCCATGATATTCTCACCAAGTGTGATCACCCGAGTAACGCGAGCTGATGAGGATGGTACGCTTTCCTTCGAGCGTCTTGGCAACGGCAACCTCAAGGTCAAAGTAAGGCAGCGACTCACGCTTGATGGAGGGCTTAGCGTACTGTGCCGCTGAAAGAATAGCTTACCCCAATGACAAATCCGGCGAAAGGGTATGGTACTGGAATTGACATGGCGCAGTCCGGAATTATGGTGGCCATATAGTGTTTGGGTGAGGAGAAATTCTACACAAAGGCTGTTCTCAATGTATGGATCCATGGTACTCAGAATGAGGATGAGTTTTTCAATCGGTAGTGCTACTTATGCTTCTCAATTTTACTACATGCTATCATGATCTTCCAGATGGATTCTTTGCTGCTAAATTCAGGCATGATTTCATCGTGCTTTTTTAGATTATGCACGCCAAACTAGCGAAGATAATCTCAGCGCTGGCGGTCCATTTCAGCGTCTGAGAACATTATGCGTCCTTCTGGACTTTCCAGCTGTTACCAATGATTGTTTCTGTTGGCCGACTAGCCTATTTCCCAAGTGTATACAAATTTTATACAACGCTCACCCGCGGTGCTGACAACGGCTAAGCTGGTGCCTGGAAGGTTGTTTTCTGTTGGCTCAGGAGAAATGTTATCCATATCAAAGAAAAGTCCTCTCATTGTCGGGCGAAGGACAAGGTTGGCCTACTGAGATGAGCTAAAACAGCCTCAGACAAGGTATGCCAATCATTACATTTTACTTTGCCTACGCGCGGGCTACTGCCCAATAATATTATCTAACAGGCTATTAGCGCGGAAGGGGGCAGAAATTAGCGCGAGGGGGTCAGAGTGCCAACACTTGCTACGACTCCACTCCAGCTGTGTGTCCCGCATAAGTTCCTCCCTGCGATTCTTATGGTTGGCGTTTATCAAAATCTAGTCATCCCACCCCCTCCGAGCTGCTACTCTCGAGCTGACAAGGCTGTCTCGCCTGTTGGGCGGGGTTATGAGACTGCGCCGCAAATGCCTGAGGCATGTACAGGGTGGGCATAAATGCGAAGAAGAGGCCCTTTCATGCCTTCTTCTTTCCTTCTTATCCCCAAGTTTGATAGTCTTGTCAGTAAGATTGATAGTTGTATTTATCTTTCATACCACAACCACAGGAGCTCAGTCCAAAATTGCAAGTTTAGAGCTGCCCAGCACCCAACATACAATTCAACAGTCATTGCCCCTCTGCGGCTCATTACTCCGACAGTGACACCATGAAGGGGTTACTTCCCGCTATCTGCACCAGCCTATTGGCATGCCATGTTCAGGCTGGACCGGCAGCATACGGGATCTGCCAAGCCGGCTGCGCATCTGTGGTCACAGCTTGCTACGCAGCAGCAGGCTTTACTTGGGGAGCAACTCTTGGGGCTACTGCGCCAGCATCCATCTTAGCCTGTAATGGTGCCTTTGGAATCTGTCAAGGTGCATGTGCCACTGCACTACTGGCACCAACCTTATAAGGTACGGGAATTATACATTCTATACTACTAATCTTCCATCTCATAATTTACATATTAACTCGTCCAGTGTCGAAATCTCTTCAAGACAGTCGGTTAGGGTCAGAAGATAGGTTCCATCAACTTTCAGTCTCGAAAGGGTACTGGCAGAATTACTAAGATGGGCTTGCTGATCTCGCGGGGACAGCCAATCTGCTCTAGGGGCTCTAGTGCGAATGTGTTGATGCAATTGCTCTGTCTCAATTTTTGTTCTCCTCCAGAATCTAGTCCCTAAAGCTTGTCTTCCTTACTTCCTGCAATGTGAAAGTTCCTCATTCTGGTGGTGATCCATTCGCTCGGGTCCTCTCTCTCTCGAGGCTGGAGATCATGGAAACTTGACTCCAAGTCAATCGGCCTGAGGCAGCTTGCGGGTTCAGTGACCTTATCTCTCCGGCGAACATCTGCATCAGATTCCTTCCAGTTGCTAATGAAGTCTTGTGCTTGAGCATGTGTCGTGAAGCACTTGTAACATGCATGCGGATACCCATTGACTTGTGCTTCGGCATCCCTGATTTGATGCTTGTGAGTGACCTGATTTGATCTTTCAGAGTCATGGAATACGTACTCCCAGGAGACATACACACCTGGTTTTCGACCAAGGGCCACTGCATAAAATTTCCCTTGAGAGAATTGAGGACGAGTCTCTTTGGGACCTTCGCGAACCACCAATCTAGGCTTGTCTATTCCCTTGGCCCTCAAATACTTCTGGGCTTCAGATAGAGTTACGAAGCCCTTGAAGGTTGAATGATAGCCAGTAATGTAGGGATGTGCATCTCCCCTACAATCAAAGATTAGTGGGAGTTTAATGTCCTGCCCGAGTTCGAATTACCAAGAGGAGAATATCGTAGCTTCCGTAACCCGTCCGGAAAACACTGCATAATATCTCTTGTTTTCTTTTTTCATCACTGATAAGTGATACAACAAGACTGAAGTATAGTTCCAAAGGAGTCAACCTCTCAGCATTGGATGCCTAATTGATAGTGCTCCCTATCAGTGCGAGAAACTGGGTAAGGTGATCATCGACAACTTTAGTTACCTTGAGCGGACCTCCGGGGTTTCTTAAATCCTGCCGTGAACTACCCTTTGCCTGGCAAATGGTTGCGTGGGGTGTGAGTGGTTCGTATTGACCCGTTGGAAAGTTTGGTGTTAAGCGCCAAAGCGTTGTCGCCTGATTCCCCAATCTCTGTTTAACCTAACCCACTTGGAGTAAGAAACCTTAGTATTTTGCATAGCATGCATGAATGATTTCTGCGCGAAGGGCTTACGACTGATACCAGTTCAGAAGACTGTTCGCTGCCGGTCAGGGGAGAAGATATCCTTCATGATATACAAAATTAGTGGCGGCAACCCGAAGCCAACAATGACCACCTAAACCGTCCGGCATAAGAACATTGCAAGCACCCACGTTCCTTTGTCATGCCACTCAAATGGAGAGAGAATTACGTCGTATTTAAGGTTCAGGATTGAGATTGTCTCCAAACTCACTCATAACATCCAGGAATGCGGGTTGTATTTGATGGTAACAGAACCTGTGGAGGGAAAGCAGGTGCAGCCAAGTATAATTGATTACTATATTAACTTTGTACAGTACGGAGATAAATGGCAAATGCGGGTATGATCCTTTCCGCCAGTAAGATGCCTTGAGAGGGGGTAAAAGAGGACATTTGCTCGGCGGCTCGCTGTGACGGGCGCGGCCCGGTCCAGACCGCTCACAGACCCCCGCCTACCCCGCCTACGCGCCGCGAAAATCCTTATTCCGCCACAAATTGCGTAGTCTCGGAGGACACCACCAATCACTGCGTTAATTCAACTTTCATAACTCGTGTGAAGCAGACTCACTTTCGAGGCAATCTTGAGATGCTACTTTATGCAATACAGAGTTCATGATAGTAGGAGGAAAGGATAATATTGAAAGTAGAACTAAGGCGCCAGAGAAAGCGTTGCGGCTGCATACAAGACTATAAGACCGACCAGAACAACTTGACAAGAAAATGAAATAATTCTCAATGCCTACCCTTGTGACCCTTGCTTTTCTTCTTTGACTTGCCTTGCCCATAGTGGTCATACCCTTGCACAGAAGCCTCAGGTGACGCCTGTTCGTAATCCATATTCGAAGGAGCTTCTGGAGACTGGTCATACTCCTCTTCCTTCAGATATTCACCCTCGAGGTCAGAAGTGAGTATCGCGGGCGGTTTGCCGACGCTTTGGTCTCCTTCGCATTGGACCTCAGAATTCTCATTCTCTGGGCTTGCACGAGCATCTGAGACATCATGATCCGCAAATTGAAGCTGCAACGAAGAATCACGACTGTCCCAAGACTTCTCCTCGAAAGGCTGCGTATTTTTGACCTTCTCAGGGTCTATTCCACGATTACCAACAAATCGTCGACATGTTTCCAAGCCATTTCTGAGGATTTGTTTGTTTCTGTTCAATTGCTCCCGAAGCGTACGAGTTTCCTCAGATTCGCCGGCGATGCGCGACACCAATGTATGCTTCATTTCAAATACCTTGACGGGTGTGAATATGGAAGCCAGGGACTGGATCAGCTTGACCTCTACTACTTCCACCGCGACGTCGTCGATAAATCGTTTCAATGCCACCTGAGGAAAATAAAGATTGATCAGATGAGCAAAACAGGGATAAAAAAGCATTTTGCCGTACCTTGTAATAAGCAAGCATGCAATCCAAAGCTTCAGTCGAAGCTAGTCTCATCATATCTGGCTCACGGCACTGGAGAAGTGAGTGAAGAAGATCCTGTAGGCAGTACATTCCATCGAGGCTGCGTAGCGTCTGTAGATCATCAACTCCAAAGTACCGCTCGATGAGGCCGGTCATCTCGTCCTGCTGTCTACTAGCACGGATCTTCTGCAGTGTTTCCGTGAAATAGTGGTTGTAGGTGATAGGATGGCCTTTTTGATGGGTTTCGAGGAGCTCTTCACATCTTTTGATCAAGATCTCCCGCAGTTGGTCCAGTGCAGGTGAGATGACTTCAGCAAAAAGAACAATCGAAGTCCCTTCATCCGAGATATGACCTACTAAGAGCGACAAAAATCTTTGAGCTGCACGCCAGGTCGTGAGTATATGCTCGCGTGTTATAACCTCCCAAGGACGACATTGTTCCAGGAATAATTCCCCGACAATCATAGGATTAAACGTGCCGGGAAGTTCCCGTCCTCGTGTCTGCCTCATAAGCTCCTGAATGTGATCGATGAAACCGCTTCTAGTAACTGAGACCTGCGTTTGAGTGAAGGGCTCCAACTGGCCGTCATTATCTGTGATTTTGCGGTAGTTTCCTCGTCTGTTGAGATGATCCGCAAAGGCCTCGTTTAAATTCTGGATTACAGCGCGAAGCCGCTTGTGACGTCCCGTCGTGGATTGATTGTCTTCGAAGAACGTCTCGTTGTAGGTGCCATCCACAGCAGCCTTAATCAGGGATTGAAAAGATTGGCTGATGTTTATCAGGTAGACTTTTTGCTCATCAAGAGTGGCCCGCGGCTCACCGAGCTTCCTTAATTGCAGCGTGCATTCGTCCTCCTTTGCTTTAATCTCCTCGATAAGACTTGGAAGCTCGGCCGCAATCTGTCGCAACAGTAACTTGCTGAGGCGGCTTCGCAGCGAGGATATTCCAACCAACGACGCTGGCATCTCCGCCCAGGCTCCCCTGGAAAAAAAGTCCCGCTCCTTTTGATCGCGTTCGGCGAGGGTCCCAGTCCCCTGGTCACTGTCCATATTCCGAAGCGTATGCCAACCCAGCCGGAATTCCACATCCCAATTTTTTGCCAGTGAGATGAACATCCTTTCGCTCTCTGAATTCGCGACCAAAGTATCGGGCTTCGTGATGACCCCTAAGGTTCGATTGCCCGATTTATCAGCGTCCCTTGCCAGCCGGAGCACGATCTGGTTGGCGTAGTCATTCTTCGCCGAGATCACTGCTAATATAATGCTCCGTGGCTCTTTCATGTAGGACTGAACCACATCTTGGACCAACTGAACATCAGCAGCAGATTGTTGTTTTGTCTCAGAGTGAATGAGACCCGGAAGATCGACGATGGTCAGGTGCGGCCTGTCAGGCCCTGACACCTCAACCCGTAATAGATCGTTCGAGAATGCTTTGCCATGGGTGGATATACCCATAGCGGCTTTGGCATTATCGATCAGTTTAGGAAGCCCATCGAAGCCATCAAGCTCCTCGCAAAAGCTACCCAGTGATTGTTGCTCGGATTCGCTGCGCGAGTGATGAGGTACAATGGACACTCTGACCCCGACGTTGGCGTCCTGGCGGAGCACAAGCTCTGTCGGGAATCTTGTACAGAGATTGCTTTTGACAGGAAAGGATACTCCAGAAATAGCCTCCAGCACAGAGCTCTTCCCTGATGACTGGTCGCCACACACAATGATCTGCGGTAGAGACACGAAATGGCTAATGCCCTGAGATCGAAGGGTGTCAATCGAGTTCAAGAGATCAAGTTGCTCCTCAGTACATAGGCTATCCAGAGCTCTAGATTTAAATTCTCTGAGGACCATGTTGGCAGAGCGTAAGAAATGGATGAATCTTTTCGAAATCAATGAATCGAGTAGAAAATGAAGTTAAGGATCCCATAGAAGAAAATTGGCCACTTGTATTTATAGTCGAATCCGGCCACCAGTATGCAGGGATCTTTGGCATTGAATTTGTCTTATCTAGGCTCCTCATTCTAGATGGGCCTCTTTGAGTTGGCGCGAAGACGAAAGCAAGGAGCATGGCATGCATGAGCGTTATCTACTATTCACAAAGCTCATTCGCAAAACAAAGGAAAACTCGCTTAAAATGAAGGAACCGAATCAGGACAAAAGGAAAGACACTGATATTGCTATCTTTTGGATTTTTGGCTTGATTGGGTTATTTACTTACCAGTCGTTGCGGTCGATTCACCCCCATTCTTTATGCTGAAGACAATCTAGGAGCCTTGATGAAATTCTGGCAGTTATGCAAAGTAAGTCCCTCCAAATGTTGGTTAGTCCGACAAGAATGCCATGCTCACTGCTTCGCATCGAGGAGGTACCGATCCCTGGCTTCGTAAACACTGAATCCGCGGGAGGTTGCACGTAGCACGTATGCATGGCTCTTCACGTGCAGCTCAGGTTCGCGATGTACCTCATCTGGACACAAACGTCTAAAATAGGTCGTCTGACAGCTGTGGCCACTGGATTTGTCATTGGATTAGTGGTGTTCTCTGCTGCAAAGTTAGCTCTCTTGCGGGTTCGTCCAAACTATTCGTCGGCGAGAGAGCTACTTTCCAGAACAGGAATTAGTATCATTCCAAGCACAGAATGAATCCTGTCGTTCCCAGCAAATTCTTTACCTTTCAAGCCAGGTAAAACGTGCTCTTGTAATGGCAAGGGAGAAAAGCCAGGCTAAGCATGTGAAAATACGCATTAGAAATTTAGTGCGGTCTGCCTGGGGATCGTATCCAAAGTACTGCCAGATTAGGAAGTTAAGCGGGTTTGTTGCTTCAACCACCAGAATAGGAATGGTCTGGTTGTTGCCCGTGCCAGGAGCCTCCAACAATACACTAACTTTGAGTGAGAGGCCAATTTGTGCAATCATAAATTCACATGACCTGCAGGAGACACATACCACGCTCAGAAGAACAGATGCTCAAAACAAGCATGATTATGCACTTGAGATGTCTTTCGAGAACTAAGTTGATGTGATTTATATATTTACCAGCTAACGCAAAGAATCACATTCGCGAGTTTACCGTGATCTCTCGTAAATAACGGTTAAGATACTGTTCGACAACAGACCGGAAATGACAAGCCTGCATTATCTGGAGAACTGAGCTCTGGATATGATATCACTATTCCGGCATATCTCTGCGAAGATGATTGTCCAATTATATATCAGCTTCTAGACAAGGATTTTAAGTTGCGGCACATGTATGCCGTGAGATTCTGGGTTATTATAAAAATAGCATTTGAACGTGTTTCACTCGCAGTCGTTTAATCATTTTGGAAATCAAAAATGACTGGATACCAGCTTTGTTTCCACGTCTTAAGGCGGCTTCTGCCAACGTAGGTACCTAAAATTAAGGTCATGAATCAGAATCATGGCTCAGATCCCAATGGATTGCCAAATCTGGCGGCAAGAGAGAGCCAACATCACCGCTAGGAATTCGAATGTTCAGAACTCCCTCTTCGTCCTTCTTCTCATTACTGTGCTCAAGTTCAAGCTTCCCATCCTTTGTGTTACGAGCAAAAGATGTTATCATCTGCAGTAAAGTAGCAAATCTCTGCATACTTGGTTTGTGAGAATCCTCCCATTGCTCCAGGTCCTCTCGCACGTCTAAGACAGAACCTCCCAGCGTCGTGACATGCGAGCACAAAATTGGCAATCTGTTTGATCCACAGCCGCGGGTGCATCCGTTCTTGAAGAATTTCGAAGATAAGTCTTTTAGCAGAACGTGTCTTCAGGTCAAAGATTGCGCACTGGGGAATATAGCGACCGCACTCATTCATCTCCAAAGCACTTGACCTCCTGTCGTTGGTGGTAAATGAAGCGTGGCTGGCTGACATCGTAGCCGCTGAGATAGAAGATAGAAGATCCTCGGGATCCATGTGTTTTTCGCCAGGGGAGGATTCTCCCGAACAGCAATACCAGGTTCAGGGTTCAAATCGGGAAGGAAACCATCGGCTTCAAACCACACTAAGACATTCATGTTGACGAACTCATAATTGGTCAGTCGCTGGTAGGATTCTGACTCCCGAACATGTTTGTCCCAGGTTGTGTAAGCCTCTAGAAAGGTGTGCCCATAGCCATACACATCTGGGATAAGGTCCCAAGGAGAATTCTCCCATTTAATGCAGAAGATTGTGGTTCCAATGACCTCACCTAGCATTCTAAAGCGAGGCTATGACCGCGCGTAAATCTCAATATATTTCCAAGTGTGCTGCCACAACTCACAACATTCAAGTCCTCGACACGATAATCCGGTTTGTCCACCAGTATCGCGCAGATCATCGGCCCCATCGGATACGTGGGATGCCTTGCCGAGTTCGAATCGCGAAAATATTGACCGGAGTCCAGCGGCAATTGTTTGGGTTCGAGAAGGGGTGTCCATTTCGGAGGCTCGCCTAAACATAGTCAAGTGAGGATTGTTAAGTAATAGTTGTTGGAATGGCCGAAAAGACCAGTTTACCGGGAACGATTATTCCACGGCCTTCACGGACCCAACTGTAAGATGTTAAATACTGCGTAGTGATAATTCGAGCAGGAGTACGAGATTCGACTGTGTCTTCCTGCAGATCGTTGTAATCGATTGTGGCAACAATCTCCCCTAGCGGTGGAGATGCAGCGCGTGGTGCTGGGTCTCTCTAAGCCTCGCGACTCTCCACTGACCTCTGCCTCTTCCCTGGTGTGAACGGCGATCTGCCCTGCGGTTATTCATGTTGCTCGTCTAGAGACTCTTGGATGTGAATGAGGCAAGTATACCTCCAGTTGAAAAGAAGTCTGACAGAATGTTGAGCAGATGACAAGAGACGGCCGAAAACATGTTGAGACCTGCGGAGGTGATAATCACCTTTATAAGCAAAGTTGTTCAGGTTTTTCGATCACCGAGACGGAGGTGGATTTCGGGGGCGCATGCATTTTGGCCAGGACTTCGTCCGGAAGGGATTTCTTCGATTCTTGTGGCCGTGAGTGAGATTTAATAAGGAACTTGCGAGGAAGGGAGGAAAGGGGGAAGAAAACTCGTATTGACAGTTAATAACATAGGGTTGTGCGTTCTTACTGGAAGAGATCGGCTGTGCCGCCTGCGGCTCGGATGCATGTGCTAGTTTTTCGATGTGTCCATATCAGTACATTTCAGTATGCATATAATGGTGATATTATGTCAAGCCTCCTATGACGGGGTTGTGATGCAGTGCACTTCGCACTCCTGCCTCTCGGCTCGGTCCTCTCTGCGACTCAATACTTGGTTTCGAGTCACGGGTCTAGAATTGTAGTCAAAGTTTGCGTGCTCTAGTGACCTTAGTTTGGCTTCGAGAGCGTTCGGTACTCGAGAACGACAGACCTGGAAAAGGTTAACAGTCTTCTATCCTGGTTATCTCTGATACTGCAGAAAGTCTACATGATTAGAGATCTCCTCGGAAAGTAAAATGGGTCGGGTATGTTGCAATCGAGGATTGATTCCGTAGACTGCACGATTGCCGCCTGGGGATTCGGCTAGGTTGTTAGGGGCGGAAGCTGAAGTTACTGTATGAGGTAAATCAAGCCATGCTGTTGCAACTACTTCGAGGCGAGAAATTTAGAAAGTAAACTTGGTGTGTTCTCAAGCTATAACATGATCATCATAATCGTCGCAGCCTCAAGAAGTCGAATGACCATTGGAAATCCCGCACTTGACTGTGTCCGAACAATAATTTGCTCTTGAGCCGGCCATCATCATGTAAGGATTCCTTGAGAAGGCGGTTGCTTGTATAAGTAAGTGTTGCTCCCAAAACCAAAGACTGATCTTACTGTCCTACTAATGCACCGCCGAATGTTTGCCCGGCAATAGACACAACCGTTCGTAGAAAGGAGACCAGGTTTGTCCACCATACGAGGAAGGCTTTATTTGAGAAATGCTTTGTGGAAGATTAGATGTAAAGTTCTAGATATTTTTAGAAAAAGTACAGAGTAAGCTGTTGTGCGATATTAGTAGTATATATTAGAAGATAATAGGTGTACAGTAATATCATGTAAAACAAATGCAGTGCCAGCTATAGAGGGTTCTTCAAAAATGCTTAGTTGTCACAGCAACGGTATATCTAAAGCTTCAATCTTACAGGAAACTTAGGTCTTATACATAAGTGTTCCAGATTTTAATCGTAGTGGTTGAAGGGTCATAATTTCAAGTTTCAATAATTGAGTCCTGCAAGGGTCACTATTCTACCAATTCTGAAACTATCGATTCGGAATCTGCCCAACCCGTGGGGCTTCCCCGAGAAGTATATGGTCTCAGGTGCTGTCTGGAGATCATGGCTGCTCAATCATTCATCCCCTTTTTTTCTACATGGTTAGGTTGGAAGAACCACTGCCAAGTCTTTTTGGCTCTTTTCTTGTCCGCTTTTCTTTTCCTTTTTTTTTATGTACTGTGTGCAACGATAACCATCTCTTATAAATTCCCTCACCTCTCCAGTATAATATTCGAGCTCCTTCACCACGTTATTGTTTCAATTTTTACTGTTGAGAAAAAGCGGCACGGTACGCCGGCCAATGATAGCGTGAAGTGATGTAACAAGAAGTGGTGACATCACTATTCAAGTCTTCTTCCAGCAATACGAGATGTCTGGTGTTACCAAGTTTGCTTTGCTCAGCGTCTGCGTTCAGTTGGTCAAAAGATGTTGTGATTGAGTCCTTCACTCCTCTACCAGAAAACATAGATCTCTTTCTGTCTAGCGAGATCCCCTCCGTTGTATCATGAAACCAACCGTCTGTAAGCTGTTGCTGGATAGCTTAATTTTGTGTACGGGAGGTATCCGGCATAGACGTGTAATCTTCCAGTGGAGACCTCTAGTACTGTGATGCTTTAATTGTTGCAGCTTCTGGGTAGATCTGTTGACTTATGGGCTGAGCTTAGTAATTCAAATCTAGCCCAAGCATGATAAGCGTTATGCTGATTTCGGCTGCAAATTGATGCCAACCTTGGATAATATTTTTACAATGACAACATCACTTCCGTGGTCGGAGAATAAAATCAAACGGAGCAAAATAGAAAATTGAGATCCACGTACTATTTCTCAGTCCGCATCAAGTCACTTTCTTTACCATCGACGGCTTCACGACATGGATCAAGTTGCAGGCGCAAAGCAAATAGTTCTATGCTTTGACGGCACAGGTTACGAATTTCGTGGGGACGACACAGATAGCAATGTCCTCAAAATATACCGAGTATACGAGCTCAATAAACATTATTTCTTCTCATGGGACTTACGCAAACGCAGATGCTCGATCGCAATGACAAAAACCATCTGCATTACTATCAACCTGGCATCGGGATGAATACTGGCTTCATTTTTTCAGCCCAGGATTTCAAACCCAATGCCAAGCCCATGACGAAATGGTATACAAGAGCAAAAGATGCCGCCTTTGGATCTACCTTTGAAGAACATGTCATGGCTGGGTATAGATATCTTATGCGCTCTTACACCCCTGGAGACAACATCTACTTCATCGGCTTTAGTCGTGGCGCATATGTTGCCCGCTTACTTACTGAGATGCTGGACCACATTGGCTTATTAGAGTCAGGAAATGAAGGGAAAGTCCGTTTTCTCTGGTCTGTCTTTTCCAAATGGGGACAATGCCACTATAGCAGGAATACTAGCCAGGAAGAGAAAGAAGATGTTTTCCAGTACATGAAGGCATTGCGAGAAACATTCTGTCGCCCTGTAACGCAAATCGACTTTCTGGGCTTATTTGACACCGTCAACAGCATACCGCACTTCGAGATGAACCGCAACAGATTTTTATACCCTTATTCGACGAAAACTACTGCCAAGATTATTCGTCATGCGGTTAGTATTGACGAGCATCGCGCTAAATTTCGCCAAGATTTGTTGGCAAATTCCAACCCGATTTCTGTTCGAGCAGGTCGACTGAGAATTTGTAGCCGCCAGGATCGACATACACAATCCGCCAGTCGCCAAGACGCCTTATTCGACCAAGTTCTTCCGACTAGTTATCCTAGACCCACAATGAAGGTTCCTTCTCAGCAGACACTTTTCCTCCAAAGTAGGTTTTATCGGCCCGCGCTTCGTTCCCATCGCCCGTCAAACAATGAACAAGAGCCTTCGTGGCAGGAACTAATGCTCGAGGCTAGCTCTTGTGGGGATTATAGAGATAAAGGCCAGAGCATTGAAGAAGTATGGTTTCCTGGATGTCACGCGGATATTGGCGGTGGGTTAAGATACAACAAAAAAGAAGATTGGGCGCTTAGCCATGTTCCATTAGTATGGATGGTCACTGAAGCGCAACGAGCGGGGCTCCAATTCGATCCCGAAAAGCTGAAACAGTTCTGGTGTTTCGATGAGTCAATTGATGGTAATGCCCAACAATCCTCCGGGAATAGAGCTGTCCGCAAGGAAAACAATGAAAATAAGGACAATAGCGGAAAGACATATGGAAGGTCCGAATTTGAATACGCGCTTTGGAAGGCAAGCACGAATGGTGAACTACATGATTTCCTGCAATATCATCATGGTGCCAAATGGCCTGTTGTTCTATCATGGAAGATGATCGAATATCTCCCGCTGCGGCGAGTGCTCTTGCAAAGAGACCAATCTTGGAGAGTGGTCCGATGGCCTCCACCGCTTGGGGAAAGACGCGATATTCCTGCGGATGCTAAAATACATGTTTCTGCCATTCGCCGTTTGAAGACCAATTCTTATTACCGGCCCAAAAACCTGATTCGTGGAGGGAGGGAAGGAAAGCGAAATGAGAAACATTCTACTGTAGGTCATGAGATTGAGGAGTGGTAAGTATACGCTCATCGTGGCTGTCCAGTGCGGGAGACATATCGTCGGGACAAAATGAAGACGATATTCGACATTTAAGGAGATGACCTAACTGTCTTTTGCTGTTATTGAGTTACTTATACCGAGAAATACTGCCTACGCCTGCCTGTTGACTATATAAGGGTGGTTATAACACTTTATTTTGTGAACTCAGCTATTTAAGGAGATTAATAGTAGCTATTAGCTTGGTTAGTAGTCGACATTTGAGCTCATTGCGTAGTTCAGCATTCACAATGATCTTTCCGTTCAAAGGGTTTTCTCACTATATGTCTTATTCATCCGTGAGGGTAAGCTCTTGTTGGATTTTCGAAGTTGGCAGCGGTAGCTAATTTCCGAATAGAAAGCCGAGAACTTTCGTTATTTACATGGAGCAAGTATTATGACCGGTCTTGTGTACTTTTGATGATGAGAATAGAAAGTGTGATTCGTGACTCACACTGACAGCATGGTCGAACAAACTGAGTATCTCAAAAAAGCCCTAGGGTGGACATATGTTGGACGAAAGAAGACTCTCAGAATTTGTTGGGATAGCGTCACGCAAGAAAAGCTGTGGCTCGGCGACATTTGTCGAGAATCGAATTGGGGGGACATTCTATCTTTAGAGCCAATACATTCTACCCAGCAGAGGACCCTAGTAGCGCTCGTGCTAAGTCACCCTCTTTAAGCGGCGCGACATGTGCCATTCATCTGCGAGAGAGAAAGACTTCGATCCGCCAGAGTAGCCTTGTCTCCCCCTGGGCCCATGCAGGGTTGCAGACGATTTTGGCACAGCACGTTTGACTTTAGTGTGTCACAATGAGATGTATTGGAAAAGAAAACAAAATTTTCACTCACAGTGTGATTTATTACAGGGCGGTTCAAGTTCCTCGGGACGTTCTTTGTTCTTGGAACTCTCATTCGAGGCATGGTGTGGTTTTTTACCGCTTCCTGTTAAAGTATTTATGATATTGTGTAGAAATTGAGGCATGGCTATCTTGTCATATCATATCACAGAAATTATCATATCACAGAAACTATTATATCACAGAAGTAAATCCATAATAAAGGCCAGTGTATTAAATACCTCCATGCCATAGGTATATCCAAATAGACAATCGAAAATTACATCAGCTTATATCATTACACGAGCCCACAGCGAATTATGGACCTGGATAGCCGACCATGGGAACATGATTCAAAAGCTAGTGATGATTCCTACACCTCTACTTCCTTGAATTTCCAGTGGCGGCATTCACGCTATCGTATGTTTATACCATCAAATTTTCCGAGATCTCCTCTTGTCGTGGCTGTCTTACAGCCCTGGTCTTAGAAGGGAGAAGCACATACACTTTTTTCGCAATAGAGACTAATTCAGTGCATTCACGTGGCATGCTTGTCTTGCTGTCAACTATTATCTTCACCACCTTATGAGAATCGATCCGCCCAGTAACTGGTAAACGTTATTCCCGCTTGATCGAGCCACTTAGAGCTGTGGACGTATGCCCAGAGTGGATCTGTATCCATGGTTCTTGTCCATGGCCGAAAGTCAACTGTGTTAGATCACTAGGTCTAAAGCCAAAGCTTTCACAACTTCCGACTCCCAGACCCACATCTGTAGACTTGAAGCTCGCCTGGACACGCTTCCACATATCTGCCTCAAGGCACTGAATATGTATCTATTCCGTTTATAGTTATGGACTGCAGTCCGCACTCTTGCCTTATGGCGTGGATATCTGCAGAGTGGTGAATCATGGATTGTGAAGTTGCATTGGAGGGTTGGTTCCATGGATTACGGGATAGCCTCTTGGAAATCCTCAGGGGGAGGAAGAGATATATATCTTTAATAACAGAGTTGCGAAATATCAGATTAATATACATCATAGTAAAGCGGGTAGGTAGGTAGTAGTTATAGGAGGTCTTATCTTAGGTAGGCGGTCATTAAGAATACTCAGTAAGAAATTCTTATTTTCACTGAGTGGCCATTATAGTCTTCTGTAGACCCCGCAAGCCTTTACTTACCGCTCGGAGTCTCAAAGTTAACCTCCCTCTAATCGCACAACAGCTCATTCTGATCTTTTCAAAGATATCCGAAACACCTCATATGTAATTTTGTCCAAAGTTGATTGTCGGCCGAAGCTCTTCTCAAATCGTGGACATTTCTGAGGTGTTAAGAGTTAACACAGTCTGTTCCTGTTCCTGCGGTACAGCGAGGACTGTCAAAAGTCATGATGATGTAAGTCATTTTTGGCAGTCGCCGCATCTAGTAAGGTGGGAAGGGGCAACCACAACTGAAGGGTTAAAGCCCAATTAGAACTGAACATAAGCCACAATTTATTTCTTCCTCTTTTGGCCTCATTCTGAAGACTAGTTTCCCTTACAGTCCGTGACTCTCAATCGAAGTTCCCGGGGCAAACCTGCCTCAGTTTGGAATGCCATCTAAGCTGTGATGGTCCCATCAATTCGCACCGGCCAGTATGGCACCTGCTCTCAGGATGCAGACAAAAACTTGGAGAGATTGGAAATAAAGCCAACAGTTCAACCCTTTGCAGCTCGAATTGGTGGCAATCAGAGTTTGGTGTTGGATCCTAATGACGAGAGCAACGCGGAATTGTTGAAGCGCGTGCCTGATGCAGCACCTTTGCTTAGCATCAAGAAAACTTTCAGTCTAAAAGCATTCACCGATATCAGTCTCTGGAAGTTAAGCCTTGTTGAGTGTGTAGGTATGTGACGTTGTCTTGCTATCGTGTATTGTTCTTCGCGATAGCTTGACTAACAGCGACATGCCCAGGATCTATGATGTTCATTTTTATTACTGCCTGGTTGTCAGCACATCCACCTTCACTGAAGGAATCCACCCGCGGTAACACAGCAGGTGTCTACGCAACTTCTGATTTCCTCGGCGCTCTGGTGGGAGGAATAAGCAACTGGCTTTTTCTCACTCTCTTGGTTTACACTTTTGCCCCTGTCAGTGGTGCCCATCTAAATCCACTGATCACCATGGCAAGTTTCTTCGCTCAGCTGATCTCATTTCCACGAACGGTTCTGTATATTGCCGGGCAAACATTCGGCGGTGCATTAGCAGGATGGATGCTTCGCACAGCGTACGGCTCACGCGACTTCGTCGTTGGTGGATGTAATATTGATTCAGAGCTTGTTCAAACAGATCAAGCATTTGTGATCGAGTTCGTCTGCTGTCTTCTTCTCGTTTTCCTCATATTTGGGGTGGGCTTAGATCCTCGACAGTCGAAGGTATATGGGACTGCATTGTCACCGTGGTTGGTAGGGCTGTCTTTGGGAGTGATCAGCTGGGCTTCAGCATTCACGCGAGAAGGATATGCAGGTGCCTGTAAGACTTTTGGCTCACCTTTGTTTTGGGTTATCAGGTCTATCAGTGTATGCTAAAATCTTTGTTGCCACTAACCCAGCTTTGAATCCGGCAAGATGCTTTGGGGTCTATGTTGGCTCCCATTTTCCTACCTATCATTGGATCAATTGGGTAAGTCAACCTTCTCAAGGAAGCAAGTCCTGGATTCCTATGAAACCTTTGAATACTAAGATGCTCAGGTCGCTCCAGTCGCTGCATCGATTGGTCATGCTATCGTTTACAATATTGTACCTCCATGGTCAGCTGAGAATTGAAATAAAAGATTGGACCTTGCATATAAATTGTCGCTCCTGGAAATGTCAGTTCATCAGCATAGCAGACAAAGTAGCAGGAGGATATAATCTTTCTGAGCTTGTATTCTGTTCTGTGAAATAGCCTATAGGGAGAAGGCCTAGAGTGGCTTAACCTGATCGTTATACCTTAACCGTAACCTGACCATAACCTGGCGGTCAGATAAACATATAAAATTTTTTAATATGTAATTAAAATTAGTTTAAGATATAACTATTATTATGATTGTTTATATCTGCTGATTAGACAAATTGTGTATAACAAATAGATTAATAACCGCAGTTTAATTTATAATATATATACTCCTTCTATATAAATAATATACAAAGTGTAAAGAGAAAATAGGTCAGTTAGGTATCCAATAGTAGCAGTCCATGAACTTCAAATTTAATCCTTACTATCCAGAAGGTCTAGCGAGGCCTTAGGGGTTAAGTATTGAAGAATCGGGAGTCATTGGCGTCACAACCAGTACGTAGAGGATGCGTAGGTAAACCGTCGACAACCCGCCATGTTTTCAGAGATAATCCATAACAGATTGTTTATATGCTGCTTCTATAAAAGCAGCGGCACCCTAATTAGATAAGAAAACAAAAATAGTTCACTTGTATATTAGTAGTAGTACCTTTTTTGTAATGTTACCATGATAGACACCTGAGCAAGTGTGGCTAGTCCAGATGGGGATTAGCCCTTCTGGTGGCTGTGACATAAACAAACCGAGCAAACAGCACCGCTTCCACAAGTTGTGCTGCATAATCCGGGCTCATCCAATGGTCTGCAGGCTAAACTACTGCTCACATAAGCAAAGCAGCTGCATTACAGCTCCACCACGGATCGCATCGATCGTATCTGAATTCCTACCCAACTGAAGCTAGAGGAACATCAACAAGAATATCCATACATCTTGCAGCGCTGCCGTGAGCTGACCAGACCAGGCCAGCCAAAATGACGCCCTCACCCTCGCGTGTCGCCAGCATCATGCTCGCCTGGCACTCGCTCGAGTTCGTCTCGTGTTCCACCCTCCAAACGCTGTGGGCAGGGTACGGCCACATCTGCGCCGTCTCCGCCCGCGCCACCACCCCCGAGGCCGCCGCCCATCTCGCCCAGCTCTGCGGGGTGAAGTCGGAAAGTACAGGGGGCACCTACCCGCTCATCCTAAAGCTCATCTCCCCACCGAGCAAGAAAGCCGGCACCGAGGATGAGGGCCACCTGCGCAAGATGCTGAGCTACGAGGTCGAGCAGTGCTTCTACAGCGAGGTGGTGCCGCGGCTGGGCGACGAGATCGGCGTGGCTAAGTGTCTGGCCTCGACGCGTGATATGGCCGGTAAGCCCGGCGAGAACGAGCTCCGGGGGCTCATGGCCACCGTCATGGTGGATCTGCGGCCCGCCTACCCGGTGGCGGGAGGCAAGAGGAGTTCCCTGAGCACTAGGCAGGTGCGCGCGGCGCTGGAGTGGCTGGCTGGGTTCCACGGTCGCTCGTGGGCGTTGTTGCCGGATAGCAGGGATGAATTGGTCCTGCCGCCGCTCGAGGAAGCGAGGAGGCGGAAGCAGAGCAGGAATGAAAATGGTGGTAGCGGGTTGTGGCTGAATGGTGGGTATACGTACCTTGCTACCCGGCGGAAAGAGTATGCTTCTCTTGTCGATGATACCGACTTGGAGTGGTCCGAGGCGCTGTGCAGCGCACCTGAAGGATTTTCCATGTCTGTGGCTGAGATGGTGGCGTTGGTATTGACGCCCTCTGGGAGGCCGATGGAGTCCTATATCCATGGGGACGTGAAGTCGGAGAACCTGTTCACGTCGGATAGTGGGGAGCGGGTCGCGTTCTTTGACTTCCAGTACGTCGGGCTGGGTCTCGGGGTGTGCGACCTCGCCAAGTTGTTTACGTGCTCGGTCCCGCTCGACATGCTGGTCGATGACGAGGATTATCTGCCCGAGCAGTTGCCGATGCAGGATGGGGAGAGAAGCCTGCTGGACGGGTATCGCGCGCGGCTCCTCCAGGGTCAGGAGTCGGACATGTATCCGTGGGAGACATTTCGACGACACTGGGAGACGGCACTTGTGGACTGGTGCAGATTTCAGGCCTCTTGGGGGTTCTGGGGAAATACAGAGTGGCTGGAGGCTCGGGTAAGATCGATTCTCAGCGATCAGGGTTGGAGGGACTGGCTATATCAGGAAGTTAGTTCTCGGGGTGCTTGATGGAGATGGGACTGGATCAGGACTCAGCGCACTGCTTTTTATTGTCCAATCGTAGATTTCCGAGCCAAACTAGAGTTTCCACCCAGACCAACCATTCTGTGGGCATTCGACCAGCCTTGGTCGTTAGAGGTGGATTGGCTAAACTCCAGAAACATATGCGAATCACATACCAAATATGCATAATCAAAGAAAATTTCAAATCATGTGGAAATTTGTTCATGTCGAACATCGAGAATAGAAGTTCCCAGTGCTATTGGGCGCGAAGAAAAAGCCTTCCAGGCCTCATTACTCGCAGTTGTATGACCTGGGTTTCCCGGCCGAGTCAAGGTGGTACAGGAGGCCATGTGATGAAGTTGCACGGGCAACCAGATGATAGACGCCTGCGAGACCCTGGAATAAGGAAATCCGTCTCCAAGGCGATTTAAGCATCCAACTCAATTTTCCGACTGGGTAAGTCCGACGCCAAAGTGCCAAGCAATTCTGCTCGAGACCGAAGCACGGGACGGCCTGTTCGGGGATAAATGTATTGTACATACTCCGAAAGAATAAGCAGGCCCAACCTAGGCCAAATACGCTTCCCTTGAAGCTGACTGCATCTTCAGGTGAAAGAATTTGCAAGCTGCCTTAGGCAAGCCGGGCCGCATCCAGAGCTAATGCTGTGTCTGCCAGGGTGTGCACTCTCAGCTCTCTTCAAAACACCCTTGCAGCCTTATTAGATGGAGCTTGGATGGCGTCGAACCACACTACTACAGACGGCTGTCTCAACTGGAAGCTTGGTCGGCGACCAAGAAGCAACCCACATTTCTGCAGTCCCCGATTGAAATGCTCTTGTTAGTCTCGTCTATCATTAGGCTTCCCCATCCCCACAAATCCTGAACCCATGACAATAAGCAATGTCTTTCTTCATGAAAAGCAATATCGCAGCAAACAAATGTGTTTAGAGGTGTAAACATTGGCAATGAGAGACAGCCTTGACTAATGTCTTGGTGGGGTATGGCTCCTGCCGGGGAAATATCTTTGGATCGGAGAATAAATAGTCGGTTGTACGTTCTTTAAAAAGTTTGAGATAGTAAGAGATATACCTTTTTCGGTTCATCACTGCTAGCCCTGATTTCAGAGACCACGTTTTGTGTGACTTACCATGGTGCCCTGGTTACCCTTTTTCCTTCGTGGTGCAACAGCCATCAGTGCTGCTTGTAACACTAGCGACGAGAATAGTAAGAATCAATTTGACTCTTGTCCTCCAATGTTTGCTTTCGCTTGCTCTCCGACTGGCGTGTGCTGACTTCAATCTTCCCTAAGGCCGATACCCATATGGTACTCTACCGACCAAGTATCTTCCCCCTTTCATCAAGGACGAGGTATGAATGAGTCTGACACCAGCGTCCCGACACAAACGACTCACTGATTCAACTCAGGGGGTAACTCAATACCCACCGTGTCGAGACGTCTCCCCTTTAGGACCTCCCCCAGCTACCGGAGTAACGCGACATTATAACTTCACAGTCATGCGCGACGTAACCGCACCAGATGGATATAGGAAAAGCGCCATGCTGATCAATGGCCAATTCCCGGGGCCAACGATTGAAGCCAATTGGGGTGATACGATTTCCGTGACAGTAAATAATATGATTACAACCGGAACAGAAGAAGGCCTGGCTATGCACTGGCATGGGATCGCGCAGAAAGGAACTCCTTGGGAGGACGGAGTACCTGGCGTCACGCAGTGTCCCATCGTGCCTCGGTCCAGTTTCACCTACACCTTCCAGGCTGATCAATATGGGACGGGCTGGTATCATTCCCACTACAGCGCCCAATTGACCGACGGCGTCTATGGCCCGGTGATAATCCACGGCCCCAACCACGTCAACTACGACTACGACCTCGGACCCATCATGATCTCAGAATACCACCACCACGACTACTGGTCGAATCTGTTGGAAATCTTCTCCCGACCACCAGTCATCCCGAATGTGGACAACAACCTGATCAATGGTCGCGGCATCTACAACTGCAGCGGCACGGACTGCAGCCCCGGCGCCAGTCTCTCTCGCTTCAGCTTCCAGAGCGGCAAAGTCCACCGTCTCAGGTTTTTGAACACCGGATCCAACGCCAGCCAGAAGGTCAGCATCGACGGCCATACGATGACCGTGATCGCGAACGACTTCATCCCCGTCAAGCCCTACAACATAGACGTCGTCACCCTCGGCGCCGGACAACGCACCGACGTCCTCGTCAAGGCCACCGGCCGCCCCCGCGATGCCTACTGGCTGCGAGCTTCCATCGACATGGACTGCCTCAACTCGACCGCCACATACCCCACCGTCACCGCAGCGATCTACTACGAAGACGCCGACCCAACCACCTGGCCCAACACCACCAACACAGCCGTCTGGCAAAGCAACAACTGCGCCGGGGACCCCCTCAACCAGACCATCCCCTACCACCCCCTCCCCCCACCGGGCACCCCATCCACCACCGAAACCATCGAGATCAACCTTGCCCAGAACGCCACAGGCCATTACCTCTTCTACATGAACAACGCGACCTTCCGCGCCAATTACAACGCCCCACTCCTTCTCCTGGGCCGCACGGGCAACTTCTCGGACCCGTACTACGCCAACGCCAACGCCTACAACTCCGGCGCCAACGCCAGCGTGCGCCTGGTGCTCAGTAATATCTACCCGATGCACCACCCGCTCCACCTGCACGGCCACAATTTCTGGGTACTGGCCGAGGGTCGCGGCACATGGGACGGCGTCGTGGTGAATCCGGCGAATCCGCAGCGCCGGGACACGCAGATGATGCAGGCCGGCACCCCCGAGGATCCCGCGTTTGTCGTGCTGGAGTGGGTGCTGAATAACCCCGGCGTGTGGCCGCTGCATTGTCATATGTCGTACCATGTTAGCATGGGGTTGTCGTTGAATATTATCGTACGTGTCTTTTTATGTTTGCGAATGCTGGTGGGGTTCTCTGGGTTGTGATGATAGCTACTGACTGAGGAATGTTCTAGGAACACCCGGAAAAGATCCAGCAGCTCAAGATCCCTTCCTCGCTGGCGAAGACGTGTCATGAGTGGGCGGTTTTCAGTGGTCAGGAGTTTGTGAATGAGATCGATTCGGGGGTTTGAGGTTGTATTTTACTCTCTGTGAAGGGGGGAGGGGGGCTCCTGGGGTCCACGGACACGTAGATGCTGTTTTAGGGAGGGTTTCGGCTTTGTGGAATAGTGATAGATTTTCTAGTCGTATATCATGTAGAGCCGATTGTTAGTTCTTGGTCCGCACCTCGGATTGTTATAATGTGTTTAAACATCGATTGTGGGGACGCTTGCGGGCACACTGGATAGCCTCTCAGGATAGAACATGGATACCCTCGACCCAGCTGGAGGCTGACCCGGTAGTAACATGTAAGGAGGCTTCGGCATATCTTCCTAGTTGCTAAAGCTCTGCTCGAAAGATGGAATTCTAAACCAGCCCAGGCCGAAACAAAAGTCCCAGGTACCCCCGGTGTCCCCGAAGAAACAACAAATATGTTTAGGTCCACCACTGGTCAAAGGTTGAAAAAGATCGAGAGGTTGTGGGTATAACGAGGACATATCCCCATGTTCTGAGTAGATTTGTCGTCATTCTTGATAGGACACAAGAGGCTCGTGCGTCAAGCAAAACCTTCACATCGACATCGCCACCATGAACAATAACTCTACATGCCAACAAAGCCAGTATACGAAGCATACTCAGAGCCACACAATTACAGAGAAAGCGCCACTGGCCACAGTCGAGGAGGCTCTGCATTGCGTGCGCACACTGCAGCTCTTCATAGAACATGATGCCCACGATGTTGCGGCCCTCGGGTTACTTCGGGAGCTTCAGAAGTGTGACCGGGTTTTGCTTTTGAGAATGGAGAAAGAGAAGGGCAAAGGAGGGGAAGGCCAGGTAGGATGCTATTTCTGCTATGGAGTTCTTTCGTTTTCGTTTTCCCGCTTCTACCGCTAACTACGAGTAACTATGCGCTCATGGCTTCAATTCCCGATGCCTTCTAGAGGTTCGAAGTGTCTAAGTGCTTGTCTAGAGATAGTAATGCTCTTCGAAACAAACCCTTCGGGTAGAGAACGGACATCTCCATTGAAAGCAATAGAGATAGTATGATATGAGAAAGAAGTGGCCTGAAAGACAAGCTAGCCGCGTTTATGCGTGGCTGACGCAAGGGTCTAGGACTGGCAAACGGAGGAAATTGGAAGGGTAAATAAACAATAGAAGGGTTCGGGAATAGAGGAGATGGGAAGGGAGGAAGAAAGTTGGACACAGTTTGAGAGATCTGTGGTTAACATGTGTTCATGCTGGATGCTAGGATCTCAATATTTAGCTGAGTCCCAATTTACGTCTTCATCGGAACTGTTCTCAGGTGATTTGGGCGTGGTATGGTTGGAAGTCCCGCCCAATTGACAAGGCCCAGTGTTACCTGTCAGAATGTTAAGGGGTAAAGGAGCGACCGGGCCGAGCGGCACCGGTGACGCTAATTCCCAGAAGCGTTAGCGTGGTGCGATTTTGATAAACATCCGAAGTTCTGGCCTGACGGCGATACCCTTATCGGTGATCCCACATTCAACTTATCACACACACGGAACGAATTAGGATTATTTCCACGGAAAACAATCTAGCTTAGCTTAGCTTTGGGTTAGGTTCCTTAGGTACCAACCAGCCAAGCCAGAGCTAGTGGCCAGTTCTGACCGCCAACCTCAGTGCCTCAACCTTTTCTCCTCATTTCTCTCCTCCGGATCTCCTTCCACTGTTTTCCCCCAGTCCCACTTCCTCCCTAATTTCCCTATCCCTCCCCCCCCCAATATCCTCACCATCATCCATCATGCGTGAAATCGTGAGTCGACTTCTCTACATTAAGCTTATCTATCTCTTGAAACAAAAAATGCTAACAGTTCCTCTCCACATTTAGGTTCACCTCCAAACCGGCCAGTGTGTATGTTTCACCCATTCTGGAACTGCCAGTCATCTACCTAGTACTCACAAACTCCCTCTCTACAGGGTAACCAAATCGGTTCTGCCTTCTGGTACGCTCCAGCCTTTATCACCTCTCCATCCCCGTCATGGCTAACCCCCCACCAGGCAGACCATCTCCGGCGAACATGGCCTCGACGGCGACGGCGTGTCAGTGACCCAGCTGGCCCTCGACTCCTTCCCCTTCTGACATCCATCCTAGATACAATGGCAGCTCCGACCTCCAGCTGGAGCGCATGAACGTCTACTTCAACGAAGCCGGCAACAACAAGTACGTGCCCCGCGCGGTGCTGGTTGATCTGGAGCCCGGTACGATGGACGCTCTGCGCTCCGGCCCCATGGGCGGCCTCTTCCGCCCCGACAACTACGTGTTCGGCCAGTCCGGTGCGGGCAACAACTGGGCCAAGGGTCACTACACTGAGGGTGCGGAGCTGGTTGACCAGGTGGTGGACGTGGTGCGCCGCGAGGCCGAGAACTGCGACTGCCTGCAAGGTTTCCAGATCACCCACTCGCTGGGTGGTGGTACGGGTTCCGGTATGGGTACCCTGCTGATCTCCAAGATCCGCGAGGAGTTCCCCGACCGCATGATGGCCACCTTCTCGGTGATGCCCTCGCCCAAGGTGTCGGACACCGTGGTCGAGCCCTACAACGCGACCCTGTCGGTGCACCAGCTGGTTGAGCACGCCGACGAGACCTTCTGTCTGGACAACGACGCCCTGTACGACATCTGCCAGCGCACGCTGAAGCTGTCCTCCCCCTCGTACGGCGACCTCAACCACCTCGTCTCGGCCGTCATGTCCGGCATCACCGTCAGCCTGCGCTTCCCCGGCCAGCTGAACTCGGATCTCCGCAAGTTGGCCGTCAACATGATCCCCTTCCCGCGTCTGCACTTCTTCATGGTCGGCTTCGCGCCCCTGACCAGCCGCGGCGCCCACTCCTTCCGCGCCGTGACCGTCCCCGAGCTCACCCAGCAGATGTTTGATCCCCGCAACATGATGACCAACGCCAACTTCCAGAACGGTCGCTTCCTGACCTGTTCGACTTTGTTGTATGTCTCCCCCCGCTTCATCATTTCCTTAATCTCTCGACCACCCAACAATGCTAATCCCCACCCCCCCCAAAACAGCCGCGGTAAGGTCTCCATGAAGGAAGTGGAGGACCAAGTCCGCAACGTGCAGAACAAGAACTCGACCTACTTCGTGGAGTGGATCCCCAACAACGTGCAGACGGCGCTGTGCTCGGTGCCGCCCAAGAACCTCAAGATGGCGGCCACCTTTGTGGGTAACTCGACCTCCGTGCAGGAGCTGTTCCACCGTGTCGCCACCCAGTTCACTGCCATGTTCCGCCGCAAGGCCTTCTTGCACTGGTACACCGGCGAGGGCATGGACGAGATGGAGTTCACCGAGGCCGAGAGCAACATGAACGACCTGATGTCCGAGTACCAGCAGTACCAGGATGCGTCCATCTCCGACGGCGAGGGCGTCGAGCAGTACGAGGGTGAGGGCGATGAGATCTATGAGGAGGAGGCTTAAATCCTTGCCCCAGGTTCGGCGAACTAGCTTGTAAGGGGACGTGTTAAAGGGGATGAAAATCTGTTCTCGTCTCATATGTGTGCTTCGATCGACTTGCTTTTGTTGGTCGGTCTTGGCATTTATTTACGGACATAATAATTTTATTGGCTTGGCGGGACTTGATTTGGTGCCTTCTTGGTTGCGTAGTGTGGGTTTTTGCTGTGGAGATTGTAGAAGTGATGGTGCACGGGGGTGGGCACGGTGTAGCAAGTGCGGCAGCTTGGTTCGTGGCGTGGCTGGCGGTATACGAGGGTAAGCCTGCGCGTGCTGAACGATGAAGATGCAGGTGTCATGCTGTTGGATGAGATGGATAGTGATTGTGAGGTAAATCTGTGAATGGTAGGGTTGTTTATCATATTGGTCAAAACTGTACAGCTTGTGAGTTGTATGGAATAAGAGCACCTTCAGTTGATATAGCTCCGTGGTATACACCCTCCTGCACCCCCCCCCTCTTTCCCCTCCTTCTCCCCCATTCGCATCGAAAATGCCGTATAAATCTCATCCAAAGTCCCATCACAACATCAAACAACCACAAACTACTTACACCCACCACATTCCTTCCCACCTCCCCCCTCATCCACCCCCACCTCCAACCGACAAAAACAAGACGCCCGCACCGGCACATCCGCCCCGGCCACAGCCTCGCGCATCCTCCCCTCCACCCCCCTCGCCTCCTCTACCTTCCCCAACCGTACAAAACACTCATGCACCCCATGCAACGCCCAGACATTCCCGGGATGCCGCAACGCCCGCGGCAATGCATCCGTCATCCCCAGATCCGCCTCGTACACCGCCAGCGCCTTCTCCAAGCGCCCTTGCTCCATCAGCAGCGCCCCGTACGCGTGGCGCGTCGGCTGCATCCAGCCCCACGGTTCATCGTACGGGAGGTTATCCTCGAGCTCGATGGCGGTGCGGAGGGCCGCGAAGGCCGCCTCGAAGTCGCCCTCGCGGTAGGCGAGCTCGCCGTCCAGCATGGCGGCGGCGATGGCGAGGATATCGGTGCATTTGTTGTTGAAGAGGGCGCGCGACGGCTGGACGCGGGATACGGCGGCGTGGAAGCGCGTGCGCTCCGCGCGGGAGGCATTGGTGTCCCCCGTTGCGGCGTGGGCAATGCCCTTTGCGTAGTGCGTTATGGCTGTTGTCATGGTGTAGAGGGTTGGGTTGGGCGGGAGGGCCAGGGCGAGGATGTCGGCCCATTTGCCGAACCGGATGAGCACGTGCACCCGCACGGAGAGGAAGGCTTCGAGCCAGTCGGCCATTGGGGGGGATTGGATCTGGAGGAGGGATTCTGGGATTGAGGTCTCGAGTTGGGAAGCCGTGGTGAGGGCGATTGCGGACTGCCCCGCGAACATGGCGGCGTAGATGCGGAAGTGGTAGTTGTGTGAGCGGTATAGGGTGTAGAAGTTCACGGCGCCCGAGTGTTGGTGGTACCGCTCGTCGGCGGCGATGGCCGCGCTGTTCCAGGTGATGGCGCGGGTGTAGTGGCCGCAGAGGAGGTCCAGGTGCGTGGGCATGTGGTGCAGGTGCCCGCCGTCGGGGACCAGGCCGCGCAGGTGGTCGGCGATGGGGAGGGCGGATTCGGGCTCGGGGGACATCTCCATCAGGTGGATGTAGAGGTGGAGGAGCCCCGGGTGTTGCAGGGCAGTGGGGAGGGCTAATGCGCGGTCGAGAAGGGCTTTGATCTGGAGGGTGGGTGCCCCCTCGCTGGGTGCGCCGGTTCGCAGGTCCCAGAGGTCCCATGGGTGCAGGTTCATGAGCGCGTCCGCGTAGGCGGTGATGACGTCGAGATCATCGGGGAATTCGCGGTATACTGCCTCCATGGCTTGGGCGAAGTCCTCGTTCCAAGCGGAAAATGGCTTGGTGGGGGTTTCTTCAGGGTATCGTGACTGGATTGCCTTGATAAGTGCGGCTTCGACGGCTGATACGTTGGGAGCGTGGGATTCGGCGGTCTTCGCGGCGGCGTGTCCGCGTCGGACGACGGTGGCTAGTTCTACCTCGTCGAAGTAGCTCCAGGGCTTGTTGTAGTTGGCGCCGATGGCATAGGCCAGGCCCCAGTAGGCCATGGCGCAGGTCTCGTCGGAGGCAATGGCTCGCTCGAAGCACCGGGCGGATTCTTCATGGTTGAAGGCGTACATCCAGATGAGACCGCGGTTGAACCATTTTTGGCTGGTGGAGGAGGCACTGGTGACAGGGCGGTGGTAGGTCCCGAGATCGAAGTATTCCTCTTGTGACATGGTGATCGCGGACTGGATTGAGTTGATCGTGTGTATGTTCTGCTATCAATCTGTTGTTCTCAGCCACGATGGCTACGGAGACAGTATGGTGGGGTCGGGTCTTGGCGTGGCGTGATCAGGATCTTGTCCAGAGGTATCTTTTCAAGCAGCATCACTCTCGACGGCTACTGGGAGGAGGGTAACTGATGATAGATGCTATGCCAGGCAGTGAAGGGCAGTAAAGAGTGTTGACCCGGTTGGAAGCGGACGAAGGCATCCCCCGTCACTTCCAGTTCTCCAACAAGCTTCTATTTTGGGTTAGTCCACGCGGGGTTTGGGTGTTTGCGTTTGCTATTAACGATAAGACAAGCATGCTAGCAGTACATGGACAGCAACAGTACCGTATAGTCAGAACCTAGCAACTACACCCAGTGGATACTATTCTTGGCTGTGATAGAACTCAATCAACCCTACGCAGAATGTGCCTATCGAGTTGTTCCTTCCTGCAAGGCCACGTATCAGCTTAGTCACTATGCACCTTCCAGATCAGGTTCACCAGATCATCCCCGCAGTCTTATCGTCGGAGTTGATATGCAGTGCAACGGCGTTTAAGCATCCTCCCATTTGTTGTTCCCACCGAGCCCCTTGGCCACTGAAAAGCTCCAGCTTCTGCAATATACACTCCTTGATCCCGGCACAGGCCTCAACGGCGGTCATAACCACCCGTTCAGCTCTACACTGATTATAGACACTACGCGGACACACATATACAAAGCTCAACACAACAATTGTACAGACCGCACGCAATCATGATCAGCGTGCAAGCTCGAAGTTCCCTCACCAAGATCCGCCATCCACTAACCTCTCTACGCCCCCAGTCCTCTATTGCTACCCCCTCCTCAGTTCTCTACGCAAAGATCAACTCTCCCCCGTCCAAAGTCATCTCCAGCCGCGGCCACTACCTCATCACCGAAGATGGCCGGGAGATCTTCGACGCGACAGGCGGTGCCGCCGTCGCCGCCGTCGGCCACAACCACCCGACCATCAAGAGCGCCATCACACAGCAACTAGACGAAGTGGCGTACTGCTACTCGCCCTTCTTCACCACTCCGGCTGCCGAGCGGATCGCAACCTTTCTCACCGAGTCCACCAATGAAGAGATGACCAAGACCTTCATCGTTAGTTCCAGTAGACTTGCCCTTCATAATCTATCAACTAAGCTAAGGTGAGACAATACAGGTACGGAAGCCATTGAAGCATCCCTCAAAATCGCACGGCAGTACCATGTCGAACGTGGGCAGCCCCAGCGGACCCGGTTCATCGCGCGGAGGCAGTCCTACCACGGCAACACTCTGGGGGCGCTCGCGACGGGGTACCATAAAGCCCGGAGAGCGGTGTATGAGGACATCCTGGCCAAGAATGTCTCGCATGTGTCGCCGTGCTATCCGTACCGGGGCAAGAGACCCGGGGAGAGTGACGAGAGCTATGTTCAGCGGTTGGCGGATGAGTTGGAAAGGGAGTTTCAGGCCGTCGGGCCGGACACAGTTTGCGCTTTTATCGCGGAGACGATCACCGGGGCTGTAAGTGATGTTTTGACTAGACCAGGAACTAAAGTGCTGACCGATGCAATAGACTCTCGGTTGCGCCCCCCCTGTGCCGGGCTACTTCCCAGCGATCAAGGCAGTATGCGATCGCCACGGTGCCCTGTTGATCATGGACGAGGTCATGTCGGGAATGGGGCGTTCGGGGACTCTGCATGCATGGGAGCAGGAGGGTGTCGTTCCGGATCTGCAGACCGTGGCCAAAGGTCTGGGCGCCGGGTACGCGCCTATCGGGGCTCTGCTGGTGGGCAAGAAGGTGGTGGACGCGCTGACCCAGGGTACTGGCGGGTTTGTGCACAGCCAGACGTATCAGGGCCACCCGATCGCTTGTGCTGCTGCGTATGCTGTGCAGACCCTGATTCAAGAACAGAATCTGCTAGACAATGTCAGAGTTCAGGGCGACTACTTGGGGAGACTTCTGACAGAGCGCATTGGATGTCATCCGAATGTGGGGGATGTCCGCGGTCGGGGACTGTTTTGGGGGGTGAGTTGCTTTTCTACCATGGTTCCTAATAGCTGAATCTTGCTAATGAGGTGTAGATCGAGTTTGTGACGGACAAAGAGACAAAGACACCCTTCCCTGTCGGTGATCAGGTTGCGCAGACAGTGCATTTGACGGGCTTGCAGGATGAACATTGCATTTCCCTCCTGCCCAGCAGCGGCAATGTTGATGGGACTCAGGGTGATGTGGTTCTGATTGCTCCTGCATATAACATCACTGCCCCCGAGGTAGAGGATCTAGTGGATAGGGTTGAGAAGGTCATCGAGTCGGTGTTTGATCAGTCCTGACTTCACTGGTGCAAGTGCCGACAAGGGTAGCTGGCGTTGTGTCTGCAGTTCTGTACCCAACCTACTATAATCATATTATTTACCCCACCTGGTAACTCACTTAATAATTGACCCCTGAGATATCCTACCAGTAAGTCCGCGTCACCATGGCTTGAAACATGCTCAAGCCTATAGAACCCGTCCATGGCGAACCGATCTTCAAGACAGCAACCTAAAATTCTTCTCACCGCATAACACTTCCACCGTCCATTCTCAATTTCAACCTCAATCCCACCTCAGCGAGCGTAGTTTTTGTAGGACGATTGCTACTTTTCCGAAGGCCGTGGTGAAGTAGTGTTGAATTTCGAAGGGGCTGTCTTTGGACGAAGATTGAGGCTGGGGATGGACGTAATAGGGGAAGAGAGCTCAGTGTCCTGGCGATGGTTCTTGGTCATTTGGGACTTTCTGTGGACCTGTGCTCGGTCAGTAGGCCAGACGCTGTCGGGTATGCACTCCCCAGGTCGGACTATTGGCAAAAGTGTGTCTCGAGGAGGGTAAGCATGCACTGAGCTCTGTCTGCTAAGTCCCACAACCTTATCCGGGGTTTGATTCCTGCAAGGGTCGAGACCGCTTGATTCCGGCTGTGGTGTGAAAGCATGGATGTTCGCTTGCTGCGGCTGCTGTGCTGCTCTATCTCTTCCGACATGCTGAATAGCTGTGTCTGTCTCGTGCAGAGGCATGGTGCAAGTTTGCCGACCCCGCGAACAGAATGGTACCATACCCGTCAATCATATAGTTGAGAAGTTGCACAAAGCCACGGGGGTCTTGCGACCTGCGTTCTCGAGTATCTGCGAGCACCGGGTGATACGCTGGTCACGGAGGCGCGCGCACCTGACAGTGTGAGCCCTAATGGACCGAATTGGGGATAAGCATTCTCCTCTGATGTTCTCTCATCTTCGCATGATAGACACAAGACAAAAGCTGCAGTGAGCCGCGGTCATAGCCCCAAGGAAGTTCTTTGACCCAGAATCAGACTCCATCAGACAACCAGAGGCCAGGTCCGTAGGTTGGCGCTCTACATAACTGCCATCGGTATCGAAGCTGGCCGCCCTCCGACCTCCGACTGGGGCGCGTTCCATACCACTCATTCCCGACATTCCGAGATGAAAGTGTCGGACCCCACTTGGTGCCAACACAGCCACACAGCAGACCATGCTTAATCACCTCGGGGGTTAGAGTAGGGTTCGTGGCCAATGGGGACTCAACTGCCGAAGAATCGAAATGAATCTGGGGATTGGGGGGATGTGCAGGCGCCTTTGCCAAGGGTCGGTCGCGTCCAGGTTCGTATCAGAGTGTCGGATATATTGGTATCACCCAACCGGCATATACAGCCTACCACTATTGCGTAGTCCACTACGATGTGGAATGTCCTGGGGTTTGGTTGCTGGTCTGTTCCCCTGGGCAAAATCGGTTGCTCCTCGGCTAAATAGTTCCAAGCGCGCACCGTACCCTTGTTAAAGCCGACCTTTTCGCTTTAAAGTCCGAACTGATTACGTAGAACTTAGAAGTTGCCAGTTGAGGGTTTTGCAGGAGGAGCTCGACTCCGGTGGGGACAGTGGCTCGAGCTTGGGTGTTTCTGGTTCCTGAGGAGTGTGATAGTGATGGTTGACACGGAAGAGCTATTCGGGTAGTGGTCAACTGACTCGTGGGCTGGCTGGACTGTTCCTGGCCCGTTCTTGGAGGATGACGCGGCGGAATCTTGGCTCCATCGGGCATTTCAACGACCCCTGCAGAAGGAGTAATCTAATAAACACTAAGCGAACCTCAAGATGAAACCACACCAGGGGTTTTGCAGCGAGGATTTCGTCTCGAGCTCGGCTAATGCCGACCGTACCAATGAAAATTGTGCTCTGACTGGGTCCCATTCCCCCCCCTCTCCATCGATGCCCGTGCATACACCATGCACCCATGCACATACATCCATACAACCTCGTCACACTCACCTCCTCCCCTGCCAAGTGCCAACCGTAGCTTCAGTAACTTGGCTAACGCTTGTTGTCGAGTTTCTCCATCTCGCCCCTTGGCACGGAGAATCCTGAAACCACCAGTCCGGGTCTTTAACACCACCAGCGCTAAGCTATCCGTATTTCCCGGTTGTCATGCTGCTCACGATGATACTTAAGATGCGCGGTGGACGACACCTCCTCTGCTGTCATCACCAACCCAGTCATTCTTTTCTTTCTTTCTGTTAACTTATACTTTCACTCTTTCAGTCGTTCTTTTATTCTTTTACCATGCAGCAGCGCAGTGCGCTCCTTTTGGCCCTGGCGCCTCTGGCGCTGGCCTGTGAGAGCCCCGAAAACCATGCTTGTGCCTCCATCTACTCTGTTTCCTCCGTGGCTGCAGCCAGCTTCTGCGCCACCTTCACCGCCAGCGCGGTGAGCGAAACGACCGGCGTGCCGGCCGCCTTCCTGTCGGCCTGTGACTACAAGACCAAGCACCTGTCCAGCGCCTGCAGCTGTCTGGGCACTGTCACCGGGGCTGCCGCGGCCGCCACCAGTGTGGTACGAGTCATCTCCATATGTCGTGACAGCATCAGCTAACCCCCAGCAGAGCACCACAGCCCCCGTCGTCGTCGCCACCTCCACGACCGCCGCCGCCGCCTCCACCTTCCAGACCTCCTCGAAGGTGGCCTCGACCAGCCAAGCGGCATCCACCACGCTGGCCCCCGTCACCACCGAGGTCGCCGTGGCGGCCACCTCGGCCGTCGGCAACGGCGGCACGACCTGCACGGTGACCGAGTACGCGTCGATCTCGTCGGCAGTGGCCTCGTGCTCCAACATCCTGCTGTCGGGCGTCAGCGCCCCGGCGTCCAGCACGATCGACCTGACCGGGCTGCAGACGGGCGCGGCCGTGATCTTCGCCGGTGAAACCGTACGCCGCCCCTCCCCTTTTCCCAGTACCTGACTAACGACTCCGCAGACCTTCGGCGACACCTACGACAGCGACTTCGACCCCATCGTGATCTCCGGTACGGACCTGACCATCACGGGCGCGGAGGGCCACGTCATCGACGGTAACGGCCAAGCCTACTGGGACGGCGAGGGTTCCAACGGCGGACAAGACAAGTATGCCTGCCTGCCTGCCCCTTAACCTCTCCTCAACCAAAAGCTGACCCCCAAAAGACCCGACCACTTCATCGTCCTCAAGAAAATCTACAACAGCACAATCAGCAACCTCTACATCCAAAACTGGCCCGTGCACTGCTTCGACGTCGAATCCAGCGAAGGCCTCACCCTCACCGGCATCACCCTCAACAACACCGCCGGCGACTCGCCCAACAGCCTGAGCGGCGACGACCCCGCCGCACACAACAGCGACGGCTTCGACATCAAATCCTCGACGGATCTGACTCTAACCAACAGCTGGGTGCACAACCAAGACGACTGCGTCGCCATCACCTCGGGCACCAACATCCTCGTCGACAACCTGTACTGCTACGGGGGCCACGGCCTAAGCATCGGCTCCATCGGCGGCAAGTCCGACAACACGGTCGACGGGGTGACGTTCAGCAACTCGCAGGTCGTGGACTCCGAGAACGGGTGCCGCATCAAGACGAACTCCGGGGAGACCGGCGAGGTGTACAACATCCGGTACGAGAATATCACCCTCTCCGGCATCACGGACTACGGCATCGATGTGCAGCAGGATTATTTGAATGGCGGGCCCACCGGGGAGCCGACGAATGGGGTCTTGATTGAGAATGTGACGTTTGTGGATGTCACGGGCACGATGAGTGACGGCAAGGATTATTATATTCTCTGTGGGGATGGGAGCTGTGAGAATTTCACGTTCGAGGGGGTTAGTATTACCGGGGGTAGTGGGGATAGTTGTAATTATCCGGATAGTGGGTGTCCTTAAGTAGCCTGGGGTTGAGGAGGGGGGAGGTGGTCAGGGGTGGCGTGGTTTGTAACTATACTATACTATATCAATAAAGAGCTGTGGATCGGCATTTGGTTGATGTGTAGGTGGAAGGGAGCTGTAAGGTTGACTGCATCGTGCAGCTGTCTACTTTGTTAAGCTTAGCTGTGCTGGACAGTCACATCCGTATATTGCAGTGTCAGTGTACGAATCCAAAGTGAACATCTACAAACGCACATCAATGCATTAAGCCATAAGCAAAGACAACCACCCCACCTATTTATCGGATGATTTCCGTAGACCAGTCGCCCAGTCCACCTGTCCATCTCTATCCTGTATCACATTAATGCAACGGCAAACACCCTAAATCATTAGCATGCAACCACACGCCCTTCCCCAAGCAACATGCACTCGCACAAATACATGGCGTAAACTCATAATGCATCACAGCAACCCATCCCACATGCTGGTCGTCCCCAACTGACATAAAGCAATACATGCAACCACCGTAATGTCCAATGCTGGTCACCACACAGAATGCACAACCGAATACACAACAGAAAGCAAAGCTAAGAACTCCCCACCCAGACTGACACCGTCGCAGACGTCGTATAAATCATAAATCCAAACCCCAGCACCACCATCGCAATGTCGCCGCGCTTGGCCCACGGCGACTGCGCCAACCCCTTGTAGTGCAGATACGCCGGGTAGATGTACACCAGCGGCACGCAGGCGAACGAGCCAATCAACGAAACAAACTTGTCCAGGTCCCCGGCGCCCACGGCGGACAGCACCCCGCAGCCCAGCACGGCCACCGTCCGGAACACGTTCTTCTTCCACTTGATCATCGGGTCCCGCTTGCCCGATCCCTGGCCGAACAGCTTGCCCTCCAGGATGCGCACGGCCGGGAACAGCTGGATCGGCGTGCTGATCAGGATGGCCAGCGAGTAGATCAGCTGCAGCGCGTTGACGAACCGGTCGCCCTGCGGGAAGTTGCTGATGATCTCCGTCTTGGTGTCCGCGCCGAAGGTCGCGTACGAGAGCGCCCCGACCGCCGTGAAGAGGACGGTGATGATCCCCATCACCAGGTAGAGGAGCCGGTCGAAGTGCTCCGGGTGTTTCATGGACGACTGGATCGGGAGGATCAGCCCGATGCCCTCGAAGGTGAAGATGCACGACCCGATGGTCAGCGTGAACGACTGCCGGTTGAACAGCTCCACCGTCGACGCCACACCGCGCGAGGCCAGGCTCGCGATGTCGTAGCAGTAGATGTAGCTGAGTCCCATCAGGATGAACACGTCCGCCAGTAGCGCCACGGGCCCCAGTTTGGAGATGTTCCGGATCAACGCCATCGGGATCAACACCACCAGCTGCAGCCCGATCAAAGCCCCCGTGGTCAGCGCCTCGGGCGGCGCGGAGCTCACCGCTGCCATGAACGAGTGGATATTCTCCGCCGTGAAGATGATGCACGCGCACACGAACCCGAACTGTGAGATGGCGATCGATGACAGAATCAGCGACCGCGCGCGTGGGCCGGCAATCTGCTCCCCAATATCACCGTAACCTCCCCCGTACCGTCTGCGACACTCCAGCAACAGATGAAAGCACAGGGTACTGATCAGCGATACCGTGACAAGCGTGATGGATGAGAACAGGATTCCTCCGTTGCGGAAGGCCTTGGGGAGGAAGATGATGCCCGTGCCCACGAAGGCCTTGAGCAGCGTGAAGAAGGTCTTCACATTGGACGCATCCCCGGGCCGACTGACGCGGGCGCTCTTCCTGCGCCGCAGCAACGGGCTCCGCTCATGGGCCTCCCGCTCTTCTTCCTCCGCGATCGCCGATTCCTCCTCGTCTGTATCGACCAAGTCCTCGCCCGCGAAGTTACCGTAGTTGTCCAGAAAATCGAGGAAGGAGGCCGTCACGCCGCGTCCATTCAGGCGACCGTACTTGTTCTGCAGGAAGTGGCGTCGGAAGCTGCCCGGCTCGAGTGCAGCGACGCTCTCCTCGACGGTGTCGTCGTTCTGGCGGGGGAGGTGGGAGAAGGTCAGGGCTCGTTTGTCGAGGCGGGCCTGCTTGGAGCGGGCGTCGATGCGATACAGGTCCCGGTGGATATCTCCGCCTTGGAGTCGCAAGGAGGACTGAGGCTCGGGGCCGGACTCGCCGGAGTTGTGCTCGTCGGGGGCATCGGGAGGGGCGAGTTCTTCCTGTAACGAAGCGGTGAACTGTGGGTCGAGGTGTTGGGACAGGATGTTCGCCTGCCTGGGATCAGGGTCAACGGTATCCCGAAAGGATGAGCTCGTGAAGTCTGCCATTGTTAGTGGAATAGGAAGGTAGTGAAAGGAGCAAGCATTGTTGGATGAAGGGAGAGTTTAGAGTAGTCAGAAGACGAAGGGGTGCAGCAGGAGCAGGCCCATCATGTAATGGTGATGACGCTGTTGATGGGGCCCATTGCGAACTGAGGAAGAGAAGCCACGGGATGCCCTTTGGGGGGTGTGATTGGCCAGGGACTCCCCCAGTCAATGATGCACGTGACCTTAAGGTTCTTTGGTGGCGGCTGACTCAGCCGACACCTGCCGGATCAGGCATTCTTCCCGTCTCTTCGTTTCGGTGGGTTTCCCTGCATGAACCCCACCATCCAACGTACATCCACGTACAACCACCGTCTCGCCATACTACATTCGTACAACTGTCTTCCTCCCTACAAACAATATTGGTTATACTGAATAGGCACCAATGCTTAAATAGGGACTTAGTCAGTGTGAACCGGAAGACCAGCTGCAGTTACATGGTGTGCCTTTTCCGCCTAATCAATATAACGAATATCTCGATAGGAGGAACAGCAAGAGAGGCTGTCCCCAGTCAATTCGTTATATCGTGAGGTTACAGTATGTCATGTAAAAAGCGAATACAACCAGTTCAGCTAATAGAATTTCAGTAGGTCAATAACTTATGGTACACGGCTTCGTACCCAAGCAAAAGTCACATACATGATAGAACATAATAGAATCCGACATACCTCCCTTTCCTCGCATCCAATGGTGGAACACGAATCCAATCATTCTCGACCATTTTATAGCAGACGACCTGTCATTTTAGATTGTTCCAGTTCAGGGGCAATGGCCTGGGCCTGTGACGCCAATATTATAATTGTCCAGCGTGGTGGCCCAGCTATTCTCTTGGCTTTTGACAGCGTTGGAGAGGCTGCCCGGTGATGGCATCGGAGTGATTGTTTCAGTAGCCGATCGTCCGTGTGCAAGCCGCCGCCCCCGCCGCCGAAGCAGTCGACCCGGGCGTGTTGTCACCGTAGGTGATGGAGGCGATGATGGATTATTTCCCTCGTTACCACAGTTGACAGGGTGAGTGTAGGTCTTCGTCCCGTCATCGGAGAACCCCCCTAGAGAGCCTCCGAGGGTGTCCGAGACGGTAACGGTTCTGTGCACGAGCGTCGCAGTCGCTGGAATCATTGTGGTGGCGGACGCACCTGGCCCAAACGCAGTTCCTAAGTGCCTGGAGTGATTCATAATCATCGTATCGGCAGTCACCTTTTAGGTGCCGCTGTTGGCGTCCGGAATTTCGATGCTATAGGGGTAGCAGTAGCTTTCCCCAGCAGCCAGGACCGATTTAGCCCACACATCAAGCTGCTGCGGATTCACTATGGTCGCAGAGGACGGCGGCTGCGTCACCTTCAGGGTCGACATGAGGCTCTCAGTTGCCACACCGCCACCGTTGGTGATGTAGACCTTTCCGTCAAACCAACGTGCGGTCAGTGCCATCGTCCTTGGTCAGCGTCACCGTGTAGGTCACGGTGCCGCTGCCGCTATCACCCTGGACCAGATTGAGTGTAGTTGGGTCAGCCACCTTCTTGATTGTCCACGTGAATGTCTTGGTCCGATGCCCGGTGGCCGTCACCGTGTCGTTGAGCGTTGTGCCCGCAGCCTCGGCAGGCGCCGGAAAACCGGATACGCTCCAAGCTACGACGAGTGCCACTCCCAACACCCAGCCGAGACGGAGGAGCGATGGTGTTTTCATTTTGACCTTGCCCCTTTAGTTGTTGCGATCGAACTTTTAAGCTTTGACAGCTCAGTTTTCAAAACAAGAAGCCAGGCCTGTTTTGGATGCTGATAACAATCAGTATAGTTATTGAGCACGATTTAACAGTCTATACAGAAGAGAAGAGACTTCCAGAGCCGCCCTCATAATCCCAGAATCAGCCAGCAGAACCTGATGTTGTACTTAACGGGTTAGATAACTAGCAGTAATCTGTATACTACTTAGTTTAGACACCGAATAGCGAGACTTAGAGGACTATTAGGCTTATTGGACTAGCATAGGCTAGCTCAGAATTGAGAATCTGAGAGATATTACTGAAGGGATCTTGTAGAGTTCATAGCTCCTGTCAATTGAGCGGCTTGGGTTCGAAGAGCAGGATAAGCGACGCAGATCAACTAACAAATTCATGCGGTGGTATAATAAGAGCAAGCTGCTGGGTGTGAAAATGCCTAGATCAATTATATAGTGTAAAGCGCTGTTATCCAGTCTAGATATATCTTACCTGTATTTGGCTTTTTCAGAGAAGCCGAACGGTCCTTGGAGCCGCGTCGATAACAGAGCCCTAAACTCCGATTATCTTAACCGCCTGATATCTATTATGTTGTATCTGATTATTTATAGTTATTGAGATGCTTATACTATACAACAGCTTATCTTTTATGCTAACAAATATACAAATAAAATAGCTAATAGGCATTATAGGTTATAGATTTGACCAGAGGCGGTCTTATCTAGGCTCTCTGGTCTATGCATAAACCTTAAGTTATATTAAGTCGTTTTATTCGTACGTTTTCCTCAGCATTTTCTGTTGGCAAATCAAATCTTGATTGCGTGGTAAGCTAGACGCAGCTATCGACCACATCCAAGGTAGAGTGTGATTGTTAAGCGAGGAATTCTTGGCGGCCCATACATTCATGCTATCAGGCGCGGCTACCGCGGTAATCTGAATGCCAGAACCCGGGATACCGGTTGATTTGCAGAACTGGGCCGATGGATGGTCGCTGCGGAGCTCGTATGAGCTAATTACTATATAGCTCGGCCGAATGCGCGGGGTTGTCATGCTGCGCCTCTTGAAGGTGATTATGACGTCCGTTGCAGGCGCGAATAAAGAGGCCGCTTAGACTCTTCTGCTTCACAAGCACGTCTTATTCGTGCAGCTTGAGTATCGCAGTTGTGTCCGTCTCATGAGTTCTTTAGTACCTGACTATCGCGGGGCAGTATGAGTCTTAAGTCATAATGGCAACACTTCCGCATCTGGGCCTATTATCTTGAGATAACCGGTCAAGGAACACGGGCACGACCAAGCCTGTCCAGACTACTTGGCTTTGTTGGTTTAGAGTCTCGACGACCGGTGGTAGGTACATACGAACTAGTTACGGCCCTCCTCCTCCTCCTCCGCCGTCTCTTCGTCGTCGTCTCTATTATTCCCGTACCATCCTCCATTCCATTTTCCCACTTACTTCGCCTTCCGTGGGGGGAGCTCGTGAATTCGCTTGAATTTTTCTGTTGACTTTTGTTTGTGATACGTCCGCCGCGACTTGTAACAAAGGAGGAGCTTTCGAGTCACGAAGTGTACCACCGAAACTCATAGATCGGATGGCAAACAATGGCCACACCTGGAAAACGTCGAACTTTCGTGCCCATGACATCGGGAATCTATATGCAATCGGTCCTTCCGGCCTCTCTCCTTTCACGGACGAGAGTCGTGTGATAGCCCCTTTGTCTCGGAAAGAACGGGCGTTCTGGATTGGGATTGAAAGCGGTATCAGAAGTGATATATAACTATTCCACGTCCACCCTAAAGGACTGACTCTCGAAGAGAATTCATATCATCACCGAGGCATTCGATCTGACCCATTCATAACGTAGCTATGCCCCCAAGTTGTGGCATTCACATAAGTTGCTTAATATCCCCTATAGAGATCTGCAGTCATGGGCATATATAAATAAGTTAAAAGGTTCTTTAACATGTGCTGATTTCACAACTCTTCCACAATGATTACATCAACTATTATTATCAGAGATAGTTTTCTCAGTGAATCTCAATAAATAGACTTGAATATTTTGAATAGATACAATGAATCAAGATTTCACATTATTCTTATATTAACGACTATGTTGAATACTACTATTGGATTAATTATTCTTTCAGCTATCACTAAATAGCTACCTAGTAAAAAGGCTAGTAAAACTATATCTGGTTCAGTATGGTAAAGAATTATCTTATTCTTTCTTTTTTCTTTTCTTCTTAAGTTTGGGATTTTGTACTTAACTGGATTAACTCATCACTTTTCGTCCCTCAGAGTGATTTTAGCTATCTAAAAGGCTGGCTATGAAGCACGGCGGTGAGGGCGATCAGGCTACCCCTACGATAACCTATACCGGAAATATCAGGGCGGTATTTCCGGAGTACTGCAGTGATTTCGTACGAGCATTCGAAATATGATTGTTGTACTTCGGGTGGGACTGAAAACGATAAGTAGGTACCATATCGGAGTTTGGGAAAGGTCAGAGAATCTCGCCTAGGTTCTCCGTCTTTGACCTCTGTCTAGGGAAAACCGAGGTATTAAGTTACCTATCGTCAAATGTTGAGGACAGAAAGCTCAATCTTGTGGCTCATTCAATTCTTATTCTTCTTTGATACAGATGGAAAGACTACTCCATCATCACGCAGTGAAAGGATTGAACTAGAGACTAGATTATGTAAGGGAGAGTTTGTTTTCAGACCGTGGTCTGATAGGGCAAGAAATACCACACACAACGGGGCAGCATTCTCGGTTGATCATGGCCGCTAACATGAAGCGGGATACTCGAACCTAGCCAATCATCAATCTACATATGAATGGCCATCGAATCGCCCCAGGCTTATGAGGACTGAGCTAGCGAGTGATTCGCCAGGCTCACGAGCACGCCTGAAAGCGCGTCTCCTCGGTATGGGTAAGTCGTTGAGCAACCACACCTTCAAGGACCCCGGGTCACGATTAATGTCGTTGACCGAAACATGTCCCTTCTCATGGGAAAGTGTCTGTACCATTTTTCCAGCCCATCTGCACCCGGGAGAATGCTCTATTCTCGAGCGAGAACTGGCAAATTAATGGTTTTCTACGTGCTCAAAAGATCTGGTCCTGATGGGGCGGCTATTTCTATATCGATTAGTGCCCACGCAATGACAAACTAGCTGCGAACATATCACTAGATCCAGATTCAGACTCTGATTATTACCCCAGTACATCTCAACTCTCTTCCATCGCTTGAATATAAGTTCACTTTGCCTAACAAAACAATTCGCACGACAGAACACCAGAGACAGGTAGGCCAGTGGAAGTCGACGCTTCCCCGGCCGAGAAGATGTCTGAATTTGGCTTACAATCATGAACCAAGGAAGGTGGAGGTGCTGAGGATAATACTAATGATTGAAGGATCAGAAGCCATCGTGGGTCTTATTGTTTCTTTGTTGAACCACTTTCATGGCCATGGATTTGATCATAACAACGATTGGTGCATGGCTCACATGCTCTTGCAGAGATCTCTATATGGACATCCCAGGATGGGCGGTATAACACTGGGTTTCATATGATGTGTTGGCAGACCTCGTACTTCTTGCTGGACGCAATACGGGGGATCACGAACCATGGGTGGGGATGATATTGCTTGCTGCTTTTAGCTCAAAGGCGGGAAGGGGCAATCCGTCAGCTTATTGAAACCTAAAATAGAGTTTAAATTCGCCCAGAAAACGGACAAAGAAATTAAGACAAGCCAGCTTCAATAGTTGGAGCTTTTCCTGAACCAACCGTTGTATAAGCTTATACGAGTAGAGCTTACCACTTCTTTTCTAGCTACATCGTGGTCTAGATCAGCGAACTCTCGCCGCTACACACTCGCTGACCTTTATTTCCTTCCTACTACGAACAAATTGTGAAATTCGTGAGGTCATGAACCTATCTGGCGGAGCTTGAATTTCAGAGAGAAACGCGATTTCCATACTGTACCGGATTTCCTCCATGGACCGTATTTATTAACCACCATGCCCTTCAGCTTATTGTGATATGAGAAGAACTGACACCAGGTCAGAAATTGAGGTCCCTATGAATTAACTCTCTTTGCAAACGTGTCCAGCACCGTTAAAGTACCTTCAAGATGCACTGCAACAAAGCTCTGCTCTATACCAACCTTTTGATTTTATTTGCTGCTGTCGTTGTTCAAGCACTCGACACCTGCACTAAAGATGGGAATGCCGTGCAGTGCTGTGCCGCTGCTGGCTTCCCGATCCCGGGAGCTCTCACTAGGAAGCGAGCATCGCACCGGGGGCTGTTTACTCGTGACGCAGCTTGCCCTTCTTCGGTCCAGTGTTGTGAGAAACAGGTCACCAGCACGGTGACAAAGTTGACCCCGGGCAGCTTCGGCGTACAGTGTGGAACCAAGTATGACCCTGGCACCGACAGCCTGGATCAGTCTACCGCAAACCTTGAAATTGTTAAATGCAACACCTTCCCCCTTTTCAGTGCAGACCCGCAGTACAAAGATCAGGACTGTCTCAAGGTGACAGGTGGACCCATCCTCGATAGTAATGGTGTGCCAATCCCACTCACGAGCCCCTTCTACCACTTGGCTGTTAGCGGTACTCCAATTAGCACCGATCCCGGGCATTACGGTGTTACCCATGATAATCCGACTTGGTGCACCCAGCCAACGCCATCCACTATGCAGTGCTTTGTGCCCTTTAGCTACATAGAATCACAGATTACTCCGCCACCTACTGACCTGTGCCACTCGTCCGTGTACGTCGGCTTGTTGCTCGACATTGCCGGAAACACGTGCACAATTCAGCCAGGACCATTGACTGGCACAGGCAACTTCTTCCAATCCGTCCTTGTCACCTTCTCATGTGAGGACACAACTACTTGCCAGACACAGTGCTGCTGCCCTGTGCCGGTGGTGTCGAAGAAGCCCTGTGCTGCCGGTAGCGCTTACGCTCAATCGGCAAATGCTCTGAACGCCCCTCCTATTGGGTGTGGCCACTGGGGCTGGTATTTCCCAAAAGTGACGAGCGGCTTCACCGCTCCACTCATCCTCGGTCAAACCACCAATATCGGTAGTGTGATTGTCACTATCAGTGGAAATACCGTCAGCTGGGTTTACAACGTCAATTCTGACTATGGGCTCACTGAAGCCCATGCGGATGTGATTTGTGGAGGCATCGACTTGAAGCATACCACGCCCCCGAAAGATGGGGATGCTTGTGTGCCTGGCAAATTTACCAAGAACTCGGGCTGTCTCGCACCAGTTGCGGGTGGCGGCTGGTCGGCCAGTTACACATGCAACAATGGCGGACAATTCTCGCTTGTCTTCCATGCCAAGGTCGTTAAGTTTGTTGATCCCACCAGCACCCAGTGCAATGCAGTGGTTTGTCCGGACGCCAGTGATTAGGAAGCCACTGTTGGAGATATGCGGGCTAGGGCTAGGGCTAAGGTAATATTGATTTTTCTTCCAGACTGCGGACAATGGAAAGGGCTACCCAAGGGAGTGAGGCGTTGATTTTACTGTCCTTCTACTTGTCAAGCATTTCTCGTCTTTTGGCCAAGCTGCGTCAATAAAAGTGCTTTCGATTAGGTCCCGCGTCTCCCCTACGTCGAGGAGCAAGAAGCATGCGGTCCTGTACCCTTTGTCAATTTCTTATTCCTATATTCAAAATAGGCGATCTCCATGTAAGCTCATTGGTGGTTTCAGCCTTCTCTCAGTCACGGGATCAGGTCAACGAGGGCTCTTCAGCTCCTACTTTTCCTGCACCCAGTTTGTATATAAGAATGAAGACCCTATGACGAGTTGATTTCCCCGAATCCACGTCACGTTAACTACCGGGTCCTCTAGGATGAGAAAACATAAAACCAATTGATGTGAGGTAGCTATCTCACTGGGCATAAGCATACCTTTCGGTTGGCGCTGTACTGCAGAAACGCCACACCAGATTGAAGTATATGGATCCAGATCCAAACTCGTTTCCGTATTCTACACAAACAACTCAAGTATCGACTAGTATGGTCAACTAGCTTAGGTCCATCGGGTCAAACCAAATCAGCGCTGAGGAACCGGGTTGGTGGATGCGCTTATCTTATACCATGGTGGACACTTGTAACTTTCGAGTTTAAACCTGAACAGCTGGATTACCGGAGTTGCAATTCCAGGCTCTTTTCAGAAATTGCGCTTTTTCTAAAACAAGCGAGCATTGCAATCCTGCCAAGCCCATTCGCGGCCGCAAATGCATATTCTCGGTCTCATGTACAGTATATCAATAACCATTATGCATGAATCGATATTGAGCAGAAACCAAGCTGGTTGATTAGGCATATACGCGGTATCTTAGACTTTAAAGAGATCACCTTTAATGCCAATACTGAAAATTATATGTAAATCCACTCCGAAGTATTACTGTTTTAGTTCATATAAAGAATAAGAGTATTGGATTCTGGGTACTATTAGCTGTTATATACCGGCAGCTGTTAGTTGTATATATTATTATTATTATTATTTATGTTTAATAACTATTTATTTAAATAATTTTTCAGCTGTAAAGGAATTTATTATATGAAAATTTTCTTTAGTTGCTAATATATTGTAATAAAAGTAGTAAAAAAAAGTAAACATCTTATTTTATTGCTTAATTATTTATATCTAAATTTGATATTGTTTACAGCTATTTGTTTAGATGATTGACAGTCAAGAGAATATCCCATGGCTGTGCTGAAGATGGATCCTATGTCTAGAACCGGGGTGAGGAGCTTACGGGGTCCATGACGTCCACGGACAATATATATGCGTTTCTTACGAAACTTCAAAGGATCGGGCTGTCTTCTTAAAATATATGATCAATGATGTCAAGGCTACCCATTGGTAGTGATCGCGCAGAGACTTATTGTATACTACCATTGTATCCCTGTCTAAGCTTAGCCAGCCATGGTTCTGTCTACACGCGGACACGCTCTCTCAAGGAAAAAGTGAAAATGTACAATCAAGCCGACCCAAGAGTTGTTACCATGTTAGAATCACGAACAATGGATGATGATATTATTTGTTCGATCAGCCCCAGAGCTTCACCTTGATGAACTTAACTCTTGGTCTTCCAGTGGACGTTTAGTGAGATATGTGGTAAATCAGATTCATAATAGCCTTCAGCAGCCCAGATCGAGAGAAATGACAGTAGTCCCGTAGTCGAGCTTTTGCCGTGCTTAGTCTGTCAAGAGAATCACTAAATATAGTTTGTTCAAAGGGAAAAAAGGCGTCAAGGCACTAGTTATGCATGCTGGTCATTTACTTACTCTCCCTGGCCACGCAAGTCACAACTCGCAGTGAGTCTCACAAATTGTTCAAAATTCATCAGACAGAAATGGTTTGTATAGTTTTGGATCAATTACCCTGACTTATTCTACCAGTCTTATTATGATTTGGGAGATACCTTCTATACTCTATGATGTTTGAACCTCACTTAATTTTGGTGAGTTGTACTCCGAATGGCCAGGCGGGGTTGTCGCTAACCCGGCGCTTAACGCATCTCAAGATATCTCGCTTTTCTCAATCCATAAATTGATCTAAAACATCCTAAGCATACCCAGTGAAATAAAACTTCTTTAGCTTTCTTTCTTTGATCCTGGCTTGCCGTCTTGCTTTCTCTCTCGATGCTTTCTTTTCTCTAATACATTGCGCTACTTGGAAAGGGTAGCCAATGACGAACCAGCTTTCATGCCAAACTAAGCCCGCCACATGGTATTTACTTGACCTCTTACCTACCACTTCGTAGTCTCACCCAGTTGACACCTCGATGGGAGACTACGGAGCATCTCGGCGTCTAACATCCTTTTTCTTGGAGGAGATTAGAAGTCCTCATGTCTTCTCATCCAATAGACGGACATGAGTTAGCGGCGCGGATGTTGGCTTCCAATTCTCGGCTACTTGCTCTCAAGAGCCTTGAAGCCAGCGTACACCCCTGCATCCCTGTAGTGACGTGGCAGCCAGTCACTCTCGATAAAAAGACCGCTCACCCGTGTTTAAGAATTGCATACTCAGCTATACTAATCCTTCAACACCTCCGACCGACTTCTTCATCCTACTCGCCAACAGACTCATCTTTTTGTCAGTATAAAATCTAACGATGGACACCGAATTCGGCGAGTAAGTACCCGATGGTGAGAGTTCCGGAATCAACCACATCTAGCTCACGAGAAGCAGAATCATCTCATCCCCACTCTTTACCTTCATCGTTGGCAGAGCAAAGAAGGAGATCACGGTGCATTCCAGAGCCCTGGCTAGCCTATCAACCACACTTGACAAACTGATGAATGGCGAGATGATCGAAGCCAAAACTCGTCGCGTTGACTGGTCGGAGGTTACTGAGGAAGCCACCTTCCTGCGTCTGTGCGAATATGCGTATGCGCGCGACTATACTCCACCACCATGTTCGCACAGAGAGGTAGAGCCTCCGAGCGTTCCAGTATCGAAGTCTCCAGAACCGTCGGATGATGAGCTCATGTTTATGCCAGCCGAACCTACGGCTCGAGCCGACTTCCCACCACCGCCGGATTTCCAAGGACCCTTTCATGGTGTGTGATTGGTCCTTCTTCATTTGTTCCAGGACAAGAAGTCCGATAGGCTCGGGAACGACGAGAAGCTGACTTTAATACAAGCAGTTTTTGGGCGCCCTCAAGAGCCACCAGTGGAAGACTCCAAGCCAGCAATATTTGCCAGTTACATTCTACCGCGCAAGAATGCAAAGGGATTGCGGTTGCGACGTGACTTGTTTGATTTTGACAAGCTCAAGGAACAGCACTGGCACGATGACATCAGAGTAAACAAGTATGCTCCCAAGGGAAATTCGCAACCTCACGATGACTTTACGGATGTCTTTGTGGGGCATGTGGAGCTCTATATCTTGGCTGACAGGTATGGGGTCCTCCAACTCAAGGAGTTGGTCAAATATAAGCTGGCAGCCACATTGAAGCAGTTCACCCTATGCAAACACAATGTCATCGATTTGGTGGAACCGATTCAACTGCTATACCAAAATACTTTGCCCGGTGATGCCATGCGAACTTTGATTGTAGGATATGTCCTCTCAGTGCTTGGTCAGATAGGGGCTAGTGCCGATTTCCAAAAGCTATTAGCAGAAGGTGGAGAGTTTGTTCTTGATTTCTGGAAGGCATACTGGGAAGTTTAAGGAAAGAGCGCATTTGCTCTGAAATGCTATTTGATTTTTTCAGTGCACCTTTATCCAAAAATACAGAAGAAAAAAAGAGGCTTGATTTTCCGGTCGTCCGTTGTTGGGTATCTCTGGGTAGAAGATACACTCCAGCGCAGCATAGGAGTGCAATTGCTGAGTTTTTACTCGCTCACTCGTCTTGGAGCTTTTTCAACATGATTATTCCAGTGATGTGCTATACATTGGTATGAGCGGTGAGGATTGACCAGCTGTGAACACCTTGGGAACGCAGTCTTTCTTTCGCATGGACAAATGTCTCACACTATATTTGGAAGCAATGGCCACATCGATGCCTCGACCATCGCATGGATTATAATGACTTTGACTTCAACAGGAGGAATATCCCTAACCATATCACAGCTTGGCCGACTCACCCTTTCGTAATTTTTGATGGGCGTGCGTGAACGTGTCTGTGACAACCAACGCAGCAGTGCTGAGCTCCAGCCCTAACGCGAAGCAGACCAGAAACCCCGCGAACTGTCTCTTCTTCTTTGGTCCGGCACACTGCATGATCTCTAGAGCTTCGCGCTGCGTGTCGTATACCGTGCCTCCACCGACGACACCCACGGGGATGGAGGGAAAGTACATGCTGACGGTGATGCTGTTCCTGGCTCGGTCGTAGAACGAGCTACCGTGGCTCCACGAGGCATCCGCGACACTCGCGGCATCCTGGCCCGTGGCGATGAACACGCTGGTCAACACGTTGACGGTGTCAATGTTGCTCCCGTGGATTCCATTGCGGATGCATCCGTCTTGAGCCATGTGCAGCATGTCATGCAGGTCGGCCACGGAGCAGCCCAGAACCTCCTGGCAGGTTTCGTCCGGTAGGCACGCCCACGCCGTGACCTCGACGCCGCGCGGGGTTACCACGTTGCCCCACGAGGGCTTCTTCTCCGAGCTCATCTGCCCGTCGACGTAGAAGCGCTTGATTTTGTACTGCGCTGCGTACGTCTCCATCAGCCAGACACAGCACCGCTGCGTGGCGATGCTGACCATGTTCTGGCCCGCCGCATCGCCGCAAGTGTAGTTGAACACCACATGGGCGTAGCACCCAATCAGGTGCGGCGTGATGCTCACCAGCTTCAGGTGGTTACTAGTCGACTCGGCCACTTCAGAGAGGATATTCTCCACATAGAAGAGAATCATAATAAAATCCTGGGCCTCGCGGGGATTCGCGAACAGAAACGCGGGGCCCCGCGACATACCTTCCCTCCCAAAGATATACTCCACCCCGCCACTGGCATTCAGCGCTTTGCATCCCCGACTGCAACTGGCGATCAGCGCTGCCTCTGTCGTGGCCATGGGTGCACATGTTTTGAAGGTTTCACCGTCAGGGGTGCGAATGTTCAGGGGTCCCGCGAGGCCGACCGGAACCCGCGTATAGCCGATAAAGTTCTCCGATTTGAATCTGCGAGGGTTTGGCGTCGTGGTCGGTGATATGCTTGACATCTTCGAGGTAGGACGGATCGTCTCGGACATTCGTTTAGATGGTGGAGCCATGGTGGCTGATGCTTCCGAATATGTGCTTGGTATGAGTTGATGCTTCATTGTCTCTTTATACTTCTGGTCGGAAAGGCGGATCGAGGATAAGCTTTCCCCCAACCGGGCACAGCAGGCTTCTGCAAGCTAGCTTCATGATTTGGTCTTGTTGGTCTTGAGTTCCGAGAATGGGGACAGTATAAATCTTGGAATCCGGGGGCAAATCCTGGTCAACATGAAGATTGGCAGCGAAACTTGAATGTCCGTTGCTTTACTGGGATATAGTCAACCGAATCCCACGGCTGGAATACAATGCCAACAAAGACCATCATGCCTCTGCATTCTTACTCATCTGTCATAAGTATATGTATATGTACAAACTGACACAACTACCTGAGGCTGCAGGCAGGCCTGTTTCACCTGCTCCATTGCGCTAAATCGGATCTGACGCCATCGTGCAGATCATCCATGCATGATGCCTACTCGGAGTACGATGTCACAACCAAGCGGAGCAAAGACCGGCCGATCAAGCAATTCGACCGGTCACTTATTAATAATGAGTGGCCGGGTGCGACCTATTTCCTCCTATATCAAGTGGATATAAGCCTTCGACCTGAGACTCTGTTGCCTCCTTAGTCTCTACTCTTACCACCAAACCATATCCCGCAACATGACCATCGGAATTGCATTCATCGGAGCAGGTAAACACCTTGAAAGTCCACGACCGAACCTCACAGCCCTAATACACCCACTAGGGCTCTTCGTCAAGGACTACCATCTGGTACGCAAGCCCCACCGACCAAGGGCAACAAGAAACTCACCCTCGCAGCCAGGAGTCCAAGCCTCCCCCGACCTCGAACTGAAAGCCGTCTACTCCCGCTCACTGAAATCAGCTTCCAGCATCGCCCCTGAGCAACAGATCGACCGCTACGCCGACGACGCGCCCCAGGGCCTCGATCAGCTCCTCGCGCGGGATGACATTCAAGCCGTGATCATCGCGTGCGTCAACTGTCCCCTTCCAGCAGTTCACCTCCAACAACAACGACACAGACCCAACTAACCCCCCCGAAGCCTACCTATAACCAACCAAGCAGCATACGTCCGCGCCGCCCTCAGCGCCGGAAAACACGTCCTCTCTGAGAAACCCATCGCCAAAGACCGGGCCGAAGCCACCGCCCTGCTGGACTGGTACCGCTCCACCATCCTGCCCCGGCGAACTGCTGCTCCGACGTGGTCCGTCGCCGAGAACTACCGCTACTTCGACAGCCTCCGCCGGGGCCGCGCCCAGCTGGCCCGCCTCGGTCGCATCCGCCAGTTCCGGACGCAGGTGTACTTCGATTGTCGGCCGGGGAAGTTTGTTTTCTGGCCTTTCTTCGGTAAGTTTCCCCTTGCTCGTCAGATTTTCCTTTCCTTTAAATGTGCTTGGTGTCTGGAATGATGAGTGCTAATTTTTGGGCTTGGACAGCACTCGCCTGGCGCCAACAGCCCGAGCACCAAGGTGGAGCCGTCCTGGATATCGGGGTGCACCATGTTGCTGCGATGCGGTATCTCCTGGGCGGCAGCGGGCCGCGCGAGCGGATCACGCAGGTGAGTGCGTTCGTGGGTAGCTTCGCGGATGCGTTGCCGCCGGTGGATACAGTGGATGCAGTGCTGCGCACGGAGTCTGGGGCGCAGGGGACGTTCCAGCTGTCCGGGTGTTCGAGCTTGGAGGAGAGTGGGTGGACAGTGGTTGGGGAGAAGGGCCATGTGCGGGTTACTGATGATGGGGTGGCGGTGCATGTGGAGGGGGAGCAGGACGAGAGGCAGACGCTGCCGGTAGATACACTGGCGGTTGGGAATGAGATCAGGGCGTGGGGGGGGGCGTTGATCTCTGGGGAGATGAAGGCTGAGCAGCGGCCGGAGGAGGCGTTGGCGGATCTGGAAGTGGTATGTCTTCGTTCTATTGACGTGATACGGAGGTGGTTTGATGAAGGTTGACTGACTGACTGGGTTTAGATCGAGTTGATTCTGACGAGTGGCAAGGAGAATGGGGCGCCGCAGGTTACGCAGTATCAGTGCTGATCTGTGAGAATATCGATGAGGTACCTAGGAAACGCCTACGGGAGCGAAAACGTATAGTGCTTAAGATCCAAGATACAGATAAATTGACCATTTCCTCACAGGAAGAGAGTCACACCGACCCGGCGACTGCGTGTCCTATAGACCTCAGTTTTCTCAGACATATACGCTCAACCAGCATGGCCAGTGTCAGGTAATGAAACTATAATTCTGCCTGCGCCAAGGGGTGGTGAAGCAGTCACTTGTTCTTTCCCTACAGCCACCTCCACCTTGAACTCTCATTCATCTCGCCCCTCCAAGCCCCAACGCACTCCTCCCCTTCTTTCTCTCCATATACACCCCTTTTGTAAAAGCTTGGGCCTTCGCTTGTCCGTCGTAGGTGTCTCGTTCATGATCAATACAGGCTTGCTCGGGGAATTTAATCACGTTGGTGTGGCGAAGGGCGATGAGGAAAGCGACGAACAACTAGTCCTACGGGTGATGGGTTCTCGGCGTCGAAGGCGCTGTGTAAGCCGAGAACAGCCAGCCCGACGAGTCACGGGGATGGTGCACATCATACAGCACATATTAAAGGACCACAAACGGCCACGAGAAGCCGTCAATTCATATGCTGGCGAAGGATACACGTTTTGTTGCTTGATACACTACTTTGTGCGCTGGTTTATGCGTTGATTCTTGATGACTTAGGGTTTTCGGGTGTACACGGCGAACCGGTTAAGTTCTTGGCCTCTTGATAAGCACCTTCATAGCTTGCCGCATTAGGCGGGCTGAGTCCTCTCGCAAGGCTCTCTAGGTTGATTGAACTTGAATTGAATTGAATTTAATAAATCGTTCATGTAGAAAGAGATTCACGCGTATGCAAGCGTGTATAGCAGCCAGAAGGTTTGATGCTTGATGAGTATAAGGTCATTCGAATGGATACTATTCCACATAAGCGAGTGGGTTTATATCCTAATGAGGTTTCTGCCGGTAGTGAGACGAAGACTATCGAGGCTCAGAGGTACAGAAACACAGCCACCAAGGCTTTGGGGCTTGGTCGGCGAGGCTGCAGCTCGGCCGCGCTAGCTGCACGTGTGAACTGCACGAGGTGATACCTAGTAGTAGTCTTGGCAAGGCGCCAGGCTGTGTCAGCCTTTGTCTGCGAATTAGCTTAAAAGAGGGGAAGATACCCCGCTGCATCCAGTGGGCGAACAGTGTATGCACACTACCAGTCTTGGGAGCTCATTCTTCTCTTGTTTGAAGACCTGTGACATCATCAATATTTCGGATGGCTACACCAAGGGCTCTCGAGAGCCCGGACCTGTACAACATCGGCTGGATTACCGCCCTGCCCATCGAGCGAGCCGCATCGACTGCAATGCTTGACGAACGTCATGATAAGCCTTGTGGCTTTGTCCAGCACCCAAGTGACACGAATTCGTACACTTGGGGCAGGATTGGCGAACATAACGTTGTCATCGCCTCGCTTCCTGCGGGCCAAATTGGGACCACTCCCGCCGCGACAACGGCATCGAACCTACTCGCCTCCTTGCCACAAATTCGAGTCGCCTTGCTTGTGGGCATCGGTGGCGGTATTGCCCGGCCGGAGGAGGGACGGGACATAAGGCTCGGGGACATTGTGGTCAGTCAGCCACAAGGGACAACCGGCGGCGTGGTGCAGTATGACCTAGGGAAGGCGAAGCTCAACAAGGAGTGGGAGCAGAGAGGATTCCTCAGCGCGCCACCACCGGTCCTGCTGCATGCATTGGCAGCGATACAGGCCGAATACGAACTCGGGGAGTCAAGGATAGCGAAATTCCTTGACGGCACGCCAAAGCTCAAGAAGGGCGTGAGCGGGTACTCTCACCAAGGCTTCGAGAATGACCGACTCTTCAAAGCCTCCTTTGATCATACAGGCGCAGCAAACTGCTCCAGGTGCAATGATGAGGAGGCGATAGAACGCATTCAGCGGGATACTACTGATCCAGAGGTTCATTACGGCATCATCGCCTCCGGGAATACCGTGGTGAAGAACGCTCTCACTCGTGACGAGATTGTCCAGGAAGTCGGTGAGGATTGCATGTGCTTTGAAATGGAAGCGGCCGGCCTGATGAATCATTTCCCGTGTCTCGTAATACGGGGAATTTGTGATTATGCTGATTCGCATAAGAACGATCGATGGCAACGCTATGCTTCTGCTACGGCAGCGGCTTATGCAAAAGACCTCCTAGGCTATGTGCCAATCAGAGGGCTTCAGGAAACACCGCGAGCTCTGGATATTCTTAGGTCAGGTCGGTTCACCTAGAGCTACGAGCCTACATGTACTGATTACTACAAAGTCCACCAGAATATCCAGGAGATACACACTATCGCCAGCGAGACAAAGTCGGGAATCAAAAGCCTTCAATCTGACAGCCACCACGCGAAGCTCAAGATGTGGCTCTCGCCCCCTGATATATCCACCAACCTTACCGACGCACTCAAGTGTCGACAGCAAGGAACTTGCTCCTGGCTCCTCCAAAGCGAGAAATATCGGGAGTGGAAAAGTGGAAAGCGCCAACACCTCTGGCTACATGGGATCCCCGGCTGTGGGAAGACGGTTCTTAGCGCTGCCATCGTCGACGATCTAATGCAACAACTCCAGACTCCACATGTAGTCCTCTTCTTTTACTTTGATTTCAAGGAAATCGAGAAGCAGTCACTCAATAAGATGGTTCGCTCGTTGGTTACACAGCTATACTCAAGCTGTGTAGATTCTCGCGCGGAGTTGGAGAAGCTCTTCTTATTCTGCGAGAAGGGCGACCGGCAACCAACAGAAACAGCCCTTCTCACAACTTTCCTGGAAATGTCCAAACATGCAGAAAATCTTCAAATCGTACTAGATGCGTTGGATGAGTGCTCTATGCGAGGGGATCTACTCAAGTGGCTTGAAACATTGTCATTTTCTGACCACAAAGGACTCCATCTTCTCGCGACCAGTAGGAAAGAAGAAGAAATTGAATCCGGACTTGGGCACTGGCTCGACTGTACAAGCACTATCCTCATACAAAGTCACAGTATTAATCAAGATATCCGCACCTACTTGCACGAGACACTGCGGAGTGATCGCGGATTTGACCGGTGGCATCGGCGACCAGAGGTATTGGACGAAATTGAGGTGGAGTTGATGCTAAAGGCCGATGGAATGTAAGATCACTTTCTATTGTGGGGCTCCTGGAAAGCAAAATATCATTGACATGTTTCCCTGAAAACTTCAGGTTTAGATGGGTCGTGTGTCAGATTGACAGTCTGAAGCACTGCCTAGATCTTCGAAAGCTTCGACGATCCTTGCGCACACTTCCTGCCACTTTGCAAGAGACTTATGCGCGAATCCTGATTAATATTCCGGAGAACTATCGCAAAGAGGCAATCCGGATCATGCAATTTCTCACTTACTCGGATCGGCCTCTGACAGTTGATGAAGTTGTCGATATAATAGTGGTCGAGCCGGACGAAGACCCCCTCTTTGATCCTACATTCAGGATGCCGGAGACTCGAGAGATCATGAGGATTTGTTCAAGTCTTGTCTCTCAGGTAACAAGACGAAGAGGCGAGAGCACAATTGAAGAGCTTCAGCTGGCGCATTTTACCGTTCAACAATATCTAGAATCTGACCGAGTTGATGGAGCTCTCTCACTGATGACCGTTGCTGTCGATTCTCCTTGTTGCCCAGGTGGATCAGGGTCTTTCCAAGGATGCCTGCGACGAGCCACTGCAAAGGGTGATATGACTAGAATCTGCCTTGCCTATCTATCCCAAGTGGACGAAGGAAAATCGCTCACAGCAATAAAGAAAGAGCTCCCTTTAGCCAAGTACTCGGCGGAATCATGGATCGGCCATGCAAGATATAGCGAGACAAGACCCGACGTGGAGAAAAGCATCCTGAACTTTTTTCTCCGTCAGAGCCAAGCATACGCAGTATGGGGTAAGCTCTTCGATCTGGATCAGCCATGGAATGGACCGCTGTGGTGGGCAGATAAGAAGATGGCACCTCCCTTGTACTACGCATCATTAGCCGGTCTTCAACACACGGTTCTTAGGCTGTTGGACAATGGCGCTGAGGCCAATGCTGATGGCGGCGATTACGGTAATGCACTCCAGGCAGCTTCATCAGTCGGTGAAACACACATAGTGCGGCTGCTACTGGAACATGGTGCTGACGTTAACGTACAAGGTGGACTTTATGGCAACCCACTACAGGCCGCTTCAATCAAAGGTCACAAGGATGTAGTACTGCTGCTGCTGGCTCGAGGCGCTGAGATCTATTCGCAAGGAGGTCTCTACAGCGACGCACTTTATGCCTCGGCAGCTGAAGGGCATGAGGAGATCGTGCGGCTTCTTATCGATCACGGTGCAAATGTCAATTTTCGAGGTCGCATTCATGTGAATATAGTCAAGAATGCCCCTTTTAATGATCACGAGGATCTTGTGCGGCAGCTACTTGCTCAAGGTATAAAAACTTGCAGACCCCAAAATAGCACAATCCAATCCTTTTCTGTTGAAGAACACGAGAAGATGACTGAGGTATTGCTGGATGACAAGAGAAACGCCATGGTACAAAATAGCATCTATGGGAATGCACTTCATGCCGCTTCCATACAATGGCGCTTGGGGATGATTTCACTTGCTGATCGATTGATTAATCCGAGCACGCATTTAGACATTGCATTCAAGGGTCAAGACGGGTCAACAGCAGTGGCCATAGCGTCATTCGGTGGCCATGTCGGAGTGGTTCAGCTCCTTGTTGAGAAAGGCGCAGATATCAATATGGCAGCCAACGATGGCACGACTCCTCTGGTCCTGGCAACTCTTGGGAGTAATTTTGAGATTATCAGAATCTTAGTGAAACAAAACGCGGAGGTTGGTGTTGGGTCAAATATGGGCTTCTCGCCGATGCACTTAGCTGCAGGTTTTGGCCGTATTGATGTTATCAAGCTCTTTATTCAGAGCGGTGCTGACCCCGATCAAAAAATGCGTGGCGGAACCACACCACTACATTTAGCGTCCGGAACAGGTCAACTTGACTCTGCTAAACTGCTTATCGCCAATGGTGCAAATTGTGACTCTGCAGATAAAGATGGAATTACACCACTCCATAATGCAACACAGAAAGGCTTTCTTGACATTATCAAACTACTGATTGAAAACGGCGCAAATTGCGATTCTGCAGATAAAGATGGAGATACACCACTTCATATTGCAACACATAAAGGCTTTTTTGATATTGTCAAACTCCTGATTGAAAACGGCGCAAATTGCGATTTTGCAGAACAAGATGGCAATACACCACTTCATATTTCAACACAGAAAGGCTTTCTTGATATTGTCAGACTCCTGGTTGAAAACGGTGCAAATTGTGATTCTGCAATTAAAGGTGGATATACACCACTTTATATTGCAATATACAAAGGCTTTCTCGATGTTGTCAAAATCTTGATTGAAAACGATGCTGAATGCAACACTGCAAATTGTGACGGCTGGGCACCACTGCATCTTGCATCTCTGAATGGTTACTTGGAAATTGCTAGACTTCTGATTCAGAACGGTGCTGACTGCAATAGTGTGACTTGTGAGGGGTGGACACCACTTTATCTTGCGTGTCAGGATGGTCACTTGGAGACCGTTAGACTCTTGATTGACAGTGGTGCAGTTTGTAGATCTATGGTCAACCTTGCACCGCCGCCGCTTCACATTGCCTCACAGAATAATCACCTGGAAGTTGCCAGCTTTCTTCTTACACGCGGAGCACAAATTAATGCTAGGGATATTGACGGGTACACAGCTTTGTACGTTGCTTCTGCTCAGGGCCTTATCAACATGGTTCACCTATTTCTCGAGAGAGGTGCCGATTTAAATATCACAAGCAGTAATGGATGTAGTCCATTATATATCGCATTTAAGTTTGGCCACACTCAAACTGCTCAACTTTTGATTCAATCGGCGGCTGACATTGAGCTCAAAGACAACAATGGTTGGACACCATTGACCCTAACTTCATTCAAAGGCGATCTTGAGGGAGTTCGGCTACTTCTTACACAGGGAGCCTATATAAACGTGAGAGGTGATTGTGGGCTTACACCCCTGTTCGTTGCTTCCTCAAACGGGCATATTGATGTAGTTCGCCTTCTTCTTGCACGAGGCGCAGACATCAATACTACTGATTTAAACGGATGCAGTCCGTTATACACTGCATTTGAGCTTGGCTATACTCAACTTGGTCAGCTCTTACTCCATTCGTCAGCCGACTTTGAACTCAAAAACAACGACGGCTGGACACCATTGACCCTGGTTTCATTCAAGGGAAACATTGAGGGAGTTCAACTGCTTCTCGACCAGGGAGCAGAAATCAATGTAAGAAGTAACGACGGACGTACGCCACTATATGTCGCCTCTTCTATGGGACATATGGATGTGGTACTCTTACTTCTCGAAAGAGGCGCGGATGTCACGCTGGCGAATGATCGCGGTCTCAATCCTGCTACAATAGCTTCATCAAAGGGTCAAGCCAGTGTAGTCCAGCTGCTTCGTCAATATGGTGCCGATGTTTGACGCTGCAAACGTTACGCTCAAGCGAGCTGACGGCCAGTTAGACGCTGGTAACATACAAGCGAGGCCGGATGCTATTTGTCTCAGAAGAGCCTTGTGCCGTTGTCTCTGGGTACTTAGAGCCGTATCCCGCAGAGTCAACGTCGTTACTGTCAGACTTGTAGCACAGAGAATCCCTACTTCAACCTTGAACAAGGCTTCCACAATTAAGGCTAAGTATGATGGTTTGGGCCATTCATTTGAGAGACCTCACTCCCAATCCTTGCTACCCTTTCCTCACATCATCAAGACATGAGCCTTTTCTTGGTTACAATCTCTGGTCTTTTCTCGCTATACTGGAAATGCTCGTTGTGAGCCACATACCACGCACTAGCTGTGCATCTCAGTCGATCTAAGCCTCAGAACTCATTACGCCGTCGCCATAGGCAAAGAGAAGAGCCCAAGAGGCCCTTGGCTTCTGCTCATCATCGGGCACACCCGAGGCCATTACACTCCTGCTGCACTCCTCGTTGAACGTGTCGCCAGGGGAAATATATCTCGAGGGCCTTGACCCCAACATTCTTCGCTTCGATAGACATGGAAAGCCACCCAGATTTTATACTACTCAATGTTTAGTAGAGGCGTGGTACCCACGGCCAGGGGGACTTCTCGTTATGTTATATAGCCCGCATATTCCCCGGGTGCAAGATTTCTCCGACATGCGGGGACCACATGGCTCCGGGTGTGGGGGCTCTCTATGCGGTCACACCCGGGAGATCGGCGGTTATCAACTCACATATCTTCCGCGACCTCGTCTGATGAGGATAGGTTATATAAGATAGGCTACGGCTACTCAGTTGCCGAATGTCGCCAGGCGCAGTTCTCGGGAGCGATACGAGACTGGCTTCGTCCCAACCTCCTCTTCCCTAAGCATAATTCCAGGCAAGGACGTATCCATCTATAGCCAGCATTTTTAAGTCTCATCATCAATCCGCTCCCGCAATGGCACGTCTTCGAAACAAGAAAGGCCCGAAAGAGAGTAAGTCCAATATAACGTAGAAGTCCCCTGGTATTGTGTCACTGTTGACCGGACGCAAGGGACCTCAAACACGGCGCTCCCTCGAGACGGATTCGGGAAATTTCTGGACAGCAGGCTGGAGGCTGAAGGGGGTCGTCACATATCGGAGGCCGAATTCAGTAAGTGGTCAGGAATAGAGATTGATCTCTTAACAGAGGGTCGATCATCGTGACTCCTTGTTCTGGGCTTATGTTTGTGCATTTCAGACGAGCTATACATGCAATGCGCGGCGATGTGGGCTAGTGCGTCCCCGCGTCTGAGGAGTCATTATGAGAGGCAGGCTGGTGCTGAGAGTCGGCTACAAGAGAGGGAGGGAAGAGACTCGGGATATTTCTCGGGTGAGGAGGACTAGATGGGGTCTGTTGGTGTTGTGGCTATGACCGCTGCCTGCCTACGTAGGGCGGCAGTGCGATGACTCCAGAGGTGACCATTGGGTTAGCTGGCAGTCGATGCGGTTTATTCATCAACTCTCATTGTGAGTGCATATACATGTAAAGCATGTTGTATCTAGACGTATCTCATGTGACATTTGTTGAGCATAACAGACACCGTCGTAGCCTGTTGGTCTCCCACTCGAGATGACACTCGAGTATGGTGAGAATCAGCAGGGTCAAGTGTGAGCTTGATCAGATCAAAGAAGATAGTATTTCCACTGCCTGTTCACATGTAGAGACACGCATAGACTGTGAAGCGGTGAAACGGTCGAGGCAGTGCTGGAGGACAATTCGGGACTGCTGTGCAAAGGAGATAGAGGGAAAAGTCAGGGTATACCCTAAGCGTGTGTTGAAGGGGGAAAGAAGATAGCTTGTATGCCCCGTCGAAAATAGTGAGTCTGCTGTCTAGATCCATCAGGCAATTATGATCAATAACCGGGGGCAATCCGGGGATGACTGCCGACAAATGGGAGGGGGGACCATGCGCCACATCGTATGACAAGATCTGACAAGGTTGAAGGTGATTTCATTCTATTATCGCCGAGTAAAACCTTCGAAACAACCCATTTCCGGTCAGCCTTCTGACTGCAGGCAAACTGACAACAGTTAAGCTAAGTCGATCACAGCCAATTTAGCTCCATCCCCTCCGAACGACCTCCCTAGATCTTCCAAATAGCAGATGATTACCGTAGATGCACGTCATTCCTCCATCGATGATCCGGCAACTACGGAGTAGGATGTAGGGAGAGCGGCCCGCGCGCGCAGAGCACCGTAGTCAATGTGATGTATCACGAACCCTGTTATGCCCGACGTCCGAGCGCATCGTATGTTGTGGGGCCCGGGCGGAGGGATCTGGATCTGTCTTATCGGGCGAAACCCGACGAACGGATGTATCAGATTCTAACCCTCAAATCTGCATGGTGCTGCATGTAATTTGTATCGTTGTTGTGTTGTGGCGAGGAGAGACATGAGAAACGGGGGTATGAGGGTGCGCTAATCTTCGGTGATGTTGTGAGCCCAGAACAAGAGCGCCCTGGCTGATGAGTTACTGGGTTTATCTAACCGTATAGTGGTAAAGGAACGGAGTCTAGTTTATATGCATCTAGCTGGTAGAATATACATTATTCACAAAGGAAATAAGAGACGGCAGCTGTGACACAAACCCACATCACCGCGGTAGATCAAACGAAGGCGACGACCGCAGATAGACCGGACTGACCTCAACATTCGTCTCGATCTCCGTCTGGGCCATGATCTTGCCCGCCGGAATGACGATGCGGTCCTCGCTGCCGTTTCGCTCGATCTGGGTGCCGGCGATGGTCTCCGTCTCGCCGCAGTGGCTTTGCAGCACACTCATTCCGAACTCCGGCGGCCGTGGCTTAGAGAAGCCCGACCCGTACCGCTTGGCGGCGTTGTTGTTGCTGCTTGACCAGCCGCCATAGCCCTTGTTCGAAGAATATTCCCCGATCCAGCGCGGCAGGAAGCGCGAAGCAATCGCCTTGAAGGAGGGGATGGAGGCCGCGAGGATGCCGACGTTGATCTCGATGGCGGACCAGTACATCGCGCCGCTGATGGCGTAGGTGGAGTCGGCGGAGGAGAGCATGGTGGGGATGTAGGTGATGCGGATTATGGAGGAGACGCAGGCGCTGTAGATGATAGAGTTAGCGGATTGCGTGTTGCTAGTGATGGATCTTTGGGGTAACGTACAAGAGACCCAGGCAGAGAATGCATCCCAGGGCCAGTTTTTGTTTGTAGGGCATGTGAAGGTGGAGAATCACCCGGATGGGAAGGGTGTAGGTCAACAGGTCGGTGACGATATTGAGGGCCGCGTTGCAGAGGTAGAAGACGTTGATGGTCACGCAGTGACCGGGGAGAGTGCTATTCCAGGCCTTGGGGATCGGATTGCATTGGAAAGCTGCTGTCAAGACGAAAGCCGTCGCTTGACATCCCACCACGCACATCATCCCCAGCGATAGTCGGGTCAAGGTTTTATCGCCCAGTCGAGTGTAGAAATAGCAGACCGAGGTCTTGATGAAGCCGAGACAGGCGAGATAGAACATCGAACTGAGCCAAACAACCTGTGAAGCAATTGCATTATAAGTTAGGATGTCGAGGGCCTCGGGTGAAGAGAGCGTACAAAGGCGTATGTGATGAGACCGTTGGGGTTGACGTCGTCCATATGTTTGCCCATCCCATGTTTAACGGCTGGTAGTAATTAGTATCATCAAACCCCAAACCCGAAGTACAGTCCAGTACATACCAACGAGTGTCACAGCCGTGAAGGCCCATGAAAGAAGCTAAAGCTGTCAGCGACACTCACATCAATCATTGCCGGCCATCTTACACAAGCAACCACAATCAAGTCTGAGAAAGTATCAGTCAGCCAAAATTCTCCGATTCCATTTCAGATGGAGACTCACAGTCATCCAGCCCCATGCTCTTCAACACATAAAGCCGGGCAAATAACCGCAGAGAAAGAACGATAAATGTCAGCACGGCAAAGGCGATGGCCACGCCCGCCACGACGGGGCCCTGCGTCTTGGCCATGTCTGGAAAGCAATATCAGAGCAGCGAGCGAAAAGGAAAGAAAGAATCCTCCGATCCAAAATTGGCTTTGGCCGAGTGACGTGCCTTTCTTTATGTAGCTGGAAGCGACATTCGGGGCGCGCACCGACCTAACATTGACGATTAGGTTCGGTTTGTTGATCATGCAGGTTACGAGTCGCTTTGCTGGGATAACCCTAGCTCGCCCTTCTCTTTTTTCCCCTAATCCTCACATTGGGACGACTTGCACACCCTTGGCATACCGGTACAGCTCGAGTCGATTGATGACCAGTGGCGTTTCCCCGAACAGGGAATCAGGAGCGAAGAAAATCCCTTTCGAGGCTTTCCCCAAACTTTGGGTTGACGGTTCTGGAAAGGAGGTGGAAAGACTGCCGATTGGGAGGGTCCCTGAGTACGAGCGCATTCGCTCGATAAGGACTAGCAGGCTACAGCTTTGGTCCGCGTATGTGTCGACCAAAGATGAGCATTGCATCTGACACAGCGCCTGCATCCAGCGGATGGCTCGCAGAAGGGCTTCTTTGACATAATTTGGGCCAATGCGTGACAAGAATAGCAGTTCTGGCCGGATCGGCAGCGGCGCGGGTCATCGTTCCGGACGGGGGAGAAATGAAGCCCGCCGATCGCGATGCCACTGTGGACTCTGTGGCATTGACAGTTGACCGAGACCCCTTGCGGGCCAGGCGTTCTATTCGTTCTATTCTGCTGGAGGGTGCTATGCATCTTTAGAGATGTCACAATTGTTTCTTTCTGCACAGGCTCAATGCCATTATCCTTCGCAAGCGAACCATTCACCCTTCCATGCCAGGCGATCTACTCCGTAGTCTCCGTCACTCTTGAAAAAAAAGTCATAAGGCAGCAGAGTTTGGTAGGAACTATATTCCGACGCCGGCGATTGTCTTAAACGACCGGCGTCTGACTTGGAAGGGGACAATTCGACGCATTCTCTG